CAATGTCGTATCGGAGACCCTGCCAGCCACCCTCGCGGCTCAACAACCAGCAGCGCCCACGGCGGCAGCGCCATGCTCGGCACAACCGGCGTCCACCGCGGTGCAGGCAGCCCTGCCGACATCCTCCCTGCCCCGCCGAGTACTCGACAGGATACTCACTGGTGAGTTTGTGGACTTAAGTGAATTGTTGTCTGATGGTATTGGTGGGATTAGGCCCCAGGCAACGCAGTCGCTGCGCCTAGAAATGAACAACTACTCTGCGTACTCATGGGAGTGTGCACTCCGTGGGGAACAGACTCGTGCACGATCGTGGGAAATCGTAGCTCGAAAAGAAGAAGAAGAACGAACTACTTTTCCAAGTTGCATTTGATGATCGTGATGGAGGCAGAGAGTGCTGCTGATCGCGATCCAGATCCGGGTCAAGAGTCACCTCCTGATCCTAAGGAAACCTCAGCTGACGTACGTTCTCTTCGCGCAAACGCTCAGTCTGTGTTGGCTTGGGCCACAGGTATGGTTGGAATTCTAATTTTCTATGCTATTATATTTTTCAATTTGTCTAAAAACTTTCAACCGGCTTCTGATCTGGTGTGCAGCCGGTCGCCGTGCAAGCTGACATCAGGAAGGCCTTCTTCATGATTGGTATGAAGGAGGCCGACCGGCGCTATCTCCGATTCCTGTGGAGCGAGGCGTCAGGCAAGATGCAGGTCTGGCAACTGACCAGGGTGCCGTTTGGTGTGAATTATTCACTGTTTCTGCTGACAGCAGGCTGCGAACGCACCTGGGGTCCGCGCTAGAGCATGCCACGCCGACCGAGGCAGACGTCTTGCGCCGGTTGCGCGACAGTCTGTACGTCGATGACTGCATCGCCAGCGTGCCAACGGATGACGCGGCACGCCAGTTCAAGAAGATCGGCACCGCGTGCCTGGAGACAGCGGGCATGGATCTGCGGAAGTGAAAGTGTAATGTTCCGCTTGGAGATGACCAGGTACAGTCAAGCGGCAAGGTGCTCGGTCTCTGCTGGAATGGCGAAGAGGATTCGCTGCGCATTCCGGTGCCTCCAGACGGTGACGACCCGGCGACGAAGCGCCAGCTGCTGCACTGCGTGGCCAGCCTGTACAACCCTCTCAGGTTCGTGTCGCCGTACGTCCTGCAGGGGAAGCTGTTCCTCAAGGAGCTATGGCAGGAGGCCGTCGCGTGGGACCACCAGGTGCCCGCAGGCATGCAGGTGTTGATCCGGCGATGGTGGGGAGCGATGGTGCGCGTACTGCATAAAAAGTTTGCGAAGCATCATGAATTGGAAGAACTACTTGTAGGTTGATAGAGTGCAGTACTTGTTCAATGGTTTCTACAGAGCGTTCCGAATCCCAGCCCCTATGGACCCACAGGAAGCAAGAAGCTTGCGTTGCAAAGCTGCTGTCCCGCCTGGCTGCGGAGAAAGAAGACTCATTTATGGTTGTTCTACAGCCGCTGCTGACGTCCATCAGCTCTGTCCTGCTCCCAGCAGCAGATAGGCCTGGATTTCAACGAGTTGTGTCCCAACTCCGGTGTGAACGATTTCCCGACGTCAAGACGAAGTGGGGTCAAGTCATAGGTGTTGCAAGGAAGCTGTCACAAGATGATCCAGTATTAAACGGTAGGTTTTGTAAAGCTGCTCTAACATTTAGATACTATAAATTATAACATTAAATTCGTAAATTTCCCTTTAGGCCAAGCGCGATGCATCGTCACCATCCGGTTCTGAAACGTGATCCAGTAGCGTGTGTGTGTGTGTGTGTGTGTGTGTGTGTGTGTGTGTGCGTATGTACGGTATGCGGACGGGATTTTGCACGGAAAGGAGACATGGCTCGGCATAAGTGTCTGGAGGAGCAGCGGGGCGCCAGTCAGTGCGGGCGGTGTGGGCGGTGGCTGAGAAGCCGCGGTGGCTTGGTCCGGCATGTGTGTGCCTCAACGGTGGATGCCGCAGTGCCACCTGGAACTACCGGAGCGTCGGCACCGGCGGAGGGATGTTGTGCCGCGCATTGTGACAGGTGTGGTCGCTGCTTTCGCGGTGTCCGGGGACGGGGAAGGCATCGCTGTTCAAGGGTGGCTCATAGACCAACAGCAGAGGAGCGCTCAGCCTTCCAGCACGTGTGCATATGCGGCAAGCGGATGCGACTACCCGTGCACCTGGAGCGTCATCGAGCGTCGTGTCCTCTCTCTCTCTCTTCTCAAGTTTCCCAGTGATGGGATCACGTGACCCTTTTGCGGCAGTGACTCTACAGGACAGGACAGGTGAGTGCGTGTGTGTGCGCGCGTGCGTGCGTGCGTGTGCGTCCGTCCAACGGCTAGAGAACGGGACAAGTTCCCGCATATTTGTATCTGTTCTCGCCGGTTCCGGCTAGTCTCGCATGTGTGTGTGTGTGTGTGTGTGTGTGTGTGTGTGTGTGTGCGCGCGCGCGCGCGCGTGCATGTGTGCGTGTGCATGTGTGTGTGCGTGTGTGTGCTAATGGAGTGTGGCGACAGCGCTAGCCTGAGAACGTAGTAGTGAAGTAGTGTCAACTCACATCTATGAACGGCGGCTGACCACTGAGAATCTCCACAATCGTACATCCAAAAGACCAGACATCGGCCTGCATGCAACAGAGAACAGCACAAGAGAGCACACACGGAGAATTCTCACAACCAGACCACCAGACCTGGCCACAATACACTTACAGTAAAACCTGCAACTAAAGACCACCGTGACTAGCGACCAGCCTGGTACTACAGTAAAACCTGTAACTAAAGACCACCGTGACTAGCAACCAGCCTGGTACTACAGTAAAACCTGTAACTAAAGACCACCGTGACTAGCAACCAGCCTGGTACTACAGTAAAACCTGTAACTAAAGACCACCGTGACTAGCAACCAGCCTGGTACTACAGTAAAACCTGTAACTAAAGACCACCGTGACTAGCAACCAGCCTGGTACTACAGTAAAACCTGTAACTAAAGACCACCGTGACTAGCAACCAGCCTGGTACTACAGTAAAACCTGTAACTAAAGACCACCGTAACTAGCAACCAGCCTGGTACTAACAGACCACTTCGCCAGGCACGGACAGTCTCACATTCATAATATAGTTGTGCAGTGCAAACCTCTAACTAAGGACCACCTGCCACTAAAGACCACTTTCGCTGGCCCCAAGGGGTGGTTGTTAGTCACAGGTTTCACTGTACCTGAAACGAAAAAGTGGCAATTGAGCAGCAAGGCAGCTAAGCGAACTGTGCGCACATATTGCACTGGCTACGGTTGTGGACATCGAAATCCGGTGAGAAATAAAATTAAGCGGCCGCGAGGCGCTGGCCTTTGCAGTCGGGCGTACGCATACGACACACATTCACATGACTCTTTGCGTGTCGCGCACTACTGGTCCATTTTTGCAGTGTGTACACACACACACATTCACAGGACTCTATGCGTGTCGGACACTGCTGGTCCATGTTTGCAGTGTGTACACACGCATTCACAGGACTCTATGCGTGTCGGGCACTGCTGGTCCATGTGTGCAGTGTGTACATGAACTGGAGTGTGTGCCCCGCACTATAAGAGCGCCGGCCCAGCGATCATTCCACCGGATTTTAACATGCACAACAGTACAGTCATCACGTACAGCGGTATACACAATACTACACAATATTACACATATCACACGAGTAGGCCAGCAAAACTGTGGAGTGGCGCTGCACTGTACCGGGTACTGTAAGGGGCCGTCCGTAATTATCAATCTTTTTCACGAAGAGAAAAAAGTTTCGTTTATGGGTGGGTGGGTTGGGGAGAGTTTCGTTTTGAAAACTATTGATAGCTGAAACATCATTCCATTCTAGCTGTCAAGTCAATATATTTTCATTGAAGGGGGTGGGTGGGTGGGTGGGGGAGGGTCATAACTAAACTTTTTTTTCGTTCCGTGAAAATTATCGACAATGCGCCCCTAAGTCAACTCATATTCGGCACATACAGTCAACTTCGCTAATAACGACTGCGGATATAACGACAATTCGCGAATAACGACATAATTTCCATGCCCAGAGCAAAGTCCCATCCAACTGTAATACATATAATGAGACTTTGGGTATAACGACACTTTGTGAATAACGACACTTTTCTGATGCCCCGCCGAGTGTCGTTATACGCGAAGTTGACTGTATTCATTTTCGGCTATTTTCGGCTGGGACATGCTTGGCCGAAAATTTGTTGTGGCCAAAATTTTGTTTTGCAAGATTCAGTGTGACAGTGTATACAGGCGGCAGGAGTACAGGCCGAAAATTTGATGCGGCCGAAATGGGTTTTAGCCCTGGCAGGCCGAAATTTGAATGGGCCGAAAATTTGTCGTGTACTAGCATTCAAATCGGATGTTGCGTAGCTAAGGAGGAAAGTATTCCCATCACTATGCAATTACCAAACAGTGCGGGGGAGTACATCAGTAAACGACTGAAGAGGGATATTGCAAACATGGAGCAATTGGATGCTTGGGAAATGATTGGACGGAATACACTGATAAGGGGGTCGATGCTAAAGCCTAAATGGTCATTGGCAAGCCGTGTGCATCTAGAAACCTCTTTGCATGGCTCAGTGGAAAAACAAGTGACGCAGACAGGTGTGTGTGGGGGGGGGGGTCAAATGTGCGTGAGTAGCGGTGGCTGTAGTGTTCTGTGTAGCACCTACCTTGGGTCCATACCCACGCTGGCCACTGTCGATCACCTCTGGGGCCATAAATTGCATAGTCCCTACAGACACACACGCACGCACTCACGCACGCACACACGCACGCACACACGCACACACACACAAACACGCACACAGCGGCGACAGTGTTTCCTTTGCTACGGTAGATGGAGAATTCATATACAATGCCAAAGATGGGTATTGGACAGTGCACTGGAATTGGCAGGAGGGTTCTGTCCAACACACGCACGCCGGCACGCACACACACGCACACACACGCACACACATGCATACAGACACATACTCACTTCTACTCACTCGCGTGCGCATACACACACACTCACCCTTGAAGGATGACATCATGGGGTTGACCTGCGACAGGCGCTTAGTAGTACCAAAATCAGATATCTTCAATACACCTGTTAAGCCATTGACCAGGACATTGTCACCTGAAACACAAACGATACACACCCACTCACACTAGTCATTTCAAACATGAAAGGTGCAGCCTTGTGCACACATTCAAGCAAAAGGACAGACACAGACACAGATACGACACAGACACAGACACACACAGACACAGACACACACAGACAGACAGACAGACACACACACACACAGACAGACACACACACAGACACACACACACACACACAGACACACACACACAGACACACACACACAGACACACACACACAGACACACACACACAGACACACACACAGACACACACACAGAGTGACAGTATTGCTGTGTAGGACAAGGTGATGCCAAGCACGCACGTGTCTGGACATTGGGCAAACGAAACAGAGAAATTAGCACAAACCTTTGATGTCTCTGTGAACAACCTTGTGGCTATGCTGTGCAGGAAGACAGAGAGACAGACGGATGCACGGACACATACAGTATTAGAGTGTGAAGGAAGACAGAGAGACAGACGGATGCACGGACACATACAGTATTAGAGTGTGGAGGAAGACAGAGAGACAGACGGATGCACGGACATACATGAATGCATACATACATACATACAGTATTAGAGTGTGGAGGAAGACAGAGAGACAGACGGATGCGCGGACATGCGTGAATGCATTTCCCAGCTACAGTGTAACGCAGTAGACACAGGGGAAATGCCCCAGTTACAATGAAATGAAAAAGACACAGACGAGTTCCAGACCGGTATTTTCTTCATTCCCTTCAATTAGGGGTGAAACGAGTGCCAAAATTGGGGACTCGAGTACTCTTTGAAAAAACGAGCGAGTATTCGAGCGAGTACGAGTATTTAAGTGACAACATAAAACAATGCACTGCACACACTCTCGCACCACCGAACGTAGTAAACCCGATACACATGCAGTCTTGCATGCAGCATGGTGCAGGAAATAGTCTGGACTACTGTCTTTTGCTGGTAAGTAGGGACAAGCAATTATCGTGCTTGCCTGCGCTATCAGTCCCAGTCAGAGTAACAGAAATGCTTGATGTACATGCATACAGTACACTGTACATAGGATTCTTCGAGTATTTTGCGAAAAGAGTACTCGCTCGTTGCAAATTTTCGAGCGAGCGCTTGAGTATTCGATATACTCGTTTCACCCCTACCTTAAATAAACTCAGAAAGTGGTGGACATTACGCAACTGCATTGTAAATAAAAGGGGGGGTTGTCAACTGACAACCGCTCTCCTTCAGTTGCTATTCATTCTTGGCGCATGCGCTGGATGAAAAATTCTTTTATTAGTGATGTCAAAAAATTATGACGTTTCGGGCCAGTCACCCATCGTCAGAACAATTTACAAGGGGCGAACCCGGCGTTTTATAACGAAAGCAAGCGAGAGTGTATGTATGTCCATGTACAAAATAAACGAAACACAAAATAGCCGTATGAAATTGAGTGTATGAATTCGCATGTACAACAGACAAGGAGAAATGCGCTGAAATAAAGGCAGAGGAGACAGGAGAATACTGAAATTTGAAATTCAGCTCTGGTTTTTAACTTTTATGGATCAACACAGTTTAATACCAGCCGTTGGTGAGGGAATAAGGAGGAGGAGGAGGAGGAGGAGGAGGAGAAGGAGAAGGAGGAGAAGGAGGAGGAGGAGGAGGAGAAGGAGAAGGAGGAGAAGGAGGAGGTTAAACGCCAATGATGGACCCTACGTCTGGACTGGAATTCCAAGATATTAGTAAGAAGAATGCCACCGACGACAACAACAAGAAGAAGAGGTGCAATACATTGCAGACTTACCAGGTATTGCAGTCCGTCAAGAATTTGATATATGTAGTCGGCAGCTAGAGTCATGTCTTCAATTTTACCATGCGTCCGCACCAGTGAACCTAAGCTCCCTGTGCAAGAAGACCGGTTGGAGCAAAGGCAAACACATCAAGAAAAACGGTTTTGTGAGGGACATTTTTTACAGAATATATCCATATAATGTGTGTGTGTGTGTGTGCGCGCGTGTGCGCGTGTGCGGATGTGTGTGCGTGTGCGGATGTGTGTGCGTGCATGTGCGTGTTTGTGTGTGTGCGTGCATACGTGTGTAAGAATGACAAGGACGTGTAAGCAAGCTAACAACACCATACAATGCCAAACCAGAGCTCTTCAGCACATGGACATGCCAGTGTGTGTATGCGCTGTGTGTATGCGCCGTGTGTATGCGCTCAATGCACATAACACCTCACATTCACATGCATCAACAGAAGCTGTCGACGACAACCTAGCATTCCCACATGCATGTATGGCACTGATAATGGCAGACTTTTGGCAGTATCTTGCCCAATGACATCACCAATGACCCACTACCACTACAGACGACATCATCATCACCACAGATGACATCATCACAGCTGCAGAATCGCAGATGACACCGGCGCTTCACTGCGGCTTCAGTGACCTCACCACTACATATGACATCATCACCACTACATATGACATCACAACAACAACATACGACACCATCACCACTGCAGATGACATCATCACCACTACATATGACATCATCACATAACAGATGACATCACCACTACATATGACATCATCACCATTACAGATGACCTCATACTGCATGCACCCTAAAGGAGATAATAATAATAATGATAATTTGCGGGATTCGCGTTGGCATCGCTTGAATGTTCAGAAACACACAAACTAGCCTTCGCTTCCGCAGGCCACCACTACGCCTATGCCTTGTACACCTTAGTGGCAAATGCAGACCTCACAAGTGAGTCAGGGGAGAGTAGGTGAGTCTCTCAACCAATCGGGCGTGTAACGGCCCATAACCCTGTAAACTGCATCCTTGTTACCCTCACTCCGAGCTGTGAGTGCCCAGTTGACCGTGGGTGTCGGCGCAGTTCGCCACGCATAAAAGTCTTTACACACGTAAAAAGTCTTTACACGCTCCCTGCTACCAGCGCGGGTCTCGAACTCGGGACCTCATGATTCGCAGGCAGGCCTTCAAACCAATCGGCCATATGCATTGGTCTAAAGGAGATAAGAGGCCATAAAGCCGAGCGTGCAAGAGCACACTGCACTTACCGCCTACAACCAGTTCCATCAAGATGAGCAGGTTGTTTCGTGCATCACTCTTAGAGCCAATGTAGCGCACGATGTGCTTATGCCGGAAATGAGAGTGCAAACGAATTTCATCATGCAGCGGCTCCACTTGCCTGGACCATGGGGTGAGCAAGAATTAAACAGCAAAATAATGCATTCAGGTGGATCCCTGAATTTGCTACAGTCCATTCAGAAATAGTAGCCCCTGGAGTTTCACGGAGGCTTCCGACACTGGGTTGAACCTCCGGCACTTTCTCACACCCACCCACAAGAGGGCCGGAGGTTATTTCGGTTGGTACAGTCAAGCAGGGAATCTACGATTCTTGCCCAAGTGTCCCCACATGCCATTGCACTTGTATGTTGCAATCCGGGTAATAAGTTACCACTGCCAATTACTGCTCCTGGCAAATACAGTGAATGCATCACCAACTGCACAAGACAAACTCACGGCAATAGAGAGTTTAAGAGTGCGAGTGCAAATGCATGCAGCTGCACATTCAAGTCAACGTGTCACACAAGTTGCATGTTCTTGTGCACCTGCATACAGTACTCTTGTTGGCATATCACATTACGCTACGTGGTGGCGTTCATGGTACATGTATCCTTCACTGGGTCACATGTGTGCGACACAGACAACTGCTCCACAAAATACCAGATACAGACAGGCCAGCCAAAACCTGAGTACGGTCACACACAGACTGCCATGACTCGTGTGTGTGTGTGTGTGCGTGCGTACGTGTGTGAGAGAGAGAGAGAGAGAGAGCGTGCGCACGTGTGTGTGTGTGTGTGTGTGTGTGTGTGTGTGTGTGTGTGTGTGTGCATGTGTGTGTGTGCATGTGTGTATGCGTACATATGTGTGTGTGTGTGCGCGCGTGCGCGCGTGTGTGCATGTAGTATCCATGCACACACAACTTACTCGTCGTCTACTGCCTGGGGTACGACCTTGATGGCGAGTGGTCTGGTCACGCCCTTCTCCGTGTATTTGCCCTTGTACACAGTCCCATATGTACCACTGCCCAGCGGCATCCTCTGCCCAGTCCTCGGGTCTCGATCGTACTCAAACTGAACGCAAGGCACGTATATACATGCATACAAGCACGCACGTACGCACACACACGTACGCACATACATGCACACACACACACACACACATACACACACACACACACACACATACTCACTCACTCACGCATGCACACGCACACACACACACACACACACACACACACACACACACACACACACACACACACGCACACGCACACAAACATGAACGCGCACACACGCACAAACAACAAACAACCAACTGTGATGGAAACTGCTTTAAACATTTCGGATCCAAGTGAACGCAAACGTCGTTCTCATAACACTTGTCTGGACGTAACGTAGCATTTCAAACACCCTATTAAAGGCACCGTCCGAGGTTACCCAGGGTTCACTTTTTTCAAAACAAAAAGTTCTCTTTTGGGGGGTGGGTGGGTTTCAGGAGTTTCGTTTTGAAAATAATTATTGAATGCAGCGCACCATGCAAGGAGAATGCGCAGGTACTGCTGGATGCCAAATACGACATCAATATTTAGTTGAAATTTCGTTTTACCCTTCAGAAAGGGTGGGTGGGTGGGGGCAGAAATGTTACCGATTGTTTTTTTGTTTGTTTTTTTCACAGCGAAAAAACAACCGGTAACCCCGGACAGCCCCTTAATGCTTTCAAAATTGATGCAGAGTTCCACTACTTCGTGATGGCCTGACGCCGGTATTGTGTTTTTCACGTAGAAGAAACTTCTACGGCGATAGGCATACTGTACTGGTAAAATAATATCTTGTGCAACTATTCTCCTGTTGCAAATACAGTAAAACCTGTGACTAACGGCCTCCCCTTGGGATCAGAGAAAGCGGTCTTTAGTGGCAGGTGGTCCTTAGTTAGAGGTTTGCACCGCACAACCATAATGAATGTGAGACCGTCCGTGCCTGGCGAAGGGGTCTTTAGTACCAGGCTGGTCGCTAGTCACGGTGGTCTTTAGTTACAGGTTTTACTGTAGTACCAGGCTGGTTGCTAGTCACGGTGGTCTTTAGTTACAGGTTTTACTGTAGTACCAGGCTGGTCGCTAGTCACGGTGGTCTTTAGTTACAGGTTTTACTGTAGTACCAGGCTGGTCGCTAGTCACGGTGGTCTTTAGTTACAGGTTTTACTGTAGTACCAGGCTGGTCGCTAGTCACGGTGGTCTTTAGTTACAGGTTTTACTGTAGTACCAGGCTGGTCGCTAGTCACGGTGGTCTTTAGTTACAGGTTTTACTGTAGTACCAGGCTGGTCGCTAGTCACGGTGGTCTTTAGTTACAGGTTTTACTGTAGTACCAGGCTGGTTGCTAGTCACGGTGGTCTTTAGATACAGGTTTTACTGTAGTACCAGGCTGGTTGCTAGTCACGGTGGTCTTTAGTTACAGGTTTTACTGTAGTACCAGGCTGGTTGCTAGTCACGGTGGTCTTTAGATACAGGTTTTACTGTAGTACCAGGCTGGTTGCTAGTCACGGTGGTCTTTAGTTACAGGTTTTACTGTAGTACCAGGCTGGTCGCTAGTCACGGTGGTCTTTAGTTACAGGTTTTACTGTAGTACCAGGCTGGTTGCTAGTCACGGTGGTCTTTAGTTACAGGTTTTACTGTAGTACCAGGCTGGTTGCTAGTCACGGTGGTCTTTAGTTACAGGTTTTACTGTAGTACCAGGCTGGTCGCTAGTCACGGTGGTCTTTAGTTACAGGTTTTACTGTAGTACCAGGCTGGTCGCTAGTCACGGTGGTCTTTAGTTACAGGTTTTACTGTAGTACCAGGCTGGTCGCTAGTCACGGTGGTCTTTAGTTACAGGTTTTACTGTAGTACCAGGCTGGTCGCTAGTCACGGTGGTCTTTAGATACAGGTTTTACTGTACACTGTACAATGTATGCTGGCTTCTTCAGTCAGTTCGCCGAATCCCACCCGCATCGACCAGCTTTTTATTTATTTTTTCAAATCTCCGTGGGATACCGTCAATTGAGCCTCCTTTCACTATGCCGTGAACATGTATCTCCCTATCACTCGTGCCCGGGTATTTATTTATTTATAATTTTATTTATTAGGGTAGCCATAGACCCGGGAGAGGACACATGGATAAATTTTCCGGTGTTAGTATGTTGTGCGTGGAGCTATGCGGTGTGTGAATGGAGCGGTGTGGTGTGTGAGTGGAGCTGTGTGGTGTGTGCGTGCAGCTGTGTGGTGTACGCACACACTCCCCCTTTTTTGTTTTTAAAGAGAACACAAACATACAAATCATGTTGAAAGACAAAAAGTACATGGGTCTCGGCGTCACAGTGCCATGTATGCATCGAAATTAATCATAAGTTTATAATGAGCCAACATAAGAAAGTGACTAAAGACAAAGCATGCACCCCATTTCCCGCTCACCCTGCCTCGCTAACTGCATGCACCCCTTTTCCCGCTCACCCTGTCTCGCTTAATGTATGCACCCCTTTCCCCGCTCACCCTGTCTCGCTTAATGCATGCATCATTTTTCCCGCTCACCCTATTCCCACTTACTGCATGCACCCCCTTTTCCCTCCATAGTTTTAGATATACCCTGAAGGCTGCGCTTGCGCGGGCCGATCGATCTCTACTAGTCTGGATCTCTTGTTCTCGCTCTCAGATCTCTTGGTGCTATTTTCCAGTCCTTGTTCTTGTCCCAGTCTTGATCTCTCCGGTGACTTGCTTGTCATAATAGAACCATTCTAAAAGCCCTCCTAGTGTACCTGGTAATTGAGTAAGATAAGAGTGAGAGTTGTAGCAGTAGCAAGACCAGTAGTGGTCGTCGATGTGGAGGTGGAGCCACCATTGCAGCCCCTAACTGGTGAAACCTTTCACCATCGGTCAGCCAACACTGATCCTGATGCCCGTGCCGACCTGCGGGTGAAGGGATTCTGGACCGATAGCCGCAACGCATTCTTTGATACAAGGGTGTTTTATCCCCACGCGTCAAGCTATCGGTCCAAGTCTCTCCCCTCCCTCTACCGAAGGTTCGAAGGAGAGAAGAAGCGTGCTTACGGTGAACGTGTCAATGAAGTTGAGCATGGCTCCTTCACACCGTTAGTCTTCTCCTCCTGTGGTGGGATGGGCTCTGAAGCAACCGTAGTAGTCAAGAGGCTGGCGCATGGCCTGGCCGCCAAACGCAACGCTCCGTATAGCCGGGTTGTAGCTTGGCTGCGGTGCTGCTTGGCATTTTCTCTTGCCAGATCTGCCATCCGTTGCATCCGTGGATCGCGCTCTGTTCGCCGTCGTCGCTTCGACCTCGCGCCTGTCGACCTTGTCCAGGCTGAGGCGCGTCTGGCTCGACATTAGACTGTATTTACAGCCACTTATCTCCTTTCTTTCTGTTGTTTAATTAATGGCCGGCGTGTTTTTTACCGCCATATTGCCAGGTGCGTGTTTACCACCATAATTATGAATAAAGTTTTGTGTGAAATTTTCAGTATTAGTCATAGTCGACTTCTTTGACAACACACGGTACTGGTACACACGGTACTGGTACACACGGTACTGGTTGCCGTTGACAACACACGGTACTGGCACACACGGTACTGGCACACACAGTACTGGTCTCGTCCTGGGTGTTGTGTTTCATTCCGCATCCACTTAGCAAACATGTCTCTCTCTCTAGACGAGCAAATGGCCGCCGCCCTGTTGATTCCGCTACCGCCCTGCTCGCCGCCCTCGTCGCCTCCTCCGCCCCAATCACCGCCGCCCCACCCACATTGTGCGATGTTAGAGCCGTGGGATATTTCCCCATGGGGGTTGCCGCAGCGATTTGCCGACTGGGCGCGACAAGCGCCATCACCACCGTCGCCTCGGACGCCGGCGCTTCCGCCAACACCACCGGCGCCTGGAATCGTCAGGCCCTCGCGCCTGGACGCCGCGCGTCGGCAGCTCGACTTGGCGCCACGCCCTCCCTCGGCGGAGGAACTTGTCACGGCAATCCGACGACTCACCATCCGAACGTATCAACCACCGCGACGACACAATACACACAATCTCCAACAACTACGACCACACCCGCAACCACGACCACGACCATGACCGATACGTCGTTGTCCTTGTCGTTCTTCTTAGATCGCATCGCCTCAAGATTTACAACATTATATTCATGCCTTAAATGTCGATTACATTCATGATTGGGTTACATAGCAGCTCGGGGATCAACGGATTTGATTCATGATTGGGTTACATAACATTAACCGTCTCAGGTCACCACAGGTGCTTGCGGTCATACATCATGGGGGTTTCTCCTTATCCATGCATTTGGCTGCACACGGGAGAGTTTTCCTCGCTGGCGCCAAAGTCCAGATCAACTAATCTGACAGACTCAAGTGGTCTTTAGTATTCTGGTCTGTTTTCCGGCATCGGATTTCAGGCATTTTCTGTCCAGATGTTTCATTCTTGATCATTGCTTCCATTACTCGACTATTCGCTTGAAATCCTGTTCACATCGTGCTGTGGGCAACTAACAGTTCCCCCCCCCCCCCTGCATGCGCTGTTTTGTCCGTGCCCATGTGTATGTGCAGTTTACAAGGAGCGAAAAGAGTCGCTATCAACTCAAAACACACTTACCTTAATATCAAGGAGCGGATCGTCTTTCTCAATGTTTTTAGCTAGAGCACTGCCACCGTACTCATAGATAGCCTCTTTTAGCCTAGAACACATGCACACACGCGCACACACACGCGCACACACATACACACGCGCACACACACACGCACACACACACACGCACACATGTACACACACACACACACGCACACACACACGCACACACACACACACACACGCATGCACACACACGTACACACACACACACACGTACACACACACACACACACACACACACACACACACACGTACACACACACACACACACACACACACAAATTAGAGAAAATTGCCACATTCCAGTTTGCATCTATTCGCAGGGAAATGAATGTTCTAGGTGCATGACGCAGGGGTGATGTTTATCCCGAATGTTTGTGACACAGTGTGTGCTGCCTTTGACCGCAGAAAACAGGGTACTTCAAGACCACATCAAGAGTCCACATGTGTAGCGCCTAAGAAATGAAACTCACGCGTTTCTGGTGTCATTCCTGGGGAAGTAGAGTTGAAACTCGCGGCCCTCGTCCTTCATCACCAGGAGAATACATCGGTTGTCTCGCTTGTAAAGACTAGACATCATCCACGCCAGCATCAGCAACATCAGCATCATCATCACCATCGGTGGCGTGTAGCAAGGAAAACAGATATATAGGACACAGACACAGACAGACAGACACACACACACACACACACACACACACACACACACACACACACACACACACACACACACACACACACACACACACAACACAAACACAAACACACACCAACACAGACACAGACACAGACACACACAGACACAGACACAGACACACACACACACATGAGCATGAAATGAAGGCACCACCAGACAATCGGAAGACTCTCGCATCAGCAAGTTCTTTGAAAAGTAGCAGAGGCATCCCACGGTGATCTATAATTGTAGGGTGGAACGTTCGCGGCCAGTCATAGGACATGCCTTAGTGGGGGGCCGGAACCTCCTGAAAGGAAATTAACGTTAAGTCTTGTATAGTATATAAGCCGCACTTAAAGGGAAAATCCCAGAAATGGCTCACATACAAACAAAAACTGAGAACCAAGCACGGCGAAGTGCATGTATCTACCCGACGCACTTCCAAGCGTTCTTTCCTTAACACTGTAGTGAGCATGGAGAAGACAGCCATGGACACAGTGGGAGCGCTGCGCCTTTTTGAAGACTTGGAGAGAAGCGTCAGTCCTGCTGAAGACTGCATTGGTGAGGCATTCGGAGATGACATTGGCAGCAATATTGACTTGATATCATACGACGGAGAAAAAAAAATGATCACATTTTTCACCGAACGCTTGATTTCAAATAGCCTAAAATTAATGTGTAACTTTCCAGATATTGTTGGACTTGATATGAATGTTTCTGAATTCAGTAGTATCATACCTTTCAGAAAATATATAGGTTTGTATTCACGAATATCAATGATAGTCCCGTTTGTGTCTTTCCCTGAAATCAGTGAATAAGAAATGATAGTTGCGGTCGATTTTCCACGGTCCCATCAAACACCGGATTTTTGGCCGAGGCAAGTGAAAGCCCAAAGGGTTAATTAAATAAGCGGTCAGATGTAAAAGGTGCCTAATGACAATCATGTTTGCACGAAGTTGAGAGATTCGCGTTTGAAAAAGTGTGGCGTGTTTTCAAATTGTTAACATAAAATCTTGTATCTCTTGAAGACCAGACTCGACTCTCAAGCACTGGACTGTGCTGAGAAAGATTTTCTGGTGTTAGGCCTGCTGGAATCATGTCAATATCCCCCAGAAACTTACGGCGGAATAGCTTCGAGTACTCTGTGTTCGGAGAGGTGGTGTGCCAGTGTGAGCTGGCTATGTTAACAATGTTGTCCTCGAAGAAGTGTGCCAGGGTGGGCTGGCTATGTTAACAATGTTGTCCTTGGAGAAGTGTGCCAGGGTGGGCTGGCTATGTTAACAATGTCTGTGTTCGGAGAGGAGGTGTGCCAGGGTGGGCTGGCTATGTTACCAATGTCTGTGTTCGGAGAGGAGGTGTGCCAGAGTGGGCTGGCTATGTTAACAATGTCTGTGTTCGGAGAGGAGGTGTGCCAGGGTGGGCTGGCTATGTTACCAATGTCTGTGTTCGGAGAGGAGGTGTGCCAGGGTGGGCTGGCTATGTTAACAATGTCTGTGTTCGGAGAGGAGGTGTGCCAGGGTGGGCTGGCTATGTTAACAATGTCTGTGTTCGGAGAGGAGGTGTGCCAGGGTGGGCTGGCTATGTTAACAATGTCTGTGTTCGGAGAGGAGGTGTGCCAGGGTGGGCTGGCTATGTTACCAATGTCTGTGTTCGGAGAGGAGGTGTGCCAGGGTGGGCTGGCTATGTTAACAATGTCTGTGTTCGGAGAGGAGGTGTGCCAGGGTGGGCTGGCTATGTTACCAATGTCTGTGTTCGGAGAGGAGGTGTGCCAGGGTGGGCTGGCTATGTTAACAATGTCTGTGTTCGGAGAGGAGGTGTGCCAGGGTGGGCTGGCTATGTTAACAATGTCTGTGTTCGGAGAGGTGTGCCAGGGTGGGCTGGCTATGTTAACAATGTCTGTGTTCGGAGAGGAGGTGTGCCAGGGTGGGCTGGCTATGTTAACAATGTCTGTGTTCGGAGAGGAGGTGTGCCAGGGTGGGCTGGCTATGTTACCAATGTCTGTGTTCGGAGAGGAGGTGTGCCAGGGTGGGCTGGCTATGTTAACAATGTCTGTGTTCGGAGAGGAGGTGTGCCAGGGTGGGCTGGCTATGTTAACAATGTCTGTGTTCGGAGAGGAGGTGTGCCAGGGTGGGCTGGCTATGTTAACAATGTCTGTGTTCGGAGAGGAGGTGTGCCAGGGTGGGCTGGCTATGTTAACAATGTTGGCATGAAGGAGGAGTTCAGGAATTTGTAGCTGTACCCAAAGCAGAACAGACTGGTCCCACGAGTGCAAGGGAACAGAGAACAGCAGTGTGCTCTCAATGCAATATCGTTTGTAGCTGTGCAGGCTGCTGTGACCTTCCTGAAACACTCCGTCGAGCAATTTGGTATCCCACGCCCTCCTGCACAGCCGACCTTCCTGAAACACTCCGCCGAGCAATTTGGCATCCTACACTCTGCCCAGCTGTGTGATAGAGCAGACCATTCACCAGTGCTTCTACCAGGATGCGAGCAAGCGCTCAATTCACAAGAAATACCTCACCTCCTACACTGATGCTGGCACGCGAGCAGTTGAATATGACCGGTTTGGTGAATTCTGCAAGAAATCATTCACCACATATCGTAATCGCCTCTCCAAGAGTGGATGTGCGTGAAGCGTGCGAGGCTCTATGGCACACGGTTGTCAGCATGGTGTCTGAGGCTGCGACACTGTAACTGCTGCTACTGCCACCTTCACAGATCATATCCACACAGCACAACGACGAGAGTGTGAACTGTACCGAGCGCAGACGGTGGAAGCCAAGGAGGAACTTTAAAACTCTCTCTCTCGCACACAAGTTCCAGCACCTTCCCAAACCAGCCGCAGCCAACCTCTCACCAAGGTTCATGTAACCTTCGACTTCACCCCGGAATGTGGCATTGCCACAATCATCACGTCAACAGAGCCCCTTGTTTCTTAAAGTGCAGAGAAAGGCTCAACTTCTTGGAGAGAATTGCGAGGCAATACCGAGACAAGGCAAATACCTACTCGCTGAAGCCGACGCGATTGGGCTGGATGGTAAGCGTTCGCACGGTCCGAATGCCGTCGTATCTATGCTACACCAGTACTTCACAACACATGGCCATGGCGGGAGAGTGCAGTGCACTTGCACGCTGATAAGTGTTCAGGTCCGCACTATACAGCATCGATGTGTGCATATACCGAGAACAGATCCATTACAGCATCGATGTGCATATACTGAGGACAGGTCCATTTTAACGTGTGCATACACCGAGGACAGATGCATTACAAATTACAATAAGTCAACAACTACTCACTTCATCTTGCGGATGTCCGACCACTTCAAATCGAAATCTCTTAACATCTGGCCAACATCAACAAACACGCACACACAAACACAGACACACAGACACAGGCAGGCAGGCACGCACACACATCTCTATCATCCTGACAACATGACCTGACACAAAGAGCATATCTAATGGTATGTGTGTGTCGCGCGCACGTGTGTGTGTGCGTGTGTACGCGTGCGTGTGTGTGTACGCACGCGCGCACGTGTGTGTGTAGAGAGAGAGAGAGAGAGAAAGTTACATTTATAAAGACAGGTAAGTCTAACAAATGAGGACTGAGACCTCTACAACAGGGTTTTTATGCCTGAAAGCAGGTGCATGATTTAACAAGCAGGTTGTCAGTCTAGATTTTATGCGCAGATGGAGAAAAAGCGCAGAATTTTTGTTATGAGATGAAAAGCAGAAATAATAAGAAAAGATGAAATGAAAGCCTGCTCACAACCCCGCCCAGCCTTGCGAACTGGGTATGGTGGATTAAGAACCCGGTGAGAGAGAGAGAGAGAGAGAGAGAGAGAGAGAGAGAGGGGAGAGAGGAGAGAGGGGAGAGAGGAGAGAGGAGAGAGAGAGAACAAAACTTACATAGCTCCCAGTCTGCTGGCCTTCATGGCCGTTTGCATAGAACAGATGAATGCCCTGCGGTAATGGTGACAAAAACAGAGATAATGTATGCATACACACACATACACACGTGCATACCAGCACGCACACACACACACACACACATACACACACGCACGTTTTGAGTCTTTCGAGTTTCGACATTCGCGAGTGCATGTGTTTCTATTTCCGTCTCCCCCTTGGAGTACTTCCTGCTGATCTGCAGGCTACTAAGGTTACGTTGAAAAGCAAACGAGTAGCGTGAGTTCTGCAGGGACTGGCTGGATTTCAGCTCCCCTTGACTCTTTTTGAGCAGTGTTGCAGCGGCTAGTTCGAGCTGTGAAGCTGCGACTACGGGTGTGTCTCAACCTTCCCAGACACCGCTCTCTGAGTTCCCTTCTGGCAGTTCTGCAGTTGGGTAAACTGTTCAATCTGCCAGATCCAGCTGCCCTGCTTTCTCCATTGGTATCCTCATCAAGTTTTACATCAACAGGGTAACTGTGGATGGCCAGCCAAAGCTAACTCCAATGTGCTGGGCCTCGATGGCTGTGACAGCAAGTCACTGAGACTGGTCAAGCGTGGATATGTGCAGAAGATAGATATTGTGGCGCTGAATGACAAATCTGAAGTCTATATTCGAGCACGGTGTGAGCCTGAAATGCGGTCAGCAAAGCCGTATAAGCTGAAGCTCCCTTGCGTTGTTGGTGAGGGAGAGGAGAGACCTGTGAAGGATATTCCGTTTGCCGAGTGTTATCCGTGCCCTGCCAGCAAAGCGCCACACGCAAAGCTGCAAGCATATTGCAGCGTTGCGTTATGCCCTTGGAGTTCTGTGAGCTGGGTTCCACAAGGGAGTTTGTAAGTCGGTAGTGGACACGATACGGCGTGGAATAAGCCGCACACCAAGAAATCGGAACCAAAGCGTGCTGTAGAATTGGACTAGAGCAAACCTGTTCTGCAACTTGCTGGGCAAGCCAAAAGGTTGAAAACAAAGCAGACCCTTGCAGACATTGCACAGCTGGATGTCTGCGCATCTCGAGACCGTGACTCGACTGCACGGGCCGCATCGACCCATGCGGAGGAGACGATTTGCAGGCAAAGTATACCTGGGTGGCAGACAATCATGATCATGGAGTATACGCTGTACAGGAGAGCCAGCGGATTGAGAGACTTGCCCAGAGCAAAAGCACAGCTGGCATCCTTTCACGAGCGACAAGCCAGAGAAGTGATAACACCATGTCAACTACACTAATAACTACTACCGTACTGACTAAACCACTTTTACGGGCAGAAAACAATTCAGAAAACAACGGTACTATATTTGTAGTAGCACTACTCCTACTACTACTTGTTGATGCGTTGACAATCAGTTATGGTTGGCCCCTCCAAGACTTGCCCAGCACATGTGTATCTGTGTGTGCGTGTGAGTGTGTGTGTGTGTGTGTGCGTGTGTGTGTGCGTGTGCGTGTGCGTGCGTGCGTGTGTGTGTGTGTGTTTGTCGGCCAAACATTTGTCGCGGCTGAAATTTTGTTTTGCAAGGTTGAACGTGACAGCGTATACAGGCAGCAGCAGTACAAGCTGGAATACGAATGCACCCGAAACGTGTTTTAGCCCTGGGAGGCCGAAATTTAAACGTGCCGAAAATTTGTAGACTTGCACAGTATTTGCGGAAGTGAACAGCATTATCATTAGTTACTTAATGAGTGCCGCCGCTGTCTATAGGCTTTGTAGATGCGCCTTAGGTTTGATATTGAACTACTTTGCAAGTAGGTTTGATATTGAACTACTTTGCAAGTAGCGATGGTCTACGATATTAGCCAGCTTTTTTTAGCTGCGCTTTGGTACAATAACCCTTATGCACATCGACGTCACGTACGAAATCCCGTAGCATCCCGTAGACCCAGTTCGATGTTGAATGTACAGGACCCTAGTGTGTTTTCTGTATTTTGGACTACGAAACGGTCCCTTCAGGCATTTCATGAACTACTTTTTTCGGACGAAGATCTAGCTAGTCATTAGTTCTATCCAAATTGATGTACTGTCCTGGACATGGAAATCCGGTCGCACATCTAGCGGCCCCAGGGCGCTGGCCATGCAGCCTAGCCGTGGATAAGCGGAACATGCATCATAATTATAATGCGCATGCAGCGCGCTGGTCGCATCGCGATTGGATCAACGCTACATGACTTTGGGCACTGCACGCAGCGTTCTGTACGCGCTGAGGGCGCCGGCCCCGGTCAATCGGCTGGATTTCCATGTCCACGACAGCAGCTGGAAAAGCGACTGTCTGCCACTAAGTATTGGGCTAAATTGGTCAAATGCGCATCTTCATGTATAGCCCACAATGAACAGCCAACCGTGCATGCACACACCTACCGGGGGAATGAACAGCCAACCGTGCATGCACACACCTACCGGGGGAATGCGTCGTACATCTGTACGAGATGATGTAATGTGCATAAGGACTATAAGAACGGCGTCTTCCTCAGACTAACTACAACTCTCCAGGAAAGGAGGAATGTTGAGACTGGCAGAAACAAGGCGATCAAGAAGGACCTACAGCAGCATTATCTAAGTTTTCCATTCACGGCAATACAGAACTAATACAACAAAGTGGGCGCAAAAAAGTATCCCGCAGGCTTTCCCGCCACAGTTAAAAAACGAATACTAGCATGGCCTATTCGGGAGTACAGTGCATCTGCAGTATAATGAATAACAGGGCACAGGTTGAGCATGTGATGCATTCCTTCCTATATCAGTCACCTGTTAAAAAAAATCATCTGTTAGGCCATGGTAAAAAATATCTTTGATTCTCAAGTACGCGCGCATCGATTTTTGGTGGCGCACCGACGATTTTTTTAATTTCTATGCATGCATATGCGTGCATGAAAACGGTCAATGCGAAAGGCATGAATCCGGGAGTAGAAAAATACCGGTATTTTTCTACTCCCTGGCCTGAATAATAAAATAATTATAAATTAATTATGAACCTGTGACGTACACATGTGTGACCCTATCTTTGGAAATAAAAAAAATTGTGGGAATTAAAATAAAAAATCGCTCGCTCGCACCGATTTTCACAGGCTCATGACCTGAGAATCAACTTTATTTTTTACCATGGCCTTAGGTCTCTGTAAAGAGTACTAAAGACCCATTCTACATGACTGTATCACTTTATGCGACATGCGACACTTGCGACAAAGACATATTTGTTGCGTAGCGCAGGTTACTGTGCTTTGCACAGTGCGTTGCAGTTAGGATGTCGCAGAAAACAAACCGATCGTCAATCATGCGTCGCGATCGCAGCTCGTCGCAGGTGCCGTCGCATGTCGCGCATCGCATCACGAAAAAGCGGTTTGTAAACGGTTCGACAGTTACTTACTCCTTCTTCACTCTCATCTGTTAGGTCTTTATAGGACAGGCTCAGGTACATGGGCACGTAGTTGTTCGTCTTGTTGGGGTCTTTCAGGTCCACACGCATATCCTCCAAGGACAGGACCTGATGACAGACAACGTGTACAACGCACATATACACACACGTACACACACACACACACACACACGCACACACGCACACACACGCACAAGCACATACACATACTCGTACACACACACACACACACACACACACACACACACACACACATACACACACACACACACACACACACACACACACATATTCATGCATGCATGCATGTACACACGAGGAATGCTTCAAATAAACCAGGGCTTTTCTTGGCCCCGGAATGTTGGCCCAGAACACACATTGGGACAGTCGTAATCCTCTCATTTTGAACCTGCCAGTAAACTCAGCAGCGACCAATGGCACTTCCAACAACATAAGAACCATACCTGCCGCATACCTATCACATGACCTGTGGCATATCCATCACATGACTTGTGGCATATCCATCACATGACCTGTGGCATATCCATCACATGACTTGTGGCATATCCATCACATGACCTGTGGCATATCCATCACATGACTTGTGGCATACCCATCACAGGACTTGTGGCATACCCATCACATGACCTGCCGCATATCACATGACTTGTGGCACATCCATCACATGACTTGTGGCACATTTCTGCTCTGCTCGGCGTCTATGAGTATATGACAAGTTTGACTGTTCCTGGTGGTCTGGTCAAGCTGTTGAGCGTTGCTTGCTATGTAGTCTGTATGTTGGCTATATCAACCACACATTTTCCATCTGGGCTGTGCACTGCACACATAATGTGCATACCGGTCTGGCATGCATGAAAATTATCAGCAAAAAAAGGAAGCCGACCGATGTTTTTCTGGCCATGTTACCCGAAATAGATTTTCTCGGTGTGGCCTATTTAACATAGCGCGAACTTTTCCGCCTATTCAGTCTCTGTAGCCGCGCCCGGTACTGTAAAACATGTAATTTTAGGTGCATTAAAATTTCGGTGCCAGGGACCTGCCAGGTTTCAGGTGTAATTTAGAATTAGGTGACCGGCGTTCCCTTCACATACAGTGCATACTCTAGTACCGTTTAGGTGTAATTTAAATTTAGGTGCCTGGTTTCTCTGCCGAAACCACCGAAATTAAAGTTACACCGAAAATCACATGCTTTACAGTACTCACAGGAATGCGTTGGAAGCGACTTATATCACTGATATCTATCGAAGGAACCGCTTCTTTAGTACTGGACTCGGCAGACTCGGCACTGTCCCCAGGTGCAGAAGCTTCGGTGGCGCTGCGGCTGGAAGCAGCAGGAGAAGATGCTGCACTGGCCGCCACCGACGGTGGGTTGGACTTGTTGCAGTACGGCTTGTACACCGCTGTAAAGAACTCTAGCCAGAACTCCAGTTTCTGGACAGGACAACACACAAGACATCAGAACACACACACAGTAACCGACATGGAGACACCTTTTGACCTTTCGATGCCCATCGCCTCCGGAGGCGATCATGGCGATGCTACAGCAAAAGCCATAGTAACTTGTGCTGCGGTTGCACCATTCAACCACTTGCAAGGCTGTAGAATTGACCGCCACTACATCAACACGCACGCACACGCACATGCATACACATGTGCACGTACAAGTACATGCACGCCAGCACACACACACACACACACACACACACACGCACACACACACACACGCACTACTACTACTACTATTGACAGCTGCCAGAATTGGCCACGCCGCTCCCAGATGGGAGGTACTGTCAGAGAGGTTAGGGGGGGGGGGGGGGGAGGAAGGCAATGCTCCACGTGGCGATCCAGATATTGCCGCCTCCGGAACCGTTGGTTGTGGCAAACTTGGCAGTGAACTTGAATTGCTGGCGTTCAGCCATAGTAGGGCGCTTTGGACAGGTTCCACAACGGCGACGCTTGAGACACACACACACACACACACACACACGCACACACACACGCACCTGTCCTGTCCTGTAGAGCCACTACACACACACACACACACACACCTCAGACCTCAGACCTGCCCATCGCGGAAGCGATGATAGCGAACAGCTATGTTAGACATAGCAACTTGTGCTCGGACTACACCATTCAACAGCTTGCAAGGCTGATGAATTGACCGCCACTAATTTTAGCCTGGTATCCACCACACAGCTGATTGAAGTGGCTTTTTCTGGCACACACACACACACACACACACACACACACGCACGCTCACACGCTCACACATGCACTGCATATATAAGTTACAAAGCAAAGAGCAAGTAGGGAAAGGGCAGAATACATACGGAGAGCATGGATATTCGATGATCAAGTGGCCTCTTTGCCATGATGATGGTGACATTGTTCATGGTCGTCTTGATCATCCTGGCAAACGACAATGGAAACACACAATGCAATCAACAGACAGTACCACTTTCCATTTTAGGTGTGCTCAAATTTCGGTGTCAGGGACCTGCCAGGTTTCAGGTGAGGGTGCTCATTTCAATATAGGTGATCAGCCTACCCTTCACATACAGTGCATACTCTAGCAAATTTTAGGTGTAATCCAAATTTAGGTGCCTGGGTTCTGCCTGGTTTCTCAACCGAAATTACTGAAATTACAATTACACTGAAAGTGCTGCTTCAGGAGTTAGCACCAAGCGAACAGCACAAATTAAATTATCATAAAGTACAGTATATCCCTCCCTCATGCCGTGTCGCTTCCCAGCTTGTTTTCGGGAGGGGACGGGAACTAGATTAGGTCGTTCAAGTGCAGTACGATGTACTGCAAAGCAGAACATCAGATCTGGCGTACTGGATTGTGCACATTTTCATCCTGCACTGGCACGTATTGCGTACAGAAGTTCATGCGTCGGTTCAAAACTGCATTTCAATGCATATGCCGACGTCGCTTCAGACAGAAAGTCGCGTCGGGCAGAAATTGGACGGGGGGGGGGGGGGGGATCAACGGTACTTTACAGCAGCGGCCAAATTGGACAAGCAGATGGCAGATGGTGTGCTAAGCGTGGGTGAAGCTCATCCCTATCTTAAACGTACCAATCAGGAGGATAGAGCAGGAAGATCTTCTCCGCAATATAACACGCCATCGGAACATTCTCTTCCAGAATGTTGACCTCAAATATGGTAGCAAAGTCCCAATAGTCCTTCAGCGTGTCAAGAGGACCTTTCTTGCCCAGAAGATTGTTCAACTTGATAACTGAGAGCAGCAGGATATGGAGATGCAGAGGAGACATCAAACACACGAACACACATGCATATACAGTACAGATTCAGAAGAAATCTTGGAAAGAGGACTCAATTGGCCACTGAATTGCCCAAATGCCGACAAATCACCCCCTCCCCGTACAACCATCTCTCACCTGTACAGGGACTTGCACACTCACACCCACACACTTGTCCTGGCTCACTGCCACAAACTGGTCACGTGCGTCTCCCTCCTTATTTATTTATTTATTTTAGTTTATTCCAAGCAATACATGGCTGGGGTAGCCAATGACCACTTTGCGTGGCTCTTTCTTGCAGAGGGGGAGAGAGAGATACAAGAGGACTTTCCAGAAAACTAAGAGCTTACAGATCTGCTGAAGCCTGGGCGAATTCGCAACTTTCTTCCCGGAGGCGACAAGAAGGGTTGCCAGATTAACCCCAGCATAGATATTGGGCTCTATGTCAAAGCCCTGGCTGTACCAGCTGATCGACTTTTCAAGGAGCTCCGGTTCGCCGCCGTTCTTCGCCTTCGTCCATTTGTCCTTGAAGATTCGCCCCAAGAGGCAGAACAGTTCGGGATTGCGGTTCCCCGGATTCTCCAGCGCCTGAAGGAATAATAATAATAATAATCATAATGTAGAAGAGAAAAGGACATATCGATACGAGTTAAGAGTAACTCTCCATCACTGTAACATGATACTATATACAGTCAGAAAGTGCAATAACTAGGAGAGTTACTCTTAACTCGTATCGATATGTCCTTTTCTCTTCTACATTTATTTATGGCTCAACATCCGAGTTTCAAATAATTATAATAAAGCAAACACACATATACACACATACATACATTTACATATACACACTCATACTCATACTCCTGCCCATCGCTGAAGCGATGATAGCGAACAAGCTATGTTATATATAGCAACTTGTGCTGGGATTACACCATTCAAAAGCTTGCAACCAGGAGAATGAAAGGACATGCATACACACACACACACACACACACACACACACACACACACACACACACACACACACACACACACACACACACACACCACACACACACGCACGCACGCATACACACGCACGCACACACATACACACATGCAAACACACAGCAAACACGCAAACACACAGCATACGGCAAACACGCACAATTGAAGATTCAGAGCTTCACAAGATAAATGTTCGGTTAATGTTGGAGTTAACCGTTGTTAACAGTCACATACCATTGCTTCGCTGTTGGCCTTTATAACGGGTTGCATAACCCTCCTTACGTGTATGCACAATCTTGCTCTCTCTACATACTGCTGTGTATCATAGACATCACATGCCCACGCTCTGCGCATGCGCAGATTTCCTGCGCGCACAACAGAGCTTGCTGTCTTTCCAGTTTCCTTGCCTGCAGTCAGCTTTCAAATTCTGATCTTCTGATTTCTGATTTGAGTTTGCCTCCGTCCTGCTTCAGAGTGTCAGTCCTAGTTCTGCCGATTGGCTGCCGCCTTTAGTATTCGCTTTCCTTGTTCTCTCTCAGCTCAGTCCCGTCAGACTACGTGTCTTCAGCGGCCAGAGATTATTTGAGTATTATATTCTCACGATGGCTCGTTTCTCGACCAGAAAAAAGACGCCATCGGCCAGAGTGGCAGCTCAACCTTCGGATACAGGACGTAATGTGCGTGTGCGGCGAAATCCTGTTCGTCTTCAACCGCCCAGAACTCCAATATCTCCCCACTTGGATTCTGTTGTCTCCGACGTTGTGCCGTCAGTTTCTTCTGCCGCCGCCTTGAATGTGGTCCCTGATCCCGGGGCGGCAACTCAAACTTCGGCTGCAGGCAGTAATGCGCGTGCGAGGCCAACTCCTGTTCGTCGTCAACCAACCGGGACTCCATTATCCACGGCCTCTGTTGTCTCCGACGTTGCGCCGTCAGTTTCTTCTGCCGCCGCCTTGAGTGTGGTCCCTGATGTACTTGCTTCGGCTGTTTCTCAGGCCGTCGGCCAGGTCCTCCAGCCCCTGATGGAGCGAGTAGAGCAGTTGGAATCTGCTGCAGCCGTCGTGCCGCTTGTCAACTCCAGCTCCGTTCATGCATTCCGGGGCCATCTGCCGGCTGCTCGTCCGTCGCTCTCTGTACCTGATAAACTCCGCGGGCGAATTGAACGCGGCGAGTTTATTGACTTCGACGACCTCCTCCCGGACCAGCTGGGTGTGGAGCCCGATGTGGTCCAGCTAGCTGTGGGGGCCAACCGCTCTGTCCAACTTGTACAGAAGCCAACTCAGGCCCAGCGCCGCCATGTCCACGATGTAGCGTCATGGCTCGAGGCGTTTACTGTCTACACAAGAGTAATTGTCGCGGCGGCTCCAGATAGGGCGAATGATTTGCTGGCATATCAGGCCACTATTCTGGATGCAAATAACTCGTATCAGGTGGACGCATGGCTAAGTTATGACAGGCGTTTCCGGCGCGCCATAGCCTCCCAACCACTGTCGTACGACTGGGCTATCATCGACTCTAATTTGTGGCAGTCGTCATTCACCAGCCGTGGTCGCCCGCCATGTTCGCGCTGTTCTCTGGTGCACCCAGTGGCCCAGGCCCGGTGTCCCTTTAGACCAGGGCCTCCATCCGTCGGCGCTGGGAGTGGAGGTCCGCCGCAGTCCAGCGCGCCAACCCATCTTGGGAAGCCTATCTGCCGCAACTTCAACAAGGACCAATGCAACAACTCATTCTGCTATCGTGCCCATGTGTGCCTTCAATGCCGCGGGAAGCACCCAGAAGTCAAATGTGGCAGGGGACTGGCAGTCCGCCACCTCAGCGTCTGCTCCGTAAACATTCTGTGGAGACCCCCATCAATGTACGCCGATTAGCCGGGCTCCTTAACCGTCATTCTGATCACTCCTTCTCTCACTTTGTGCTGCATGGGTTGTGTCATGGTTTCACGATAGGCCATTCTGCTGCTATATCTGGTGTTCATAGTTCTCCCAATCACCTGTCGGCTATTCGTAATATGCAGTATGTTTCTTCCTATTTGACCGAATGTTGTGAAGCTGGGCAAACAGCAGGTCCATTTCCGGAGCCACCCTTTCTGTGCATGCAGACATCTGGTCTGGGTGTTGTGCCGAAGTCCAATGGAAAACTTCGTGTGATACATGACCTGTCGTCTCCCGATGGCAGCAGTGTCAACGATGCTATACCACGCGGGCAGTTCAGCCTGCATTACGACTCCGTGGACACCGCAATTGCCGCCATTATGCGCCTCGGCAAGGGCTCCCTCTTGACAAAGGTAGATATCCGTAATGCATTTCGCCTGTGTCCCGTCGCCCCCTCGGACTGGCATCTTCTCGGGATCCGTTGGAACGGCATGTACTATTACGAGAAGGTCCTTCCATTTGGTCTCCGCTCCTCACCATTCATCTTCAACCAGCTGGCAACGGCTATCAACTGGGTCCTTGTCCATGTCGGCTCCTTGCCCGACGTAATGCACTACCTCGATGACTTCCTCGACATCTGCCCACCAAGCTCCTCCCTGGCGGCCAAGCACAAGGCCATCATCTTGGACTTGTTCCAGTTCTTGAACATACCTGTCGCCACAGAGAAAGTTGAGGGCCCTTCCACTGTCCTCACCTTCCTCGGTTTGGAACTGGACACCGATCGCTTGGAAGTGCGTCTGCCTCAGTCCAAGCTTCTGGCCCTACGTCGTTTAGTCTCTACCACCCTCGACCAGGGTTGCGTTCTCAAACGCGAACTCGCCTCCCTCCTGGGCCACCTCTCGTTCGCTTCCAGAGCAATTCCTGCCGGCCGTACATTCTTACGCCGCCTGTATGACCTCGACAAGGCCACATCTGAGATGTCATCTCACCGAATGCTGCACCTCTCAGCCTCAGCCAAGGGCGACCTGAGCTGGTGGCACCAGACTCTGTCAACATGGAACGGAAAGTCATTTTTCCTGCTAGAGAAGTGGATGCCCAGCGCTGACCTCCAGTTGCAAACCGACGCAAGTGGCACCATTGGATTTGGAGCCTTCTTCAATGGTCGCTGGTTCAGAGGTGACTGGTCTCCGCAGCAACTGGAACTAAGCATTACCTACAAGGAGCTCTTCGCCATTGTCGCGGCCTGCGCCACATGGGGGATCGAGTGGCTGCGGCTGCGTGTGGAGTTTCAGTGCGACAACCAAGCTGTCGTGGAGTGCCTGAAGACGGGCACGAGCCGGTCCCCTGCAGTCATGGCACTCATCCGCACCCTGTACTCAATCTGTGTGAAGCACAATTTCCTGATCCGAGCATCGCACCTGCCAGGAATTTCCAATACCATCGCTGATGCCCTGTCCCGGAACAAGATGGATGCCTTCAGGACCTTTGCTCCTACAGCTGCGGAGCGGCCTGACACCATGGTCCAGCCGATCACCGAGTAAGTGCAAAGACATTCACTTAGGATGCAGATAGCGTTCTTTGTCGATCCTACTCCACAATATCAGTCTGACTTTATGCCTCTAGAACAACGCTCTTGTGCAATACATACTTACCATCTATATTGGCTGTTATCACCCGCTATCTCCTCTGGCCCTAATGGGAATGTCGGCATGGGCACTCCTCCGTAACTGGCCTCTCGCGCACTACTATTAAACTCGCATGGGTCATAAACCGCTCCTGCTCAACGCAGGCCGACCCACCAACTCGCATGGGTCACAAACCGCTCCTGCTCAGCGCAGGCCGACCCACTTGGTCATATACAGCTCCTGCCCTCGGTAGGCCGACCACACGATTCGTTAACGCGCACTCAATTGAGGCCAGCTACTCTGCCCGACATTCCCATTCTTCCAAACTCACTCTCTTGTCTTTTGGTGTGTCGCGTCCTGCACGCGTGTGTGTCTACTCTATACTCTAGCATGGGGAGTAGAATGTTAAATGTTCGGTTAATGTTGGAGTTAACCGTTGTTAACAGTCACATACCATTGCTTCGCTGTTGGCCTTTATAACGGGTTGCATAACCCTCCTTACGTGTATGCACAATCTTGCTCTCTCTACATACTGCTGTGTATCATAGACATCACATGCCCACGCTCTGCGCATGCGCAGATTTCCTGCGCGCACAACAGAGCTTGCTGTCTTTCCAGTTTCCTTGCCTGCAGTCAGCTTTCAAATTCTGACCCACCCTCCTCATCCCATTTCTTACTCTTGCACTCCACTCCATATATTTTGAAACACATGGATGCGGGCACTCCTCCGTAACTGGCCTCTCGCGCACTACTATTAAACTCGCATGGGTCATAAACCGCTCCTGCTCAACGCAGGCCGACCCACCAACTCGCATGGGTCACAAACCGCTCCTGCTCAGCGCAGGCCGACCCACTTGGTCATATACAGCTCCTGCCCTCGGTAGGCCGACCACACGATTCGTTAACGCGCACTCAATTGAGGCCAGCTACTCTGCCCGACATTCCCATTCTTCCAAACTCACTCTCTTGTCTTTTGGTGTGTCGCGTCCTGCACGCGTGTGTGTCTACTCTATACTCTAGCATGGGGAGTAGAATGTTAACAACAATTGGCCGAGGGAAACTGAAAGTTATGGACTAATAAAATTGTTGAATTCTTTAAGAAGGCAGAGCTTGACTGGGCTTCGGGACCGTGTGAAAAGGTCAACATCCAGGGAAAAAGCGGCCGCAATTGGATGAGGCAAGTGCCCTATAACACATGGAATGGAAGGAGGCGCAGATTGCCAGGTGTTGTGACATTCACTAGTCCGTACATGGAGCAGCACCACACTGCTCTCCACACAGAGATGATTAAATGCGCATAAAAACAAACAATATTGCCATCAGCCACGTGTGCTCGTTCTATGCCCTATACCCTCACCGTGTTAATCACTTGTATTGCCAAGGCTTGGTCTTCGTCCGTATCCCTTCTACAGCGGTGTACAGCACACACACACACACACACACACACACACGCACGCACAGACACGCACAGACACACACGCACACACACACACATACACACGCACACACACACACACACACACACACACACACACAAGAGCAAATATATGGCAGGGTAAATAGAAAATACAGTTTATATGGCCAAAGAAATCCAACTTCATGAATAAAGTTCGAGTTTGAGTGCACAGACCAGTATGTGTAGTGCTAGGGCTAAGCCGGCTGCGTAGCGCCCAGCTCTATTTTATTCATGAGGTTGGATTTCTTTGGCCAGCACTGTAGTAGAGGAGCTGGAGTGTGTCGCACTCCGATGGTACTGCCCAACTAGAATGAGAAATGATGAAAAAACATGTTTTAGATGGGCGTGTGTCCTCTCCCTTATCTGAGCGCTTTTGAGAAGTCACAGTGCCCCATCGGCACTCTGCTGTATGGAGAAAAAAGCCAAGATGATCATACACTGGGAGGGCAGACTTTGAACTTGGAAGAATATCATGTCACTGTCTGGAGTAGAATGTCAAATCTCTATAGATGAATGATCCACGATGCACCTACACGTCTTCACAATACATACAATGTAAAACTTATACCTGGACACACACGTGTGCGCACGCACACACACACACACACACACACACACATACATGCACCCATGCATAAGCACGCAAATGTACACAAATGCACCCACACACGGCTACACACACATACACACATGCAAACACAAGCGCAATCACACAAGACAAAGACCCAGACCCATACACACACAGAGGCATGACTGACCGATTCAAGGCAAATCCGTAATGCTGCAAGAGCACACCAGAGCGCAATGCAGAGTCTGGGTGCAGACCTTCGTAGATCTCAATCATTGGCTCATGAAGCTATAAACACAGAGAACACACACACCATGTACCACACACAAACACACACACACACACACACACACACACACACATAAATTCACTTGTACACGTGCGTGCACACGCACACACTACTGGCTCACTGCTCGATTCTCTGGCGTTCGTCAACAGGCTGGTTCGGAAAGCTTCACACTTCATTGAACATACAAACGACACACCAGAAACTATCAGGACACACATACATACACACACACAGGCACACACGTACATATGCGCACGTACACGTGCACACACATATACACAAACACACGCACACACACACACACACACAGGCACACACACACACACAGACACACACACACACACACACAGGCACACACACACACAGGCACACACACACAACAGACACAAACACACACAAACACACACGGACTGACCTTCAAATCGCGGTAAGCAAGCATCACGGGGAGAAGGACATTGAGATCCTCGGCCAAGCGTTCATCTTTCCTCATACTATCTCTCAACTTGTCAAGTAGCTATTGGACCAAAAGAGCAGCACCCATACAATACATCGAGGACAAGCCAGCCTCATCATCCATATCTGGCAAGATTTATCGATGGTAGACTGGTGAAAAAATCCCGATACATGAAAGATGAATACTGTCACGCGACTAATGAGCAGGCTCTGTCACATGACCATTGAGCACGCTCTGTAACTGGTAACAGTGGTGCACTGATCACCTACTGTAAAAGCAGAAAATTTCAGAGGTGTAATATTTTCGGTATGCTCCAAAATCGGCGGTTTGGTGGAGGGAAATATTCGGCAAACCTGTTTTCCAGGTACGTGTACTAGTACCGAAATTTTTGGTGCGTTTTATTTTTTTTAATTGTCGGCACCGAAGTTACCGAAAATAAAACACCACCAAACATTTCTGCTTTTACAGTATCCAAAACACAGCAAACAAGAACTCTCAAGCGTACAATCCAGTGTGGACCACACACACACAGTGACAAACAAAAGCAAACGCAGTGCTTCCAAGAGGATGCTGGGTGCGTCAGAATGTAAAACTACACCGGAGCAATTATCAGTAGATACGTCGTTAGCACACCACACTGAACAAGTACATGTACAGTAAAGTCAAGGCAACCACTCGGATAAGGTGACCACCTGTCCTAGAAGACCACTGCAGCCAGGACCAAGGGATGCTATTTCCAGTCAATTGACCCTGGATAAGGCGACCACCTGATGACAGAGACCACGTTTTGAAGGTCCCTTGAGCGGTCGTGTTAGACAGGTTTCCCTGTACCAGCAAATACAGAACATTACGCTCTGCCTCCTCGGTGTTGAGCACTGTCAGCACACTGGGTACATCCTCCGGTATATCAGCAAATACGTTAACATGTACACATCACAGCCAATAGCCAATGAGACAGACTCACCTTGCGTTTAGCTTTGGGCGACTCCTTTGCCATTGCCAATTGAAGATCCCGGAGGAATAGCTCTTTGTACTGTTTCCTGTTGAGTGCATGCAAAAATGCACACGCGCACACACACACACAGACACACACGCATGCATACAGATAAACACACATATGCACACACACACCACCGCACAAGTAGACAGCCGGAAGTAAAATATATGTTACGGGGACACCTCTTTAAATAGGGGCCAAGTAATAGATGCTTTTCACAATTGAAACTTGGTTCAAGGTAGGGGCAAGTCACTTCAAACACTTCTGCTCTCAAGTGTTTTTGTGCCATTTGTGGCCTTGCTGTTTTCTCTGGATCTCTTGCAGTAGTACTCTGCCCTCTCGCGATCACTGGTGTGTGACTGAGTGCACCAACAGGCATGAAAAAACCCAGAGTTGTCAGTTCACACGGTTTCTCTTGGTAAGGAGGCCCTGTGAAAGCGTTGGGTCGCCGGCATTAGACCAGATGAGGGCGCTCATTTCAAGATAACACAGTCGACCGTTGTGTGCAGCCACTCCAATCTACAAAGGATGATTACATTGTTCGTCCTGATGAAGAAAGTAGGAGCAAGCGCAGGAGGCTGAAGTCCCTGCTGTACCCAGACTCGCTCGAGACGTATCACTGTTGAGACCGTCACCAGCAGCTCATGCTGCCATCTGTAAGAGACACGCAGACTGGGCTGCGATCGCTGCTCTTCCGGTGTACGGACCACCGAGCGAAGTCTCCTACCTGCGTGAGAAGCTATCCGGTACTGAGGCTGAGCTTGCTCGAGTTTCTGAAGAGTTACGAGTGGAGTGATGTAAGCTGCTATCCTCCTGTGTTTTATCATTCAAAAATGAATATGCTGCAGTTTCACACTGGGTTGACTCGTCCCATGTGGACCGGCCTACGGGACATCCTCCTGGAAAGGCAATCATAGCAAAAGGAGACGCAAGGAGTCGGCAGCGACAGACACCAGTGGACGTAGACGTTCTCACCATGTGGACATGGAAAGCAGCAGCCTGTTTCTGGAAGATCAGCAGCTGGTTATGACCCTGGTGAGACTTCAGCTTGGATACCTTGAGCAGGATCTTGGTGTTGCGAAATTCGATGCGCTTATTCTTTTCACCTGCTGTTGTCTCTGGTCTCGCTGCTGTTTCGTCCTGTCCGGTGTCAAATATGGTCTTCTGTGCGTACGGGCGTGGTGTGTTGTGTGCAGTATATGGGTGTGGTGTGCGCGGGATATGTGGTGCATGCAGGAGTATGCGTTGTGGAGTGGCGGAATCTGCTTCCGCCCGCGTGAGAGTGTTGGTGGACAAGTTGTTGCGTATGCGTGGACTATGTGGAGCATGTGCTGTGAGAGTAAGGTTCGGGTGCGAGAGAGTGGTGTGATTCGTCCACGAAGTTGTTGTCTTGGTTCTCGTCACGTGTCGTACGTACTGGTCGCTCATTGGTCGTTTTAAGTTGTTCGCCCTTTCTTCTGTTTATAACTGTTAGTTGTAAAATCAGTTCGTTGTCTTTTTCCCCCGTTCTCTCGCCAAACAGATTAATACTTCTTTCAACCGATATTGATCTAAAAGCAACAGTGTAATATTCTTGTACGCCCGGTATGAGTCAGAGAGTTGTTGTGTGGCGGGGAGCGGGGGAAAAGTCCATTTCATTGGTTTCTAGTTCAACGTCAGTATTGCAACTGTGAGCAATGTTCACGATGTGGATACATTCAATTCACTCGCGACTTGGGTCCATTCCAATGTGGCCCAAGTGGGAGCACATTGAGGCAACAATGCCTGCGTCATTCAATGTCACTTCAGCTCGTCCTCAAGGTTGACTACCCGTCCACCGTGGTGATCATCGATGCAACAGAGCTGAGATGCAAGATCCCCTCTGAACTGTCACTACAGTCACAGCATTACTTGCAGTAAAAGTCTAGTACGGCGCCAAAGGGCTTGGTTGGCACTGCCCCGAAAGGCTGCTTTACGTTCAACAGCCAATGGCATCAGTGATAGGCAGCTAATGACCAAGAGTGGATTTCTGGATCTGGTCCGAAGTGTACCTGCACAGAAGAGTGTCACAGCAGACAGAGGGTTCGAGATACAGGATCCCCGTGTGTGCCCTATGGACAGCTGCTAAACATACCTCCTTGCAAGGGATCTTCATCTCATCTCTCGAAGGCGGATGTGATCAAGATGCAGCAAATTGACCGCACGCGTATTCACGTTGAGAGAGCCATCGGTCAAGTAAAGAAGCGCTTCTGTGTATGCAGTTCTGATCCGACTCGCGTTGCGTCGATCGTAGTGTTGCAGGTTCAACTGTTGACTGAGTGTTGCGGTCATGTAACTCATGTAATTGTTGCATAGCCGCATGGTAAGCCTAGATAGAGATAGAAGTTCTATATTATGACGTGTTAAAAATCCACCTTTTCCAGCGATGTGCCGATGAAAATATAGTGGACCGTGCTCAAATAATGAAAGAAAGCACTAGCCACTACAAAAATTGTAGTTGCGCAACCTAAAATCGCGTCCTTTTTTGATCCACCACGTGCTTTCTTAGTGCGCATGCGCAAAGCGATGAACTCAAATAAGAGACCGGGTCTCTTATTCGGGCATGGTCTACTATTTTTCCGTGAGGCCTCTAGGAGGGTCTACTATTTGAGCATGGTCTATTATTCGAGCATGGTCCATTAATCGAGGAAATACGGTAAGAATAGAAAGTCGTTTTTCAAACACATTCACAGGCGTGCACACACACTGACTACAGTGCAAGTACTACAGCACTACAGACGCACCTGCACTCCCCATGGAGTCGCACCAAGATACGGCTAAGCAGCCGCTGGAACACTGTATCCACATCAACCTCGGCTGCATCTTTCACTTCTGCTGAGCTCTCTGCTTGGACTGAGCTCTCTGCTGGGATTGAGCTCTCTGCTGGGACTGAGCTCTCTGCTGGGACTGAGCTCTCTGCTGGGACTGAGCTCTCTGCTGGGACTGAGCTCTCTGCTGGGACTGAGCTCTCCACTGGGACTGAGCTCTCTGCTAGGATTGAGCTCTCTGCTGGGACTGAGGTCTCTGCCATAGCAGTGACATCATCGCTGGCTGCAGCGAACTCCTCGGTGGCAGCAGCGAAATCCTCATCCAACGTGGCATCTCCATTGCCTAGCTTGCTGAAACAGATCTCACCGCGCTCGGTCACATACGGTATGAATATGTGGCTGGAGTACAGACTCTGCAACACAAATACACATGTATTGTGATAAGAGAGGTACAGACAAACATGTTATGCATACGTAAAGATAAACAGCGCATTTGCTTGAAACTAAAATTCTTTGAGCCAATCAAGATTCATTGAGACTTCATGGGCGTACTCAAAAAAAGCCCTAACGGTGAACATGTGGACATCAGAACACACACGCACACACACTATGATCTATCATTTTGATTTTTGAATTAACACTGAATGTTAAAACGTTATTTTTGTCAGGTGAGACAAGGTAACGAACGCTTGTTGCTAACTACAGTCTAAACGCTAACACTTTCTGTTTTATCAAGGGATTTCCCCTCATACCTCGCCAAAAACGAAAAAAACTCCAGCAGATGGTTACAGTACGACTTGATGACAGTGTGTTCGTTAACGAAAATCACTCTTTTAGAGTACAGTCAACATGATGATGGTGCTGGACTTAGTGTTGAAACGAGCGTATCTATAACAAACGAGCGATCAGTTCCACTAACGAGCAAGCGGTCGAGCGAGCTAACGAGTTTCACTGATGTGGCAAATATGATTTATTTAAATATATTTTTCAAAGTTCGATTTTTTTTCAGCTGGTTCAAATAATTTAATTATCACCGCCGGCATTTGGGGTTGCTGCTGCTTCACTTCGGACTGCTGTTTGGTGTCGAGATATCTTTTCAGCGCCGTCGTTGAGCAGCCTTTGAAAGAATAGACTGTTTTCACAGATCGCAAGTAGCCCTGTTCTTCGCTGCATCGCGGGAGAAAACTTCCAAATGACTGAGCGTAACTTTCAGAGAGTTGACAGAAGCATGTACTGCAACAGGTCAGCAGATGCGGAACAAGACATCAGTGGAGTCCACTAAAGCCGCAACGACAACTGAAACAACTCAGTGTTGACATGTCGTGCAGGTATACAGTCACTGTAACTGCAAGTGATTTTCACTTTGCGCGGGACTGGACTCTCGATCAGGGAGTCGTAAAATATTCTACGACTCCCTGGTCGACATGTACTGCCATGTGTACGGAGTACGGTGTACGGTGTTCGTTAGTGCAAACGAGCTGGCCGCACAAACGAGCCGAGTTTCTGGCGAGCGAGCGAACGAGTACCCGGTGAGATCGTTTCAACACTATAATGTAGTGCTGGTGCTGGTGGTGGGAGTGGTGGTGGTGGTGGTGACGGTGCTGCTGTTGTTGTTGTTGGTGGTGGTGGTGACGGTGCTGCTGTTGGTGCTGCTGTTGTTGTTGTTGGTGGTGGTGGTGACGGTGCTGCTGTTGGTGCTGCTGTTGTTGTTGTTGGTGGTGGTGGTGACGGTGCTGCTGTTGGTGCTGCTGTTGTTGTTGTTGGTGGTGGTGGTGACGGTGCTGCTGTTGGTGCTGCTGTTGTTGTTGTTGGTGGTGGTGGTGACGGTGCTGCTGTTGGTGCTGCTGTTGTTGTTGTTGGTGGTGGTGGTGACGGTGCTGCTGTTGGTGCTGCTGTTGTTGTTGTTGGTGGTGGTGGTGACGGTGCTGCTGTTGGTGCTGCTGTTGTTGTTGTTGGTGGTGGTGGTGACGGTGCTGCTGTTGGTGCTGCTGTTGTTGTTGTTGGTGGTGGTGGTGACGGTGCTGCTGTTGGTGCTGCTGTTGTTGTTGTTGGTGGTGGTGGTGACGGTGCTGCTGTTGGTGCTGCTGTTGTTGTTGTTGGTGGTGGTGGTGTCGGTGCTGCTGTTGGTGCTGCTGTTGTTGTTGTTGGTGGTGGTGGTGACGGTGCTGCTGTTGGTGGTGCTGTTGTTGTTGTTGGTGGTGGTGGTGACGGTGCTGCTGTTGGTGCTGCTGTTGTTGTTGTTGGTGGTGGTGGTGTCGGTGCTGCTGTTGGTGCTGCTGTTGTTGTTGTTGGTGGTGGTGGTGACGGTGCTGCTGTTGGTGGTGCTGTTGTTGTTGTTGGTGGTGGTGGTGACGGTGCTGCTGTTGGTGGTGCTGTTGTTGTTGTTGGTGGTGGTGGTGACGGTGCTGCTGTTGGTGCTGCTGTTGTTGTTGTTGGTGGTGGTGGTGACGGTGCTGCTGTTGGTGGTGCTGTTGTTGTTGTTGGTGGTGGTGGTGACGGTGCTGCTGTTGGTGGTGCTGTTGTTGTTGTTGGTGGTGGTGGTGACGGTGCTGCTGTTGGTGGTGCTGTTGTTGTTGTTGGTGGTGGTGGTGACGGTGCTGCTGTTGGTGCTGCTGTTGTTGTTGTTGGTGGTGGTGGTGTCGGTGCTGCTGTTGGTGGTGCTGTTGTTGTTGTTGGTGGTGGTGGTGTCGGTGCTGCTGTTGGTGCTGCTGTTGTTGTTGTTGGTGGTGGTGGTGTCGGTGCTGCTGTTGGTGGTGCTGTTGTTGGTGGTGGTGGTAGTGGTGGTGCTGGTGCTGGTGGCGGTGGTGGTGGTGGCGGTAGTGATGGTGGTGGTGGCAGTGGTCAGGTATAGTCAGGCCTCTAAAGCCTTCAACCCAGTACCCTCCATTTCCAGCAGGGTTTCTAAAAAAAGCCTATACACGTATTCGCTAGTCATTCCACCAGGTGTATCCGGCATCCACAATGCATCTCCGGGGGGGGGGGGGGGGGAGGGGGGGGGGGGGGGGACTACTCCAAAACAAAGGCGCAATACATGCGAGCAACACGCTCGATTATCCGGCACCAACACTTGCGCAATGTCAGTGCACATCGGGCAGTCGCATAGGACTCTCTGGTTCACAACGTACGGTGCACACTTGTCAACTGCAAACGGCGTAGGCTGGCAGACTTCCAAGTACATTGTTTTTCGTGAGACTAGCCAGAGGCGGCAGAAGGTATTCGACATTGGTGCGGCCATGGATGGGTGGAGCGTCCGGGGGTCGTCCCCCGGGAAATTTTTAGGGAAATTGGGCCCAAACAGCCCATATTCCATTGCTTCAAAAGTCCAAGATGGAATTATTGGTGCGCCTTTGGTCGCACCTGCCGCACCGGTTCCGACGCCCCTGGTAACACTCCCTCTGACAGAGCACGAAAAATACACGATTTGATATGTACAAGAGTATAAAGCGAGATTCACAGAAGCTTTTTTGCAATGCGACACGCGATGCGACGCGATCTGCGATGGATGCGTGCGATGCGAACTCGCAAAATACCATTCACAGAAGAAGTCAGCGTTGCGACAAACTCTTGCTGATTTGGTTATGTCACCATGATATTCGCGCGGTTTGATACAACTAGTACAAATTTATAGGCAACTCTTGAACCTTTGTACAACTTTGCTGTAGAAAAGGTCAAAATCGTACGCCAAATCGCTTGTCGCATCGCATCGCATCGCAAAAGTTGAGCCAAGCTCAACTTCTGCGATGGCCTGCGATGGCCCAGTTGCGGCAGTTGCGTGGGGTGCGACATGGCTGCGATTTGGGGTTTTCCCGGTTTCGCGTCTGTCGCATCGCGTGTCGCATCGCAAAAAAGCTTCTGTGAATCCCGCTTTATACCCTAGGGCGCGTTTGGTTGGTACGAACTAGAACAGGATTCACCAGAACAGCGGGTTTGGTTGGGACTGCACCTGTTCTGGGTCGGCCAGAACATGTTCTGCTTGCTCCGGCCTCCAGGCCGGAGCAGACCGAGCAGTTTCACTTTTTCACAGTGAAACCTGGCAGGAACATCGATTTTGGTCCCAAATGATCACGTGCATACGCTTTTGGGTTGGACTCGTCGTACCGTACAGAGTGACCATGGTGACCCGTACACATTTTGAAGAATGCACCAAGTAAGTTTGGCACATTTTTCCACAAAAATGTGCTCTGTTTCTGGAGTACCGTTTGGTTGGCATGAGGCTGCTCCATGTGCACCAGCTGTTCGATCCTGTTCTAGATCGTACCAACCAAACGCACCCCTAGTGTGTGCGGCTATCAGTTAAAAAAACAAAAACTCTAGTGCTTCATTTTTAAGTTTACTTTACAATCTTATTCCAATGATTATTCGAAGACTAAGCCGATGGTTCCTAAAGCAAGACACAAACAAACTGAATATACTTCACGCGTGCACTGGCACTAGTGCACTGCACACGAATTTAGAATGTTCAGAATGACACGTGTCTTCTTTAGCTTTGGATACAGTTAATTGACTTTCGCTGAAATGTCAACTTACTTTCATAAAAACAAATAATTGGGGGAACGAGAAGAGCACAGTAACGTTTTTCAATTTCACCACGCCCGGCGTATGGTATTGAACCTCCTTGGGCACTATTCTACTCCTAAAACCCGGCGCTTACCTTCAATGCTTCCGTGGTGTCCGGGTCGGTGTTGTGGATGAGGACCACGGCATGGTGGTTCAATTCAGATTCTCGAACTCCCAGGTGGTACGACAAGTCGGCGCGCTGCTGGGCTTCGGAGATGTCCACAACCGCCACACCAGCACCGTGGAAGGTTTCCTGGCGCTTGGACACGTCCAGCGCCTCGAAGGGAATGTGAGTGACTGTGGCATTGAGTCGCTTGGCGGCCCCTTTCAGCACGTCCAACAGGTTGGGCTCCTTCGCGGCATTAGCACATTGTGGAAGCACAGCAGCTATGTGGAGTCTGGAGCGGTCCCGGGGAGGGTCGTCGTTACCGTTCACCATTTTACCTGAAGTCCGATTCAAGACTGGAAGCAAACATTCCTGGCGCTGTGGAGGACAACCAGAACGATACCGCGGACGACCTTACACCGTCGAATAACCAGAAAACATGTCAAAATGGGAATTGTTCCTTTCCTACTCCTCGCACTGATATTGCACTGACTGTGCACGGCATGGGATATCCCCGGGATGTTCTTCATTTCAAACAAGATTGTTTGTTCTGTTGCACGTGTACGCGTGTATTTATGCGTCTGAAAATGATAGAATTTTTGACAATAATTTTGCCACGCACATGTACACTGCTTTCGAACGTGAATAGAAAACGACGACGCCGATCAAGAGGTGGGCTGCATCGCTGGATGCCTTCAATCAAAATAATTATTTCGAAGTGCCTACGTTGTGGGGTTTCATGCTTTCTTGCTCAACATGGCCAGATCGTTTGCGGAGCGGAGTGGAACCGTGCCCACGTTATTACACGTATATGTGCAGTCCTTGCTTTGTTACCAACATATCAAGGACGGTTGAGGAGAGCGAGAGATCAGAGATCGCTTGCATACTGCCGAGTTGCTTTTCCAATTAATAATTCTCTCTACTTTGTGGATCCTTACTACAAGTAACGATAAGTTGAGGTGATGTGAACTAAGAACCCTTCCAAAGTCTCGGATCGTTACGACGTGAGTGGCTGTAAGAATGAGTAGTGGTGCGTGCAGAGTTTGCGGCAGTACTTCTTTCGAAGAAGATGAGGGTTTCTCATTCTGTCAAGAATGTGGAACTCAAGTCGAGGTAAGGGCGGAATGATTCAGCACAGCTGTAGCATTACATTGCGAGTATAGTGCATAGACTATGCCTTCGTATTTGTTGTAAATCCGTGCACTGTACGTTTGAAGGAAGTATGTATTCAGGGATCATTCATAGTTTTCACAACTACTACACTGCAAATCAACGATTTTTTTATTAAATTTAAAAAAATTGCTGAGAACAATCGACCTCCAAAATTTAACCCGCTGTGGCCACGACCTAGGCTATGGATCTTGCCACCAGAATACTTCGCCTGTTGCAATCAAAGTAGTACTGGTAGTCCTTGGCATTAGTAGAGTGCACAGTCTACAGGCATAGGGCACTCATCACTGGAGTACCAAATACTAACTATATTATATCCTTCACCCGTGGAGGAAGAATCGTAGACACGAAGTTGGGTACAACAGTCAGCGGCAAGAGAACAGTGCATCGTGGAGTGCCACAAGGGGCGTCAATCTCGCCCATGCTCTGGTTAGTGCACACTGCTTCGATTTTTGACAACCTAGCTCTTCCAAGTCTATCGCAACATCAGGTGGACGTCATGCCGTTCATGTGCGCAGATGACATCGCCCTCGCTGTGTCAAGCAAGAATGTGTCGGCTATGCAACTCACTATGCAGGAATTGCTGGACCACGTGTCTGATTTCTGTCGCCGTAGCTGCATTACACTGAACCTGGCAAAGTCAGTACAAGTTGTTATTTCAACGTCTTACCGAGTTCCACACTTGTCTTTGCAGCAGTTCCTCAACAACGTTGCTATACCATCAGCTTCCTCAACCCGCTTCCTGGGGATCGTTGTGAATGCCAACATGAACTTTTCTGAGCAATGTTTAGCTGCCCGCCAATGCATCCAACAGCGCCTGCGTGTCATCCAGGCCACGACTGGTCGGGAGTGGGGCTTGGACCAACAATCAACGATGCGCCTCATCAACCAGTATGTACTGTCATCCGGGTTATATGGCGCGGCTGCATACTATGGCCTCACAACGAACAGTGGAAAACGACTGTTGGAGACAGCTTACAACCAGTGCCTGCGCGTCGCTACAGGATGTGTGCCTTCTACACCACTGACCAAGCTCTACGAGGTTGCAGGTGCTCCGTCCCTGCATACAAAGATCACACGCCAGGCTGGGAATTTGGCCAATATTGCTCATTATCACAACACCCCAACCCCTGCTCGCACCGTTCTCTCCACTCAGGTTCCTCAACGCATACGCCATGACAAGACCACTTTGCAACAGTTAGCCCAGGAGACTTTGCCTACTCAGCAATTTCTCCTGCTGCCTTCGCGACCACCGCCATGGGCAATGGTGGAGAACTTGACGATCCACATCACTGACTGCAGCAGAGATGATCCCCCGCATGTCCGGTTGTCTGCAGCCCTGGAGTGCCTGGACAAGGCATTTTCTCTTTGTTCTTGGTTTAGTGTTGTCCTTGGTGGGAATAGTGAGCTGGGCAGTTGGAAGCGTTCTCCAAGCAGTGTACACTTGTCTCTCTTATGACCCTGATCTACCGGTGTGTGCACGAATGACCCTGATCTACCGGTGTGTGCACGAATGACCCTGATCTACCGGTGTGTGCACGAATGACCCTGATCTACCGGTGTGTGCACGAATGACCCTGATCTACCGGTGTGTGCACGAATGACCCTGATCTACCGGTACCGCGGTGTGTGTGCACGAACAAAAAGCCCCACAGCGGACCCACAAGCACAGTTGCATACTCTTGCTTGTGGACGTTTTGCCGATACTGGCTCAGCTGTACACTAACGCCTTTGTACTCTTTATACTGTGGCCAAGCGGCATTGTTTTTTTATTTGCGTTGGCGAAAGCCGGCAACTTTGTGTTTATTTGCAAGGACCCCACTTTGTTGTGTGTGTGCGTGTATTGTGCTCTGCAGCTGGTACAGAGGGAGGAGGCCACCGATGATATGATCATGGGCGGTGGCCGCTGGGCATCCGAAAGACGTTCTCGGGCCGGCCACAGTGACGCGTCCCAAATGCTGACGTTGGGTAGGAGTACTAGGTGTTATGCGCTCATGTACACGTTACAGGCTACCGAGCAGGGGATTTCCCTTCTAGTCTATCTGCCCATCTCTGTGTTACAGGCTACCGGGCAGGGGATTTCCCTTCTAGTCTATCTGCCCATCTCTGTCCCCCCCCCCCCCCCCACGCACACCCCACGCACACCCAACATTTGACCTCTCAAGGTGTACGTATTCAGAGTAAAATGTACAGCCTGTGTGTGAGTAAGTTGTTTATGTACCAAGGCACAATTGTGCACACTGCTCTGATAGTGATGCTCAATGGTGAGTAGTCTGGGCAATGCTTCACCTAGCGGCACACTGCCAAAAGTGATCAGCGCGAAACCTTGACAGGCGCAGACTTGACTCGCGTGGAACAGGAGACAGGACAGGAGAAGGGATAACTATATATGAATTATGAGTAATTGTACATCCCTGTGACTGGCGATATGCAGTCAAGCAAGTGTGGCTGCTATATTGTAGGCACTAGCATGACAGAATACTGTATTGTGCTGAGTTGGAGCTAGGTGCCAAGTCGCTGATTGTCTCCGTACTCTGTCAATTTCGTGCCAAGTTGTCACGCTTTTCTGACCGGCTATTATCTACTTACAGAAGTTGCAGTGGTGGACTGCTTGCTACTCATGACGTGTATCCAATTCTGCCTTCTCCCAACTTCTCATTTCTGCACATGTTCTATCTTTTGTTTGCCAGGTGGCGCGTCGCAGGAGTTGGTTACGGCAACTCCGACGCGGACGTCGAAGCGTTTCAGTGCGCGCCGCACGGCACAGCTGGAGGACATGCAGATGCTGCGAGCGGGCCACCTGATGAGAACCACTGGATCAGATGATAGCTGGGATCTTAACGCGCTGCTGCTGTATGCGGATAGCCATGTCGGTGACGATGCCGTGGCGGACGCCGACAATGATTCAAGAATCCCTACGGAGTCCGATACGGACGACTCTGGCGATGAAACTGGCACTGCGGGAAAATCATCCACTTCTTCCGCTAGTGCTGCTGCCACTACTGCTTCTACTAGTACTAGTAGCAGAGACGGAGAGACACCGCAGAAGGCAGCTGAACCGAAGAGAACATGGACGCTGGTGGAAAGTTTGCAGGTGGTCCTCCAGGCTCAAGTGGATGCTTTAGTTTGCGCCGGCTTTCCTACTGAGCTAGAGGTATGCCGTAGCGTTAGTTCTTCAGGGGGTCTAGACTTTGCTTGACTTCAGTTCTTTCCACATTGTAGGTTCTGCTGTTTGGTGAATGCTGTATGCGAATTGAACTTTATCATTCCTCCTGACTATTGATCCAGCTTTAACACCGCGCACACATCCACACTAAGTCTTGGCTGTTGCATCAAGTACGTAGTGTCACGTATAAAAGCATGACCTGTATAGAAGCATTCCTCGAATAGAAGCCGATTTTTCGAAGCGTGCCGTGACACAGAAGCACGATTTGAATAGAAGCCGCTCTGTGTAAAGACACATGCAAGTACACTGTACTTGCACAGTGCATACGTGGCAGTATGCACTGCACAGTGAACACTGATGCTCTTGACATAGCAGCATGTTTTGAATAGGAGCCTGGTTTGAACCCCGGCTTATACGGCCGTAAGAACCTGCTTTTATACGCGACAATACAGTATGTCTAAAAGTGTTACCGTGTCCTGTGCTGTGTTCTCCTGCTGATGTTTTTAGGACGTTGTTGGGCAGCTGTGGTTCTTATACCTTCGCTATGCTGGCCTCGCCTTCACCGACAATCCAGCAGAGGAGGAAGCAGCCCACGCTGCCTTCCAGCAGGAGGGCGTCAAACGTAGAAAGCGGTTCAAGAAGGCCGTTCGTACACCGAAAGCTAAGAGGCTGAAGCGGTCTGAACCATCACACACAGACCCTACAGCTGCAAGCCCTACAGCTGCAAGCTCAGCTCAATTGCAGCCACCTGCTGAGGTTAGTGGTGAAGTTCAAGCTGCAAGCGTTTCCAACGAATCTAGTTCTGATCCTGTAGCCAGCAGCCAATCAACTCTGGCGCCACCTACCAAGAGTGGACTGCGCAATCAAGGATCAGTGACATCGCATCGCCAGGTGCGTTTCAGCGAGGCTCTCCAAGTGCACAGTGATGAAGATAGCAACCATGACGATAGCGATGACAGCGGAACAATGTCTGATTATCATGAGCAGAAAGTTCAGGAAGGACTAGAAACAGTGGAGTGGACAGAGGATGATGATAGTGCAGATGCTGCCGATTCATCTGATGACGAATTCCATCAATTCAACCCGGGATTGTATGATTTGCCGGCGTGGAGCAATAACAAGCTTGCAACTAAGCAGCCTCGGTTAATACATCTCCTTGCCATCAACTATCTGGCTTTACTCAGCTTGGCAGAGCCTCTTCTAGCTTCAGATATGTGCAAGTAAGAGAGTCCTTTGTTATGTCCAAGTTGTAATCATTTTGTTCTGCTATGCATGCTGGATGTGTGTTGCGTAGGGTTGGTGTAGGTCATGTGCGACCTTGTGTCTCAATAGACACCCTTAGCAAACAACGGTAACGCTATTTTTTACGGTACTCGTACCTTGATCACCCAAATAGCGTTGAAGCTGCAGCGTAAAAACGTTATGGGGGCTGATTTATTGTTGTGACCAACGGTACGTTTTTGGCCAAATATTGCATAGTCCGTGCGCATTTCACCTTGTATTGCGTATATGGTGACATACATGGTTGTACCTCGCGAAGTAAAAGCTATTCTCGTGGCAACAGCGTACTAAAAATAGCGTGCATCTTGCTAAAGGTACAGCCCAAATCACGGTATTTTCCCCCTTTAATACCGTTACAACATAACGTTGGCTAAGGGTGTCTAATATGAATGTGCCCTTGAATGTATGGGGCATTGTGATGGCTCTCTGACTTCTCTCTCTCTCTCTCTCTCTCTCTCTCTCTCTCTCTCTCTCTCTCTCTCTCTCCCTTTCTCTCTGGCTCGCGGTAAAGAAATGTTCCAAAGTGTTTCCGTTCGTCTTGCCACTCCCCTGTTATTGATTCATTCTGGTCAGGTGGGTATCGGCTTTTAGGGAAATCTGTAGGGCTGAAACGATTATATCGGTTATCCGTCTAAGGGGGCCGGTCACACTGAGGGAAATTTTGAAAAAAATCCATGGTTACCATGGATATTTGCCGCTGTGCGGGAGATTTGAGAGATTTAATCCACTCCATGAAAATCAGCTCGAGGCCTCGCTTTTCCGCCGAAAATTATAATCATCCACGGCTTCCACTGGATTTCTTTGAGTTTCCTTGTTTTTTATTGCGTTATGAAGTGGAGCGATGCTCTAGAGGCTGTGCTGATGCAGCTCTGGCCCAGGAGCGGGGCTGACAGACTGCCAGAAGCGAATGGTGACAGCAGAATTGCTCGTGCGGGTGAGATTTTTTCATCGTGCGCATCCAGTGTGGCCGTGATGAAACTGAGGATTGTTCCCTCAATGTGACCGGCCGCTAATCGATCATTACAACGAAGCGATTTCGATTACGCTGTCTGTTCCGATTACACGATTCTAAAAAAAACAACTTGAACTTGTAAAAGATATATACATAACTGTACTGTAGTAGGATCCGATATTGTTACCATGGTTATGCACATTGTAGATCGACAGTGCATGTATACATGCGCACTAAAACACCGACTGTCTGCACCCGCACGTGATGTGCCGCTGCACTGTGTAGAGCATGCGGTTCATCTGCATGTGTGTGTATGTATGTATATGTGTCAAGACGGCATGCTTTGTGCTGGTCTGGCGCGGCAATTTCTAGGACGCAGTAATCGATGATCGAATCGATACAAGGGTAGGTTAACCGATAGTTGAAAAGTGTAATCGTTTCACCCCCTAGAAATCTGAACATCTTTTTTTACTGTGTTTGAACACACTGCTACCATGGTTATTTATATTGGTTGGATCTACTTCCTTCTACAGTATGACGAAGGAGGGGTGGTTTCCGTACTTCAACGTTGACTATCTCTTGGAGGAGCGCATGGTGCTGTGGAACCACCAGTATCTTCTATTTCGAACGACGGTATGTCACAGCACTACGTAGATATACAATGTACTTGCTTTGGGAAATCCTTACTTGTTCAGTATGGTACTGTTGAAGAAGGGCGGCTGGGTACGTATAGTAAGGAGGCGCTGGCTGTATTGTTTTGTTGTAGCCGGTGTGCATCTAGAATTTGAATATGCAATTTGCGATGTGTGGAGCAATGTCTGAAATTATGCCAATGGCTGAATACTGCTCCTGACTGTCTTGTGGAGTAAAAGAGTGCTAAACCAATGTATTTTACTTCCATGTTTTCAACCTTTTGATTGTGTTCAGAAAGCACCATGCCCTAAGTCGTTGTACATGCTGGCACACGACATAGCAAAGGCAATTGACTTGCCACTGCCGCCGATTGACCTTGGAGCGATAGCCACTCGTTTCTTGCAGACACTCCTCCTCCCTGGTAAGTGTGTGTGTGTGTGCGTGCGTATGTGTGTGTGTGTGTGTGTCGCGGTTCTCAAGGCCACAGGACTTGCAACGCCATGCCCAATACTGTTGACTTTGCGATGTCTCTCTCTGCTCTTCTCTCTTCTTGTCGTTGTCTCCCGCTTCTGGGAGCGGCGTGGCCCGATAGGGTAGCTGTACATAGTAGTAGTAGTAGTAGTAGTAGTAGTAGTAGTAGTAGTAGTAGTAGTAGTAGTGTGTGTGTGTGTGTGTGTGTGTGTGCGTGCGTGCGTGCGTGTGTGTGAAGCATAAAAGAATAGCTGTATGGTGTAGACCAGGCTGAATTGTGACGGTCAATTCTTCAGCCTTGCAAGCTGTTGAATGGTGCAATCCCAGCACAAGTTGCTATGGCTTCTGCCGTAGCCTTGCTATCATCATCGCCTCCGGCGATGGGCGTCAAAAGGTCAAAGGTGTGTGTGTGGGTGTGGGTGTGGGTGTGCGAATGTGTGTGTGCGAATGTGTGTGTGTGAATGTCACATTATGTGTGTGTGCGAATGTGTGTAGTAACCACAAGACACACTTTGAAGCAGCCGTGAGTTGTACTGAGTAGGCGATCCATCGTGCCATCTGCAGGGTGCACCTATTGATCCTGATTCGATGGTGCACCTATTGATCCTGACTCGATGGTGCACCTATTGATCCTGATTTGATGGTGCACCTATTGATCCTGATTCGATGGTGCACCTATTGATCCTGATTCGATGGTGCGCCTATTGATCCTGATTCGATGGTGCACCTATTGATCCTGATTCGATGGTGCACCTATTGATCCCGATTCGATGGTGCACCTATTGATCCTGATTCGATGGTGCACCTATTGATCCTGATTCGATGGTGCACCTATTGATCCTGGTTCGATGGTACACCTATTGATCCTGATTCGATGGTGCACCTATTGATCCTGATTCGATGGTGCACCTATTGATCCTGATTCGATGGTGATTTTACAGGAGAAGAACCACCACAGTACACAGCCAAAACACGCATCCCTCGCCTCCAGATGTTTAAATATCCGTAGCCCTCATCATGTTGTGCTGCAGAAGTTACACTCTATTCCTCTCATGTCCCAATTGGTTGTTTTTCTCCTTTCAATCTGTTGGGTGATGCCGTAGCTCGCTTAGCACAATGCTTTAATCAATTCCTCGTGTTGGCACCATTACCCCAGCACCCTGTCGTATCGGGACAGACCTACCAGCGAGCTTGGCGTGACACAAACCTGGATGTGTGCTGTATGGCATCGCTGATCGTGGTCATTAAACTGATCTATGGACTGGATGATATTCTTGAGTGGTAAGGGCACACAAACTCTCTCCCTCTCCCTCTCCCTCTCCCTCCCTCTCTCTCTCTCTCTCTCTCTCTCTCTCTCTCTCTCTCTCTCTCTCTCTCTCTGTCTTGCTCTCTCTCTCTCTCTCTCTCTCTCTCTCTCTCTCTCTCTCTCTCTCTCTCTCTCTCTCTCTCTCTCGATGTTTTCAGCATTGGCTGTGTCTTGGACCTACCACTTACTGCTTCTTGTAGTAAGCAGTAGGCGGCAGTTGGCAGGTCCAGGATAAAACAGCTAAATTTCTCCGATCTTACTGGTGTCAATCTCACTTTTTATTGACTGCTTGTAATTTAGGTTTCAGGCCGAGCATAGCCAGCCCATCCAATGGAATGTGTCTACGCAGACACCCGTCAAGCCAGGTATGTTTTGCTCCCGTGCAGTCACAAGCAGTCACACGAATACCTTGATAACATCTACATATGCCGAGCGCCACCATTTTTTTTCATCTTGTTCGCAAGAAAGCCACACCTCGGTTGCTCTGTCCTGATTGTGTTCTTTTAGTAAAGATTCTCCCGGCTTCTTTAGGGGTCGTCGCAAAAGTTTTCTGTCGTCCCTGAAACGAGCATCGTTCATTTCGTACTCGGACCCCCTCCCCTCCCTCTGAAACGAACACAGCTTGCTATGCTGGACGACGAAAATCGCATGCATGTACATGTCATATGTACAGTGTCGGTCGACTTGCGATTTTGGCTCACACCCCCTCCCCCAAACGAATCATGTTCGTTTCAGGGACGACAAAAAACTTTTGCGACGACCCCTTAGCTGCATTAATGACATTCACTTTCTTCTGTGTCTGAGGTACCACGGCCGTACTATGATACGACTTGGTATCATCTATAAATATCTCTGCTGACTGAATCACAATTATGATGGTAAAGACACATGGAACATACATGTGTCTTTACCACAATATGGTTGAAACATCAGTGTAGCACTTGGCCAAGCGGGGAGGCGAACATAGGGATGGTCAACTACAAGAGACCAGTTCACGAACTTACTTCTACACGACCTGGAGATAAAACTGCATCCCAACTCTAATCTCTTGTCTGAACTCTACTACGGTACATACCAGAGCTAAGGTACAAAAAAGGAAGGAAATGAGCTTACTCTGGTACTAACCTGGTGGTTAGATAGTGGAAGCCAACGATGAGTTTACGAGAAGGAAACGGCTAGCGCTCATAGACGGAGAAATGCACTGTGGTACTTCTACATGGAAAGCAGTCCAGGGAGATGTATATGTAGCATGAGTCAGGAGAAAGGGCAGAAGTCTGTTGTGTCTGTCCGAACATAACTTAGTGCAGGCGTAGCAACAGTATCTAAACTTCTAAAGGTATAATAATTATAATCATGATAATTTCAAATTTGGACTTCACGGAGAATTTCAAAGTTTTTTAGGAAATTAGAGGCCACATGCCACGTACTGCTCTTTTCTCTTCCAAACTCAACACTTGCCCTGGTTCGAGTCCCGGTGGTGTGACTGATGATTTTTTCTTTCTTTCATATCTGGCTTGCAAGTGTTGAGTTTGGGAGAGAAAAGAGCAGTACGTGGCATGTGGCCTCTAATTTCCTAAAAATCATGATAATATCATGATAAAGAGACCAAACAGACCTTTGGAGGAGGCAAGAGGACAGTGAATGGCAACTGATTCTCTGCATGTTGCATACATATAAGTGCAGCTGCAGCGGAGTGCAGTGGAGTCTTCAACTTTAGTCTCCCATATCTGTGTTGTTGTGTTTCTTTCCTCGACTTTATATGACAACTGCAAGTACAGTTCTGCTCAATGAAATCCAGTCGCGTCACTCAAGTTTGCGCCTCGCACCTTTTCGCAGCCCAGTGTTCGCAGGTCTGGGGCTGCTCAACGTCCGGCGCGTACTTGAGGGACGCGGCTGGATTTCATCGCAGGACGGTACTAGTAAATTCACCTATTGCAAATGTCCTTTTTCTTTTGTTCTCAGAACATCGTGACATGATCCCGATTTGGCAAGATTGGCTGGCCATGTTCTCTGAGCGCTCCAGGGGCATTTTCTCAACGCCCAGTGCACACCAACAGAGGTGAGTATTAGCAGCACGGACCTCACACCGGACGGGACTATGATGTCTGACTGGCCTATAATGTAGTTACTCTGGGGTTGAAGACATGATGGCTGATGCACGTGCGAAACCCCTTGAGTAGGATGGTGTAGCCGTATCGCCATTCACAATCACATGGGTTTGAATTTGCTCCAAAATTGTATGCAAGTTACTCAGGGGCGTCGCACACGGTACGGTCACTACGGTATTGACCGTACCACTATTTGCCCCAAGTACCTCGTGAATCAATAAAATGCACTGGTTTGGGCTCTAAATTTCCAAAATTTTCGGCTCAGCCACCCCCACCCCCACGTGTAAATTGGACTTCAGATGGCTGACCGTACCACACTAAAATACCTTCCGACGCCCCTGTTACTGGTTAGGTTTTTTTCATTTTTTTTGCTTGGTAAATGTTGGCTGCTTGTCAACCCCTTGCCATTCCCTGGGAAATTTGTTCGATTTTTAAAAGAGTACGTTCTACCCGCTGCTTCAAACCTATGGTTTTCCACTAAATTTCTAGCACATTGCATGCGGTGCTGGACAGCATGAAATGAAGTTAAAAGTTTGATGTACGTTCCGGGCCACTTTCCGGCAGGTTGCTAACACCATACATGCATTCGATATTGAGATCTGGGAACCCCAGCATGTGGACATTGTGCTGGACTCCCTCCATTGTAACTGGCTTTGCCTGTGCTTCTGTTCTATGCTCTGCTGCAGGCTGAATATTCGAACTCTTATGAACAGTGACCGAGTGGTTGAGGAGCAGCGTGGGCAGTTCCTGATGCGACCACCATCACTGCACTCCAGTAAAGATGAATACAGTACGTTGAAATACTGTAAAAGCAGAAATTTTCGGTGGTGTTTTATTTTCGGTAACTTCGGTGCCGAAATTTTTACCGAAAATAAAACGCACCGAAAATGTCGGTATAGTACTAGTACACTTACCTGGAACGCGGGTTTACCGAAAATTTCCCTCCGCCGAACCGCCGATTTTGGAGAATACCGAAAATATTACACCACCAAAAATTTCTGCTTTTACAGTAGATTCATGCCCTGGCTTTCCTCTGCTTCTCTTCTTGGCGTAACCGTTCCCTTGTCAGTAAAATCAGTGTCCAGCTGCACCCCGGATCTTGCTTCTAGTTGCGATTGCACAGCACGTGAGCATGTATGCTAAACCCTTGCCGGTTTGGCCCGGTTTGATCTAGCTGGTGGACCTTAATTCTCTTCTACTTTGTGTGGACGTGTAATATTATTATAGACGTGACTGTACTTCTCAAGTGTGTAAAGATTGCAGAGCATCCCGTCATGCAGTGTATTACTGTACAGGTGCAATGTACATGTATTGAGCAACTGTAAGCATGTCCTGGAAACCCTCAGCTTCCCGCTATGTATACATGTATGCCATCTCACAACAGAACAACAAGAATGTTGCCTGATGATTGCGTGAGCATGAAACTTAATTAAAGTAGCAGCAAACAAGCCTTGATTGTCCTTGTTGTTCTGTTGTGTATTACGCTCTGCCTTTGTGGTGTTGAGCACTGTCAGTACTCTGGGTACATCCTTCGGTGTATACCATCTCATGTTGTGAATTCTGTTCTTCTCCTGCTTGTAGACCTGCGCAAAGATATTTGCAAGACTCATCGACACACATTCTTGAAAGCGGCCACGGGCAATGATAGATCTTCCTATGCACCATTGGCTCCGCAGCATCTGAACGTAAACGCAGACTCACCAGTCATACCGGAACGGCCACGCAAAGTACATGCCTTTCCTCTGAAGTTTCCTCTGGGACCTAGCGAGGACAGGACTCGAACTGCCGATGATTCCCATCTCAACATGTCGACTTGTCTGAGCTCTGGGGCAAACTATGTACGATTGAAACCGGCAGCGCAGCTCCACTACCACCAGTCGTTTGGTTATCTGCTTGATATTTGTGCCGGTATCATTGACTGTAATGTGACCACTCTGAAGCGACAGGTGTTCTTGGTCGAGTCTCGCGCTCTGCGCACAGCCAGTGCCGACAACCTTCACCTCCATTTCGAGTGATCATCTTCTGGTGATGGTCGGCCTTGATCGTGCGGAAAGTCAATCCTAACACCGGTACAATGCTGTGTACATAACTACAGTAGTTTTACATATCCTCGGTGTATCCTCGTTGTATGTAATTATATAGGTGTGTGTGTGTGTCTGTGTGTGTCTGTGTGTCAGTGAGCGCACGCACACACGTGTGTGTATATGTTGCGAAATTGTATTACGAGTATGATTTACGCATGTTGTTGTATTTGGTTCTTGTGTTGTAGAGTCCAGTGTCTGATGGTCTAAGTGTACGCTTCCGTCTGTGTGAGAGTGACTGTCAAGTGAATGCTGTACATGCGCAGTGCTAGTTTGGTCTGGGAATGAGAGTCATGTGTGATTCGTCCGTGGTCTGGTTGTCTTGGTCTTGGTCATGTGTTCTGTACGTATTAGTCCCTGATTGGTCGTCCCGATTTGTCGTCGCTTTATTACTGCTTCAAGGATCAAGGCGCAGCAGGGTGGTGGCGTTCCTACGGATGCGGAAAGCCCGGCTTCCAGCCGAGTCTCACGCGAACCGTGAATTTTTTTAATTTATTTATTTTTTATTACTGCTTGGTCTTTGTTGTTTCTTCGTGTGATTTCCCGGGTGTCTTTTCCCGTCATCGTTTTCACTTTTCAGTCTAGTCTTTTTGTCTTTCTCCTCCTGCACCCTTGTTATTTGTTGTTGCTGTGTGGCGGGGCCAGGGGGAGAACTGTTTCCATTTCATATGTGTCTGTCTGGCTAAATGTTTTCTTTAGGGCAGGACGTTTTTTTCTTTTATATAGTTGATGTTCAGCTCTGAGTGTGAGGTGCACTATTGATGTTGAACAGCGAGTTTGAGATGCGTATCGATTTGATTTTCCTCGTTTTAAAGACAGTGCTGGTTGGACATGGCGTTATGATTAGATGTCTAATTGTACTTACACATGCTACCTTTAAGTCGTTCTTTATTGCTGGGAGCAATACATTACCCCACAAGACGCAATGGGGACGCTGGGCAATTGGGGTATGCACTTTTAAAGTACTTCATGAATCTGCAGGCAGCATGCCACGTAGTGTGGTTACCATTAACTTTGGCTGTGTCTGCTGTGAGGGGCTATCGCTCGGCCTCTCAGGCGATGGACATACGTGAACGTGGCCCTTGCTTGACCAGGCAACAACCTAATGCCAGTAATGCCTACTGCACGGCTGAATAGCAATTGCCAATGACCCGAGTGCGTAGCCAATAGTGAAACAACAACAAATATGATTAGCCATTTTCTGACGATACTTAACGCTAAGCGGAATGTGTGCAAGGGTTCCCGACTGTAGAAAGTGCCCATCGCAGGCAATAAAGTACATGTAGCGCCAGCAAAATCCATCATGTATCCTTTTTCTCAGTCTGTACGACTTGAAGGACGAGGCATGAAGCAATCTTCAATGATGAGAAGTATGTGCATGTGCCATCACACTGGCTCAGCGGCTACCGCTCCACACAGTAACCGCACGCCGCCGAAAAACATGGACCCCAAGGGCGCACCCCACCTCCCAGCCCGGCAGTGGAGCAGAATCTGTCTGGACCGGGAGCCTTACTGTAAATGTTACAACTCCCTGGTTATGACCCACCCTACCCTCTGAAGCTGCGAAAAATATTTTTGATTGAAACTAGGGATCCCTACACATTATTAAATTTTATCAAGTATCTTGACATTGTGGGTATACCGGGTACAGTATTAAGAGTATACTTATGCTCCCTGAAGCTTGTGTACTCTTGTGTGTATGTGAAGGGCTCCCTGATTGAAAGCCGCAGCTCACAAATAATTATTCGGCTATCAGTCAGTATCCGATACTCACGGTGAAGCCTGCTGAATATAAGTCACAACCCGGCCCCAGTACTCTTTGGAGCATCAATAAGAGCTAGGCAGTCTTGGTATCACCAAGGCAAGCTGAGTACTTGAAATTAATAAGCTCTCAGGGCTAGGGAGCATACTTGATATCCGTGATTATGAACAAGAGTGCATAAACAAGTTGGTATCATCAAGAGTACATAACTCTTGGTATCATGCATGGATGTACTCTTGATCTCTTGGTACAGGTCAGACCTCGCTATAACGACCCCCGCTATAACATAAACCTCACTATAACGTACGAAACGTGAATGTCCCTGCCGAAACCGCATCACTTCTGGACAAAATTTCCTCGCCATAACACAATCCGCTATAGCGTAACTTTCGATAACGCACTGTTTGCTGGGTCCCGGGCGCACGGAGACCTCACCATAACGTAAAAAGTCGTACAAAAATGACTTACGTACACGGTATGCATCAGGGAGTCGTAAAAGACCGGTTTGAGGCCTATACCGCTTGCAGACTGATCCCTTTAGACAAGCAACCCGGAGTAGGGCCCATCGGAATTGGTGAGGTCGTCCGACGTGTTATCGGCAAGGCCATATTGATGGTAGTAGGCCCGGCAATTCAGCAAGCCACAGGGTGCCTCCAACTGTGTGCAGGCCAACAGAGCGGCATCGAAGCAGCCATCCACGCTATGCGGTCCGCATTTGTGCAAGACGACACTGAGGCCGTGCTCCTAGCCGATGCATCAAATGCGTTCAATCGTATCAACCGCAACGTATGCATTCGCAACATCCAGCATCTGTGCCCAGAATTCTCCACCACCATCGTCAACACGTACCGGTCCCCATCCCGGCTGTTCGTCGGTGGCGAGACCATTCTCGCCTGTGAAAGAACTACGCAAGGCGATCCGCTCGCAATGGCGATGTATGCGTTGGGCACAGTGCCCCTCATCCGCCGTGCAGCCTCTAGCAAGGCCGTACAAGCGTGGTTCGCGGATGATTCCACAGCAGCAAGCTCTCTCACCAAGCTTCATAAGTGGTGGTCCATCCTGGAAGAAGAAGGTCCATCCTATGGATACTACATCAACGCCAAAAGTCGATACTCTTGGTGAAGCCTGAGTGCTTAGATCGAGCCAGGGAAATCTTCCAGGACCCCAGCATAGACATCCGGTCGGATGGGTGTCTCCACCTAGGTGCCGTCCTCGGATCACCAACATTCTGTTCGGCATATGTGTCAGGCAAGGTGGATGAGTGGTGTCGCGAAGTGGATGTTCTGGCTGAGCTCGCCCGCACCCAACCACAAGCAGCATTTGCTGCCTTCGGCCGGGGAGTTCGCCACAAGTGGTCCTTTGTCGCCCGGACAGTGCCAAATACGGCCGACCTGCTTGCACCCTTGGAGGAAAGAATCCGTAGCAAATTCATCCCTGCCATCATCAACCGCGTCCCACCAGGAGACATCGAGCGTGCCATGCTGGCCCTACCGTGCAGGGACGGAGGGCAGGGGATCGTCAACCCATCCCCCCTTGCCTCCCAGTTCTAGGACTCCGTGCATATTACCAAGTCTCTCGTGCAGAAGATCCTCCAACAAGATCAGTCAGCAGAAGTCCCGGCTGCCACCATCACAGCAAAGGCAGAGATTGTTTCCCAGTCCCGGCGCCTGGCGAAGGAAGCTGTTGCCTCGGTCATTGCAACCTCCACCAGTACCGCAGAGCGCACCCTGAATCTTGCTGCTGAAAAGGGCGCCTCCAGTTGGTTGACCTGTCGGCCCCTTCGTCAGTATGGTTTCAACCCGGCTACACAAGCAGGCGTTCTGGGACGCTCTCTGCCTACAGTATGGTTGGACCCCTCCAGGCCTGCCAACAGAATGTGTGTGCGGCAAAGCGTTTTCACCGGAACACGCGCTGTCTTGCCCAACTGGTGGCTACCCCGCCATGCGGCATAATGACCTACAGGATCTCACCGCATTTCTCCTGCGTGAAGTGGCCCATGATGTCCAGGTCGAGCCACATCTCCAGCCGCTAACCGGTGAGACCTTCCATCACCGCTCCGCCATCTCTGAGGATGGTGCCCGCCTGGATGTGGCCCGGCGCATCGGGTGTCTGGGGTGGACGTTTCGAACGGGCACTACTGCACATCCGGGTGTTCAACCCGCACGCCCGCTCCAACCGCCAGTAGTCCATCACGGCCACCTACCGGAAGCATGAGGCCTGTAGCGGTGGCTACTTAGAGTAGTTTCGCCTGGTTGTTTATTGCAAAAGGGGGAACATTATCGGACACGGAAAAGCACAACTAACTGTAAGGAGAGCAGAAACGAAGAGATGATTCCAATCGGGAATCACTGTGTAAAGAAGACAGAGAGCGGAATGGACGGCGGTGCTGCGTGCACACAGCAGCGACCGGAAGCAGCGTGCCCAGTACGGGATGCCATGTATAGATGGAGCCCGAGGGCAGTGCACTCAGACATGAATACGCACGCGCACCCGAGTACTGCGTTCAGTGCATGCGGGGACTGTGCCATAGAAGGGGAAGGGTTAGTGATGCGCAGCCAGCAAGTCCAGCGGTACATGAATGCATGAGTCAATGGTACAGCAGGCAGGCTGCGGTTCTTATACAAGTAGACACGTTAGATCAATGCGAGTGAGTGTAGGGAGTAGGAAGGAGAAACCTGGAGACAGACAATGATATGCCTAGGGATAGAGTTCTGTCATGATGCTACTCATTACACTACATCTCCCCTAACGGAAAGAGTTGCAGGCCCAGACAATGCTATGCCCAGGGATAGAGTTCTGTCATGATGTTACTTATTACACCACATCTCCCCTAACGGAAAGAGTTGCAGGTCCATGTTCACATGGTCGAGATGAGCCGCTCCGGTGCAATGGCTGTGCGACTTGAACAGGTAGTGGAGGTGGCACTTGTGTTGGGCTCGGCGGCTGCAGGCATGCCGTTTTGGCTCGCCACAGGAGTTTCTCCACCGCTTGGTGGCTTCGGGCTGCGGCGGGAGTAGCCGTGAGGTGTTGCAGTGAGCCGTTGCAGTCAGCCGTTGCAGTAAGCCGTTGCAGTGAGCTGTTGCAGTGGGCCGTTGCAGTGAGCCGTTGCAGTAAGCCGTTGCAGTAAGCCGTTGCAGTAAGCCGTTGCAGTGAGCGGTTGCAGTGAGCGGTTGCAGTGAGCAGTAAGCCGTTGCAGTAAGCCATTGCAGTAAGCTGTTGCAGTAAGCCGTTGCAGTAAACCGTTGCAGTGAGCCTTTGCAGTAAGCCGTTGCAGTAAGCCGTTGCAGTAAGCCGTTGCAGTAAGCCTTTACAGTAAGCCGTTGCAGTGAGCCGTTGCAGTAAGCCGTTGCAGTGAGCGGTTGCGGTGAGCCGTTGCAGTGAGCCGTTGCAGTGAGCCGTTGCAGTGAGCCGTTGCAGTGAGCCGTTGCAGTAAGCCGTTGCAGTAAGCCGTTGCAGTAAGCCGTTGCAGTGAGCGGTTGCAGTGAGCGGTTGCAGTGAGCTGTTGCAGTGAGCTGTTGCGGTAAGCTGTTGCAGTAAGCCGTTGCAGTGGGCCGTTGCAGTGAGCCGTTGCAGTAAGCCGTTGCAGTAAGCCGTTGCAGTAAGCCGTTGCAGTAAGCTGTTGCAGTGAGCCGTTGCAGTGAGCCGTTGCAGTGAGCCGTTGCAGGGAGCTGTTGCAGTAAGCTGTTGCAGTAAGCCGTGGCAGTGGGCCGTTGCAGTGAGCCGTTGCAGTAAGCCGTTGCAGTGCTGTTGCAGTGAGCCGTTGCAGTGAGCTGTTGCAGTAAGCTGTTGCAGTAAGCTGTTGGCCTGCAGTGGTGTGTCGTGAAGCGATCGCGGATGCGGCCATCGCGAGCGTCCTTGAAATCGCCGTTGTCCGCGCCGCCGTAGAGACGACGCAGAAGTGACTCGTCCACGGTCTCGGATGGCGACTGTGTGTCGCGTTCGAACATCGTTCGTCCGTGGACGACGTTGGACGCGGGCGTGACGTACGCCGAGAGTTTCGTCTCCACTTCCTGAGATTTATCGCGATCGCCGGCGTTGTCGAACGCGAGCCATCCTAGATCCTGAAGTTGCAGACCAGGTTCGTTGCGGATCAATGTTATTTTTTTATCACTGATCCTGTTCACTGCGCCATGTAGCGGTAGCTACTTTGAGTAGTTTCGCCTGACTGTTTATTGCAAAAGGGCGAACATTATCGGACACGGAAAAGCACAACTTACTACAAGGAGAGCAGAAACGAAGAGATGATTCCGGAATCACTGTGTAAAGAAGACAGAGAGCGTAATGGACGGCGGTGCTGCGTGCACACAGCAGCGACCGGAAGCAGCGTGCCCAGTACGGGATGCCATGTATAGATGGAGCCCGAGGGCAGTGCACTCAGACATGAATACGCACGCGCACCCGAGTACTGCGTTCAGTGCATGCGGGGACTGTGCCATAGAAGGGGAAGGGTTAGTGATGCGCAGCCAGCAAGTCCAGCGGTACATGAATGCATGAGTCAATGGTACAGCAGGCAGGCTGCGGTTCTTATACAAGTAGACACGTTAGATCAATGCGAGTGAGTGTAGGGAGTAGGAAGGAGAAACCTGGAGACAGACAATGATATGCCTAGGGATAGAGTTCTGTCATGATGCTACTCATTACACTACAAGGCCGACTGAGAAAAGGCGCGCGTACGAAGAACGCGTCCGGGAAGTTGAACACGCATCATTTTCTCCCATTGTGTTCAGCGCTTCCCGGCGGCGGCTACGGCAAGTTCACCTCCGCTTTTCTAGTTCAAGCGTGTCGCCTCTATGCTCGCCGACAAGAGAAAGGAGCCCTTCTCCTCACTTCTTGCCTTTAAAAGGCCAAGGGTTTCCCGGCTTTTCTCATGTTCGTGCCTCCCATGCCAGCCTCCGTGGTCACCGCAGGCCATGGTCTCAAGATGCCCGCCAGAGAGTCATTGACTCCGATGCTTCTGTGGTCCTTACACTAGTAGTTGCTGTTACACTCACTGATCCTTATGCACAGATATACATGTACAGCATTCCCTCACTACAGTCCATTTCAAACTTGTGTGACTATAGACGCGTACCTAGGCAAAAACCGTTATGTCAGCATCTATACCACATAAAATCTGTGATCACTTTGTGCATAAATTTTTCCAAATTGGGCGTCTGTTATCCAATCCTTTAGAAACTATATGAGAGTAATTGTGGAGCGATCCTGAGCAATATTCCGAAAACTATTCTCAAAAAGTTCCAGCCAAGTTTGAAATATTTCAAAAACCCTACGCGTCTATAGTTTTGAAATGCACTGTAGTGGCCCCTACTAGTGGGACCATTGTTATTAGGCTAGGGCCTGTTTTGGACTTGCCACTCTAAATAAAGAATACAAACAAACAAACAAACAACAGAGTGCTTTTATTTATTTCGGTTTTTGTTTTTTACCAGGCGTGGGCCATCGATCCCTTGATCTGCTGAGGGCCTTTTTTCTTTCTTCTCGGATTTGTATGATGTCAATAAAACTGTTGAAATGTTTCTCGTACCAAAAAAAAACAAAATGATGTCATAGGTGCCAAACATTTTACGTTTTTCATTCGTTTGAATAAAGTCGATTCGTTTTTGTGTATTTTACAACTCCCTGCCTGCCGGGTGTGAACGTGTAATATCTTTGCAACCAATGTAGGGTTTGGTTTGGCGAACAGAATTAGGGCTTGATTATGGCGTCTGCCAGCGATGAATCTGTCGTTGTTGGGTCTGCAAAACTTGAAGAGGACGAGGAAACTCCAACAGATCCCAGCAGTCCTAGCCTTGAAGATTCTATCTTGGAAAGAAATGACGACGAGGAACTATCCGATAACCCCGTGGATATGGAACAGTGTGCAAGCGCTCTGGCCGAGTTTCTTAGGATTGACACCTCTACGCAGGTTTGTTATTTGATGACAGTGGATAATATTATCGCAGACTGACCATGACCCCGAACCGAAATTGACAAAACTGATACATGATTGTACATGTATTAATATTATACAGTCATGGTAATTTCAAATTTGGACTTCACGGAGAATTGCACAAAGTATTAGGAAATTAGACTGTAGCTGAGTTGGCTATGAGCATTGCTTGCGAATAGCAAGGTCCCTGGTTCGAGTCCCGGTGTTGTGACTGATGATTTTTCTTTCTTTCATATCTGGCTTGCAAGTGTTGAGTTTCGGAGAGAAAAGAGCAGTACGTGGAATGTGGCCTCTAATTTCCTAGTACAGTCAGACCTCGCTTAACCGCACACATCTGTTTTCCACAAAAATATCCGGATAGGCGAGGGAACCGGATAACTGAACACACATACTGTATATGCATGTGGCATGTCAAAAGCAGTGACATCGAAAATGCATGTAGACGGGTCCTATGCAGTACAACTAGCGTGCACAGTATGTAAAACAAGCGAGAAAAATGACAAGTGCATGCAACTGATCTGCTGCTGAGTGCTGTCCGCATGCACCCAGCAGGTCAAGGACCTCATTTGCTTGTACAACTCCCTTTACCTGATTCTAGCTTCTGCAAGCCACATGCAACCGGACACGACGAAGCTTTTTTGTACACATTTTAGCCAGTTTGTACTCAAAATCATGCACCGGTATGCGGATCGCGAGGTCCGGTTATGTTGTATGCATAACATATGCTGCACATCGGTAACCAGCGATTTTCTTCCGGATGGTGAGGGATCCGGATAAGCGAGGTCTGACTGTACAGTCATGGTGTTTAATTCCCGTAGCTATGCAGAAGACGTTACTTCAGTAACGTCTGGCGCTAGCCAGGGTCCACACAGCTTTAATTTGGTATTTGTGTGTGTGTGTGTTTGTTTGTTTGTTTGTTTGTGTCACGCCTGGCGCTATCCCGTATCTGTCCCGCATCTGTCCCGTATCTGTGACTACAAAGGCTCTACAGGATTGTACATAACAGCTGTCCACAATATTTGCGGGCTCCTGTATCTGTCCCGTACCGTACCAATATTCGTCGTATTATGCATACGACTCCCTGATGTAGAGGGGGATTTGGAAAGAAATAGGGAGACGAGGAGGAAATTAAATTAGAATAGACGCCGATTAGGTGATAGGATGCGTCAGCATAAACATACTTTGAAAGAGAGATCCCGTCGTCTCCAAAATAAGCGTGAACGAGCGATTCAGTGCCGGTCACAGGAAACGTCGGAAGAGAGATCCCTTCGACTCCAGAACGCCCGTGATCGGTAGAGTCCGGCGGTACCAGGCAACGTCAGGACAGACATCCCGTTGAGTCCAGAACGCCCGTGATCGGCAGAGTCTAAGCCGGTCCCAGGAAACGTCAGGACAGCCATCCCGTCGAGTCCAGAACGCCCGTGATCGGCAGAGTCAGCGCCGGTCCCAGTAAACGTCAGGACAGACATCCCGTCGACGCGCAGAAAAACTAAATCTGCAGCCTCTTTTGCCATCGAACAGGATACGTATTTATATAGGAGACTGTAAAGTTATGTAATGTCCAAATTTCGACGTGAGCAGCAGGTCACTCGCGTTGATTTTTTCGACGTGCGAGCCAAATAACGCGAGCTGAACTTTCGCGTCACAGACATCCCGTCGACGCGCAGAAAAACTAAATCTGCAGCCTCTTTTGCCGTCGGACAGGATACGTATTTTAGGAGACTGTAAAGTTATGTAATGTGCTCCACAGGCAACCATGCATTCGGCGTCATCATTGGCTCAACAGGTCAATGATTATGTACATGTATTACTACAAAAAGGCCAGAAAATCCGATTCCTGTATTAAAATCAACTAATGTTCGCTGGCGATTTAATTTCGCTGATTTCGCCGCTTGGTACCAACCGGCCAAAGTAAATCGCAGGCCAACGTTTGTCATATACGCAAATGATGCATGATTGAGCAATGGATGCATGTGAGAGCAAAAATACCGATCGATTTCAAATTTGACGTGAAACTGCGGGTCACGTCGGAAATAACGTGCATCTTAACCTCTCTAATCGAGAGGTTTCTATTTCTCATCGGCCAAAATTTGTTGATTTACAATATAAGGAGATAAAAATTAAAGAAGGAGCAAAACAAAAGTAGATGATTATTAGAGAAATAACAATCCGCAATAAATTCTGCAAATACTTTTGCCTAACTCATAATATTCAAACCGATTGAAACGTTTTTGCAATACAGTGATGTGGCCAATCAACGGAAAAAGACAATTCCATCAGTTCTTATAACATGTACGATGAGCTAGCCAAAAAAGCATAAAAGCATAGCGTAGGGCCCTGAGCTTCCAAGCTCTCTCGTTAATAGATAAACCTTGTTTTAGTTCACACATCAGGGGCGTCGCACACGGTACGGTCACTACGCCGGTACTGACCATACCACTATTTGCCCCAAGTACCCCGTGAATCAATAAACTCTAAATTTCCAAAATTTTCAGCTCAGCCACCCCTCACCCACGAGTAAATATTAATTGTACTTCAGATGACTGACCGTACCACATTAAATTACCTTCCGACGTCCCTGCACATGTCGTTGGTTGACAGCATGTAACAAGGTGGAGAACACCGTGTTCGGAAACAGTGACCTTTTACAACCATCCACGGTTGGTAGAACCCCGGTCTGCTGAGACCGTCTGAACCGTATGGGTCTTAGACCCGGTTGTGACCCTCTTTATTCTAGGGGAGTTTTTTTATAGATTTCTCAGGAGCGATCACAGAATACACGACTAACGTTAGGAGAAGTCTAAAAAAAACTCCCCCAGAATAAAGAGGGTCAAAACCGAGTCTAAGACCCATACGGTTCAGATGGTCTCAACAGACCGAGGCTCTACCAACCGTGGATGGTTGTAAAAGGTCACTGTTTCCGAACACAGTGTCCTCCACCTTGTTACATGCTGTCAACCAACGACATGTATTATACACCGCATGTCTATTCATTAGTTGAGGGCTGGACTGATACTACACTGGACTGTATTCATGCCCCAGTGTGTGCTGTGAAAATCTCCGGTTCATAAATACGGCAACGCACACACGCACTCGCTCTGGTTGAGTTTGCTTGTACCATGGTTACTTATTTTCAAGGAGTGCGAGGGAACAATTTACGCAGGGCGTGTTTGGATCCCTGCCAGAAACTGATTCACAACAATTATTTGACTTCTTCTGAAGTTTTGTTACACTTCCTGTAGTCTAGGGCTTCTGAGCCAGAGTGGCATAACTGTGTCCGGAGTGTGTAGCCTTGATCCATGGGATTCCATGCCCACTGACTATCATAAACTTCATAATACAGTCGAACCTCTTTAGGACGAACACCGAGGGACCGACGGTATAAGTCTGCAATAACGAAGGTTCGTCTTAACCATACTGTATAACCAGTGACTACACGGTTATTTATCCAATAGAGTCTTGGATACTAGCACTGTACAACTGTAATTTGTCCTATCAGCGCTCTTCTTAACGAAGTTTCGCTGTACCTGGTCTGCCGTTTCTCGCCTGTGGTTGGGTGCGAAGTGAGCATATATACATGTACTAGTAGTTATTGCGCAGACCTGCAGAGGGAAGAAACTCTTATCCCCGCGCCTTGGCACAAAAAGGGTGCCCACTGCCCATGTCTCGGAATCGTCCGTATCTCAGAAATACCTAAACAGGGCCCCGAAAAAAGTTCAGTAGTGCTTCAGGTGAAATCCGACCCGGTGTGCTGCACCTGCAGTGCATGTCTGTAGCCCCACGCTTGCATGGCCCTTGACGCCCTGGAAGTGGTAGTAATGCAAGTCACATGACCAAAAAACTACTCCATAGGCAGTGTACTAGTAGTAGTACAGGCAGAACATTTCGTCGTTCAATAATTTCGTCCAACTCCAAAGAAAGGGAGTTCGTCTGGTTGTAAATTTCGTCCATGGATCATACAAGTGTATAGAAAAGGTGGACAAATTGACATTAGTCCGGCATTTAATTTAGTCCAAAACCTCCATGGACGAAATTAAATTCCAGACGAATATTTCTGCTTATACAGTATTTAAATTTAACATGTACATGTGCATATTGCACACTGTGTGTGTGTGTGTGTGTGTGTGTGTGTGTGTGTGTGTGTGTGTGTGTGTGTGTGTGTGTGTGTGTGTGTGTGTGTGTGTGTGTGTGTGTGTGTGTGTGTGTGTGTGTGTGCAGATGTCGGAGTTAGAGGAACAGGTGGAGGAGCTGCTGCGTCACAGCCAGGAAGTGTGCGGCCACTTGGCTAAGGTTAGTGTTCTGATCGTTGCGATTTGCGACGTGTGTTGGTGGGTGTGGGTGGGTGGGTGTTGAATGGTATAATCCTAGCACAAGTTGCTATGTCACAACATAGCTTGTTCGCTATCATTACTTCAGCGATGGGCGTGTGGAAGTGTGTGTGTGTGTGTGTGTGTGTGTGTGTGTGTGTGTGTGTGTGTGTGTATGTGTGTGTGTGTGTGTGTGTGTGTGTGTGTGTGTGTGTGTGTGTGTGTGTGTGTGTGTGTGTGTACCCTTCTGCGCGTCTACTTGTGTGCATGTTTCTTCCTAGCACTCTACCGAACCCAGGCCGGTTGCAACGCTGCCTGTGTACATGATGGTATTGTTCTGGAGACTATAGTTTTTGCTGTCCATGATTTGTTGTGTGCTGCTATGCTGTGTATGCTGCTGATGTGTAGATCCAAACCGATACCAGCTTTGCTCTACAGCACAAGATTCCGGAGATCCACTCTCGTGCCATGCAGATGAAAGGAATGTATGAGCAGATTGATAACCTTGAGGTAGGTTTTGAAAACTGTTGATGTTAATTGCTCTGCACGGACTGCTGGGGCGCTGTGTTTGTGTGTGTATATGTGTGTGTGTGTGTGTGTGTCTGTCTGTCTGTATTTGTGTCTGTGTCTGTCTGTCTATCTGTGTGTCTATGTGTGAGTATGTGTGTGTCTATGTGTGAGTATGTGTGTGTGTGTCTGTGTGTGTGTTCATGAGTGTCTTAGCTGTTACTGTAAGGACATGGGAGTGCGGGCAAGGATGTATCCTATTCTGTACTCGAATGATGAGCTCCATGAGATGTACATACACATATAGTGCAGTGTGAATTCCGGACTAAAAATGTCCTTTCTATATGCTTCTTCATTCATGGACGAATAGTTTGCTGAACAAACCGCCCTCCTTTCTGTGTTCATTGAAAATGTTCTTCACCTAGATTTTCTCCTCATGCGAAATAGTTATGCACGCGTGTGTGCTTTGGGTGATGGTTGTTTCATTAGTGACTTGACTTCTTCTATTTCTAAGTACTCGCAGAGTCCGTTTGCAAAACCCACTGACGAATGCAGGGCAGGGGGTTTCTGTTTTACGCTGATGACAGGCCAGGCCCGACAATCTGGTCAACCTTTCAAGTGACGTACGCAGCAAAGATACCGTGTTTGAGTGTTTGAGTGTTTGAGTGTGAGTTGAGTGTTTGAGTGTTTGAGTGTGAGTTGAGTGTTTGAGTGTGAGTTGAGTGTTTGAGTGTTTGAGTGTTTGAGTGTTTGAGTGTTTGAGTAGTGTTTGAGTAGTGTTTGAGTAGTGTTTGAGTGTTTGAGCGTTTGAGCGTTTGAGCGTTTGAGCGTTTGAGTGTTTGAGTGTGAGTTGAGTGTTTGAGTGTTTGAGTGTTTGAGTGTGAGTTGAGTGTTTGAGTGTTTGAGTGTGAGTTGAGTGTTTGAGTGTGAGTTGAGTGTTTGAGTGTTTGAGTGTTTGAGTAGTGTTTGAGTAGTGTTTGAGTAGTGTTTGAGTGTTTGAGCGTTTGAGCGTTTGAGCGTTTGAGCGTTTGAGTGTTTGAGTGTGAGTTGAGTGTTTGAGTGTTTGAGTGTTTGAGTGTGAGTTGAGTGTTTGAGTGTTTGAGTGTGAGTTGAGTGTTTGAGTGTTTGAGTGTTTGAGTGTTTGTGTGTTTGAGTGTTTGTGTGTTTGAGTGTTTGAGTGTTTGAGTGTTTGTGTGTTTGAGTGTTTGAGTAGTGTTTGAGTGTTTGAGTAGTGTTTGAGTGTTTGAGTGTTTGAGTGTTTGAGTGTTTGAGTGTTTGAGTAGTGTTTGAGTAGTGTTTGAGTGTTTGAGCGTTTGAGCGTTTGAGCGTTTGAGTGTTTGAGTGTTTGAGTGTGAGTTGAGTGTTTGAGTGTTTGAGTGTGAGTTGAGTGTTTGAGTGTGAGTTGAGTGTTTGAGTGTGAGTTGAGTGTCTGAGTGTTTGAGTGTTTGTGTGTTTGAGTGGTTGAGTGTGAGTTACCTAGTGACTTATTTCCGTGTACTTTTATTTTCGGTACTTTCGGTGCATCTGTTTCATACCTAAAATTTCAGTACACCGAACAAACACTAACACACATAATCCAATAGGGAACTGCTTCTCTGTACCTAAAATTTCTGTTCACCTAACCTGGCCTTTTGCCCTCATACCGAAAATATTGAGCACCGAAAATTTCTGAAATTAGAGTACTCAACACCATTCTATCTACATGTACATGTTCGTCCAAGTTAGTTTCGTCAATTATGCGTGTACGTGTGTGCTTCTGTTTTGCAGGCTTTTGTTGCCCTGATCAGCAAGAACGTTGCTGAAATGGAGGACAGTGTTGGCAATGCCGAGAAGCTGTTTGGCTCCAACGCGATAAGCCGTGTCCTGAAGGGCTTTTCCAAGCCGAGCTTCTTTTCAGGGGTGAGTGGCCGGCTGTATGGCTGCAGGGTTGTCGTGTGAGAGCGGTATTGTGACTTTGGCACTCTGGATTTGCGCCGCCTTCACACAGCCTTGTTAGGTGTTGAAACTGTTGACATTGTACTTAAATGGCGTGACACACGCGTAGCACCTGTGCTACATACCACACATCGTACTTGTGGTAACACACTATACATACATAGCACTTGCGCTACTTACAACACACCATACATAGCACTTGCGCTATTTGCAACACATAGCACTTATTGCTGACAACTCTAGCACGTTACACTTTTTTAATAGTTCTGCTTCGGGGGTAGTGATCTGGAAGTCAGTTGTTTGCTGGACAATAAAGAATAAACCCGTCTCAGTCGCGAGTAGAAGCCTTGTGATTAATAACTTAGTTGGTCATAAGCGCTCCTGCTATACACGCTACGTGCAATGTAAGTTTTGACGTTGTTCTTGTTCCCATTCATTGCTCGTTTCTCTGCCGTGTAGTTTGGCTCCAAGTCAAAGCCTGCAGCCGTCAAACCGGACAACAGTCGCTTTGAGGCTCCCGCGATCTTCTGCACCGACGACTTCCTGCCCACCTCTCCGTCTGAATCGCGTTCCGAGTTGCCGGCCGAGCCTGCTGCCGCCACCACGCCTGACGTCGCGGTCGTTGCCGACGCTTCCGAGCACGCGTGACGAACGCTCCGTTCTTTGCCTCCCACGCTTCTGAGTGGCTTCCGCCGATACTCTGTACGTATGCACGTTCCCAACGGGAATCTTCGTTCTCGGCTCATCGATCAGTCATTTTTATGATTGCTTTCATATCTGCGCTCCCGTTACAAATTGTCGCGCGTGATTGCGAGCTGCAATACGTCAAACTTGACTATTTTGTTCCTCATAAAAACTCACCAACAAAAATTACTAAATATATCATGCATAAAACCGTCCAGCTGGTATGGACGTACTTTTTTTAAACATAAGTAATAGCTAGGTAACCCACTAGCCACCACTAGCCACCACTAGGCACCGTTCTTTACTTACGGGTGATGAGCGCTTCCTAACAATTTACTAATTCTCACCGTTACCAACACTCACCATCCCCTGCTATGCTTCAAATCTCTATTCAATATATTTGCACTATGATGACACTATCTCATGTGCATGTCGCGTTGCTGGGCTGTCGCGTTGCTGGGCTTGATTTTTTACTTACTTCTCGTGCCTTCCTGGGCCGCTACTGATTCGTTACAGGTGTTATTTCTGGCCGAGAACAGAACTGTGAGCTGGTGTGTCTGTGTGTACCTTGGTTTATGTGTGTGTGGTCACTGTGGTGGGTGTACATTGTGTGTGTGTGGGGGGGGGGGGGGGGGGGGTGGTCTACATGTGACCGTGTGAGTGGGCTTGTGTGGGCTTGTTTGTGTGTGGGTGTACATGTGGGGGAGAGGGGGGTATGTGTGCCCATGCCGTCCTGGCATGGAATGTATTGTGTTCCTGTTCTGGTTTTCGGATGCAGCAGTGTAGCTGTAAAAGTCTGTCACGGATCATTGTCGCATTAGTACCACCCATTCCCACCTCCTGTAACTCTGTTGTTGTGCGACATTGCCAGGTGCTCATCGGACTGGGTAACGTGCAATCAGGCGTGCAGAAAGGCATCTATCCACTCCATTACCAGGCGCGTGCCCCGTATGGGTTCCTGGGTGCCCGGAACCCCCTTTTTTCGCTCAAAATGCAGGATTTTGCTTCATTTTTTGAAAAATTTCCCCCCCCCCCCGGGACGGCCCCGGAACCCCCCCCCCCCTTGAATTGAAGGGCACCGGCGCACGCGCCAGATTACATCATATCACCGATTCTGAATTCCTGCATGCAAGCTGTCCCTCCCCCGGCCCCCCCATGCATGCAAGCAAAAAAAAGATCAGAGTGTCAAGCTAGACTGACAAGACTCAAGAGTCAAGACTCGAGTCAAGAGTGCGCTAGTACAGTGTGCTCACAAAGTCACGTGATCATCCACGATGACATCGCGCGCGTGGAGTGCGATCTACATGCAGTCCATGCGCCAAGACCGAAAAAGTCGTCTAAAAGTTGTACTTTTTTATGCAGATTAGCCACTTCTCCGAGCTGAATATATTCAAATCTTCGTCGAAAAATTGTCAAGAAAATGTTAGATGTCTCGAGTCGTTTGCAATTTTCTCTCCATCAGTGCTTGTTTGCGGTAGTTTTGCTTTCCGGACACCTTGATTGGGCCTTTGACCTTATGGATGTCAGTTGTAGTGGTCGTTACTCATTGTCTCGACGTCGCTGGGAGTGTTCTTGTGGGAGCTGTCGAATATTCGTAAAAATCAGGCAAGTGGCAAAGAAAAATTCGCCAAATTTTTGGGCAAGATAGTATGTAGACATCGATGCTTTCCTTTGACTCTCCACCGATGTGGAAACACTTCCAGAAGCGTTCATCGGTGTCCGGTTCTTGATGGGGTCGTGGTGGCCTCCACGGTTTGGAACAAAACAAAATCAATGCATTTTCTGTTGTCACCAGTGGGAGACGTATTACATGGCAAAGAAACGCACCAGCACCCGTATTCACTCTTGAGGGGCCTGAGATAGAAGCCCACATCATCTTCGTTCAAATGACAAAGTTCTAACCAGGGTCTGCAGACCGCAATTTCAATGTCATTTTTTGGTCCCTTAAAAAATGGCCTAGCCAATAGCCTGTATGTAGTTTATGAAGCATTGGCGTGTTCTTCGGGTTTGCAATCATGTTATATTACTCGTGAACTTCTCTTGTAAGATTCGTGCGAAACTGAAAGTTGTAATGTACTCTCAGGACAGCTTGAAGTAGGTTTCAATTCTCGGTGAAGTGCAAAGGTCTTAAACCGTCTTTGTGAATGTCAATGAGAATATGATCCAAGAGTCCACAACCCCAAGGGAAATGTGTGATGGACTCTTAGTATGATCTGTGCCCAAAGAACTGCAGTTGAGTCATTGTTTTAGCAATATGGCTGCGTTCTGAGTTTTAGCGCATTCTTACTCTTAGACTCTTATTGTACTGGAGTGTGCACTTTATAACACGTGTACATGTAACAAAAGCTGAATTATAGAACGGTAGAACATGATATGCCCCATTCTCAGCTTTTGGTTTCTGGCGTTCTTTTAATTATTAGTATTTCAGGCTGCGTGTTCTTGGGCTCCGTGTTCTTTAAAGGGGAAGTATACCCTAAAATCAAATTTTCACCAGTTGTAGTCTTCGGGGTGCTGAGTCAAATGGTCTTGGTCCGAGGAAGCTGAGACGCTCCCTTCCTCCTTTATTCCCAATCGAACTCGCGCACTTCCACCGAAACTGGGTGACTGCACCCTACTAGATAGGGATTTGTATGGAAAAAATCACTAAAAGCGCCGTTTCGTTCTTATAAAAGCGCGGATGACCGCGATTGGTCCATATGTTGTAGTCTTTTGGCCGCTGAGTCGGCTGGTTTTGGTCCGAAAAGGCTGCGATGCAGCGTTCGGCCCTTACTCCCAATCGAACACGGTTGAGTAAGCGGTCACGTGCTCACTTACAGCCTGTTTGGGCCCGTTTATGTCACTCGAGTTGAACCTTTGAACCAGGGAGTCGCAAAAGCCTCTTACGACTCCCTGCTTTGAACCTTTGAGTTGAACCTTGATGTGAAAATTGTAGCCTGCAGGCACGGTGACCAGGCGGCTGGTGTACGCATGAGCACGTGACCGCTTACTCCACCGTGTTCGATTGGGAATAAGGGCCGAACGCTGCATCGCAGCCTTTTCGGACCAAAACCAGTCGACTCAGCATCCAAAAGACTACAACATATGGGCCAATCGCGGTCATCCGTGCTTTATAAGAGCGAAATGGCGCTTTTAGTGACATTTTGAATACAAATCCCCATCTAGTAGGGCGCAGTCACCCAGTTTCGGTGGAAGTGCACGAGTTCGATTGGGAATAAAGAAGGAAGGGAGCGTCTCAGCTTCCTCGGACCAAGACCATTCGACTCAGCACCCCGAAGACTACAACTGGTGAAAATTTGATTTTAGGCTTAACTTCCCCTTTAACGAGACTCTACTGTACATGTAATGTAAAGAACTTGGTGTGCCCCTGTCAATTTCTACCTGTAAACAACTTGAGCACATACACCGGAATACAGCGCTGAACCAATACAATTATCACGACTATGCACATGGACCACATGATAGTACATTCGAGCGCAGGTATTCGGGGGGGACTTTACATTATTTCACTTGCAAACACATTGAACGTTACATGCGATTTCGATTCCTTCACTGTAGATCTACATAAGAAAAGGAACAAAACAGCCGAGCTGCAGCATGCATTCTTGATCAATAATCTGGCACACCCTGGTTTCAGTCAACCACATGGTAGCAGCTAAAAGTGCTTATAGCCGAGACACAGGCAGGAAGTGCTATATGTGTGCTTTCTTTTCCATCTCCATCACAATGAGGAAACTCAATACAAGTGCAGATTGCCTCTTTTACGGCCAAAGAAACACAGTGTATGGTGAAGAAAGTGTCCTAAGGCCGAGAAAAGGAAATAGCTAAGTAATAGGAATGGTAAAGCTACTATATAAAAAAGACTGAAACCGAACCCTTTAAACAACTTCCAGCTAGTATGTGACATAAAAGTCAGTTAGGTTCAACACTATGCCAGTGGATGACAGGGCAGTGCCCAACTTCGATGCCAGCCAGCCACGTCATGGACAGACGCACCAATGAGATGATGGTTAGGGATAGTCGGAGGCGAAAGTTAACCACAACTTGGAAGAACGGCGAAATTATGTACAGCTACAAACAGGATCTGGGAACACAAGCTTTCGGTCAAAGGGAATGAATTCTACACGAGCATCTTGAGAAAAGCACGTGTGTCATTCCCCATACTTCACAGTCTAGCCAGCACCAGCATTTACACACTGAATGTCGGCATAAGATAGAGTGACCAAATTAGGAAAACATCACCAGGCCTGGCCATCAAACAGAAGACTGTTTTCGAGAGCCACATGGATCTGTATGCAGTGACCATGACCATGAGACTCGATAGGCACTTGGATACCCATATGTGCACAGAATATGATTGGAAAAACCTCAACCAAGACAGAGGCACTGAAAATCTGTCTCCAGTGGCTTGTTTAAACACGGCTACGAATCCCACCAGAACAAACTCACACAATCCACTACAAACGAGCTGAAAATGGTCAGCGTGCTGTGTTCGAAACGCTGGACCACATTCCTCGGCAAAGGACATCACGGGTGTGCACGTACTCTTAATCAGTTCAGCCGTGCATGGGATGTGACAGTATTGCCTGTGACCGAACAGCTTGAAAAAGAACGAGACAATCCCTCTAGTAACTGCATATGGCACATTTCACAAGGCATATCCTTGGCCTGAGTCTGAGAGTACACCATGACGATTGTCCCTTCATTTCTCTGACCAGTTGGGTCCACACTTGAGGTCCATAATCAAGATGGAGAGCAGCCAGCTTGCTCTATAGGAACGCATGCGACAATGTTCAGTAGACGGCATAATCCTGACTCCTGCATGGACAAAAACAAAATGAAAAGCCACACCAAGTTATAAGCATCGTGACTACAGTCCATTTCAAAACTATAGACACGCGTCTATAGTTTTGAAATGGACTGGTACGCACCTAGGCAAAAACCGTTATGCCAGCATCTATACCACATAAAATCTGTGATCACTTTGTGCATAAATTTTTCCAAATTGGGCGTCTGTTATCCAATCCTTTAGAAACTATAATAGAGTAATTGTGGAGCGATCCTGAGCAATATTCCGAAAACTATTCTCAAAAAGTTCCAGCCAAATTTGAAATATTTCAAAAACCCTACGCGTCTATAGTTTTGAAATGCACTGTAGTATACAAGTAAACCACTACAATGTATTCTGAATGCAATTGAACCTCAGAACATAAGCTATACCCCTGCAACTGCATACTCTCGGTGGAAACTAATTCAAACTTCACAAAACGGGGTTTCCAGTGCGTTTTGAACTCAACATCCCTAACGAGTAATCTATAACGTAACGATTATGAAGTTGATTGTAAGGAATTATTGATCAATGACCGAGTAATCGGTATAATCGTTTCAGCCCTACTTGTACTTCACAGGTGAACCCAATCCCACGGGCCACGACACGCTGATACCACCATATGCCATTTTTACAGGGTTTAATGCGCAGCTTCCGCATTCCATACTGGTAGCACAACTACAAGCACATGCGTGCGCCTCTACGTGAGACCAATCGACCTGCAAAAGTTACAAATACGGCAAAAGCGTGTGTATAAGCGCATGGGCCATTACGATATGGTCCTCTTGTCAGCGTCTGTTCACTGTAATGCTGTCTTTTTTTTCTTGGCTTACGGGGCAGGAATATCTCAACAGGAATGTCCCCGTTGTGTTGGTGATGTGCAAGCGGCGTGGGTCGGCTAAGAGTGCAGTGTGGAATGGTGGAGTGAGTTAATTCACCGAGAAACGATGAAAGTAATAATCGCGCCCGCCAAACACCATGAGACTCCAGAACATGTTTTTGTCTATGGAGTAATTAAGAGTGCATACATACTTATTTAATTCTACCCAAATTCCTATGACTACCATGTATGAACTGCGAAATCGGGTGAAGTGCCTCAATGGACATCGCTCTGAACTACAATTTTGACCCTCGTTTGCACCTGATCTGAGAACGCGATCAGCCTTTTGAAGTGTATCTGTTCACATTCAAAACACCTATTAATATTTGTAACATCGTAAATAATTGTTCTCAAGTTTACGAGAAGAAAATCAGAAATCCATCAGCCATACCAGTTTTCGTGATTCTCGTGCATTGGCAACTAGGGTATTAGGAAAAATTCGCCAAATTTTTGGGCAAGTTACTATCAAGACAATTTTTGCTTTATGAGCAGCCTAGGACAATGGACTATACATACCTGAGGTCTGGGCGGTGTCCGGTAGTTCTTTTTTGGTTCTCACGCCATCAAATATTTTGGCATCCAAAAATCATAAATTCTGGACGACGCAAAATTGAGAAAAGTGGCTCTGCTGCAACATGACGGAAAAATCTCTGGCGGAACGGCTTCCAGATTTTGTTTAGGGACTATCCTAGCCCTCAGCAGGCCAAGTTATAATAGCATTCATGAAAGTCTTCCATGTCAAATCGACGACGATCAAAATGGTGATTCTGCTCAAAATTGTTCACAGAAAAAGTCGAAAAAAGCGGCGTCGTTATCTTCATTTTGCATAAAGATTCGGCTCATTTTTGGCCCTTGGCGCATGGACTGCATGCGCTGCACTGCAGTACTGGCACTGACGTCATGACTGCGTGGATCCATTTCGACGCAAAACGAAAAAAGGTTTTTTGTTTTCTATGGTTTGAAATACTTTTCAATGCACTTTTTTTAGTTTTGCAGTTGTGACTTCAGCTTGAGGGATATAGTAATACGATTGTTGGTTTGTTTAGACGCAGGCCAGGGGCCTTGGATTAGACATGTTTGGGCTGGTGCGCCAATCATTGCTGGCAGCAAAGCCTCTTTTGGGGTCTTGTAAGGTGTTCCCAACATCGACGTCTGCTTCTCCGTCATTACAAGTTGCAGTCTCAACTGTCAGGCAAGCTTTGCAGCCTGTTCGCTTTTCAGAGACCTGGACTGGTGGAGGAGGCAAGCTTGGAACAAACAGGAAGAGGAAACATGGCACCTGGACCTACCTGCGGCCCAACAAGCACAAAGTTATTAGTGCCATTCTGACCCGTATTATTCCAACTGGTGATGGACAGTTCATGCGCTTCTCTCGCAACATGAAGAAAAGTGCTGACAGGAGGCCCGAGTACAGGCACAAGCTAAAGCACATCAAGTACGTGACAGAAACGCATGCGAAGTTCTTGACCAAGTGGTACGGCCCTATCAAGAAATTCCGAACCCTGCCTCCGCATTCGCACACCAAGTTAATATCTTCGGAGGGTCGAAAGTTGAAGGGGAAGCCGTTTCTTCGCTAGATTGCTGTGTACACTGCTGCCTGTGCTGGTTGCTGTGAGTTTGAATTATGTAATAAGTTATAACAATGTTCACGTTTGCTCTATATAACCAAGACCACAACATCTGCCCATACTGCCGTGTCACTCTTTGCCTGTGGACGCTTGTGTGTTGTGTGCGTGTGTGTGTGTGTGTGTGCGGGCGTGTGTGTGCATGTGTGTGCATGTACGTGCGTGTGTGGTACATGGTGTGTGTGTCTGTACAGTGCTGCTCAATGAAATCCGATGGAGTGAGTCAAGTACGCCGTGTCGGGCGCTGTGCAGCCCTAGACCTGCGAACACTGGGCTGCAAAATGGTGCAGGATGCCAACTTGACTCACGTGATTGGATTTCATTGAGCAGCGTTGCGTGTACTATATAACATGTTATTTTCGGTGTGACTTTAATTTCGGTGATTTCGGTAGAGAAAACAGGCACCTAAATTTAAATTATACCTAAAAGGCACCAGTGTGTACACTGTATGTGAAGGGAATGCTGGTCACCTAATTCTACATTACAACTGAAACCTGGCGGGTCCTGGCATCGAAATTTTAATGCACCTAAAATTGCATGTTTTACAGTATGACTATGTGTGTGGGTGTGCATATGTGTTGCGTGTGTGTGCATGGCCAGCTTGTTTGTTTGCTGGATAGTGGCAGGGTGCGTTTCCTTCAGGCTTGGCTGCTTGAAAGCGTAACACGTGCGTACGCATGTGCTGTAGCAATCAAGATCCAGCTAGAACACTAGTAAAATGCACCCCTACATGTACTTTGAAGTACTTCTCTGCACTTCGATCCGTCTTGCAAGGTACTGTACAGGCAGAGAATTTTGGTCGGTGAATAATTTCACCGCACTCCAAAGAAAGTGAGTTAGTCCAGCTGAAACTTTAGTCCATGGATCGTAAATCGTATTGAAAAGCTACAAGTCGATGTTAGTCCGGCATTCAGTTTAGTCCTAGAATTCCTTGGACGAAAAAGACAATCATAAATCCCGACGAACATTTCTGCTTGCGGAGTACTTAACAGTGGATAGGGCATGACCAAACAGCGGCGTCAATCTTGCTCCTGTTGTGCCGTTTGGTAGCGAAATGTTCTATCTCTTAGTGCTGTGCAGCGAGCCTAAAGTTGGGCTGTTTGGGAAACACTTTCCATCCGATATTCTGCAGCACATGTCGCGCAGGACCGCCGGAAGCAAAACCGTAGAATCCCGCGTATAAGCCCATGCTCACGCATAAGCCCAGGCCAAGTTCGAACATCACAAAGCTTCATTGTACGAGCCTATGGGCCTAGGTCGTACCATGTACGTACTACCAAGAGTACATAACCCCCCCCCCCCCCCCCCCAGGGTTATATACTCTTGGTAGTACAATGTAGGTTTTTTGTGTTTTTTTGTACATTTCAACACAATCGTCAGTTGTTTTTTATTGCACAGTGGTTTTCAGCAATGTACTTCTCACTTCCTTGGTACTTTTCAATAGCACACTTTTCAAAAGTGTGCTATTGATACTATGGTATGACCGGACCAACCAAATACCGTAGAATCCGGCGGGTCAGCCCATGGGCTTATCCGTTTCACAAGGACATTTCGGCAGGCGTATACGAGAACATGGGCTTATACGCGGGCATGGGCTTTTACGCCGACACCAAATTTTGGGCTGACCCGCCGGATTCTACGGTATTTGGTTGGTCCGGTCATACCATAGTATTTCATACAGTTTGTGTATGATATGGCGCTTTAAAAACATGATCTCAGCAGTAAACATATACATGACATTGTGTTGGTGGCCAAAATATTGGTCCAGTGATGACCTGACCAAGCGGACAGGTTCCGGTGGGCCTAATGTCTACACCTACATCACAGTATGATCAGAATATCGAAGAATTGAAAAAGCGGAAATTGCCGCCAAAATCGGAGCAAAATATCGAGATGTTGAGTAAAATTGATACCGGTAAAGGGGGAGTGCATCGATTTTTCAAGTAGTCCTCCGATAGGTATGGATTATCCCATGAGTACGAGGGGTATACCGCCGACTATTTTCACGAGTGCGTTAGCACGAGGGAAAATATAAGGGACACGGTATACACAAAGTACGAATGGTATAATCCATGTATCCCATGTACTGTCCCAAATAGAGCGTGACCAGCACTCAAATCTCCCTTATTGGCGTGACCCGGGGAATATTCATGACCCCAGCGGGGTATATTATTGACCCAGTGACCCCAGCGGGGTATATCGCTCTATATACCCCGCTCAGAACGGTCGCTGATTGGCTGAAATGGCCCAAATCGTTTCGTACCATGGGATAATCACAGTTACGTGTCGTGACCAAAACAAAAAAACACCTCACAGTATGATACAGTGGTGCATAACTGTACTACAATAACTATTGGTCGAACAAGGACGGATTCTCTGGGTTTGTCCCTGTTCCAGGCACAGTACACTGTACTGTTTCTGTGCTACCCTCGTTGGACCAGCACTCGCCTGTAGTCTAGTTTATACAGTGTACAGTGCATTTGAAATCCGCTGATAGTTCACACCTCAAACTAGCGACGCATAGAAGCCCCCAGTCCCCCCCCCCCCTCCCTTGATAATATTATAAGCCTTATGCACATGCACATGGTACAGATATCAAGTACTACAGTACAAATTCCCGTAGGCATGTACATGCCTGGTTGGGTGTGCACTGTGTGCTGTTCATGCCTGGTTGGGTGTGCACTGTGTGCTGTACATGCCTGGTTGGGTGTGCACTGTGTGCTGTTCATGCCTGGTTGGGTGTGCACTGTGTGCTGTACATGCCTGGTTGGGTGTGCACTGTGTGCTGTACATGCCTGGTTGGGTGTGCACTGTGTACTGTACATGCCTGGTTGGGTGTGCACTGTGTGCTGTTCATGCCTGGTTGGGTGTGCACTGTGTGCTGTTCATGCGCGTTTGACCAGTTGAGCCCAATGGCAATGGCAGACAGATGCTTTTCCCACTTTATCACTTTGGATAGAGCTAACGATTAGCTATGTCTTCGTCCGGAAAAAGGTTGTTGCATGAAACACCTGCAGGGCACGTTTCGCAGTGCGAAATACCCTAAAGGGTGCTGCACATTCAACACCCAGCCGGCTCCAAGCATTCTACGGCATTTCGTGCATGACATCAATGTGCACCGTGAGGCTTACACCAGGGAGTGGTGTTGTACTACTCCCTGGTATGTACAGTCACCCCTCTTAAAAAAGCACTTTATAAACCAGCACCCTCTAGAAACCAGCAAAATTGTCATCAACCTCTTTATGTACATTGCAGGAGTTAAAGGGGAACTGTCACCAAAAAATTTCTTTGTCTTATCTTGTAGCTCTTTGGCTCCTGATCACGATGGTGTTATTCGTTTTTCTCTGCGATGACTGGAAGTGGGTGAAAACTTGAAAAGAAGGTGCCCAAAATTGTCCCGAAGTACCGAGTGACGTCACGCCGGACTTGACCTCCACGCGTACTTTCATCGTCAAAAACGAAGTCCAGCCCGTGTGCTCGTCGATCGAGCCAACTGTTCGATGTACGGTGCACGCTTGCCTTCTGAACTCGGACACTCGATGTGTACTTTGTACACAATGAGAACGCCAAAAAGGGACAAAATAAACAAAAGTCGACTGCAGTTTGTCGCACTGGTACTTCCTCCACGAAGCTCCAGCTCTTTGTTTTATTAATTTTGTGATTACGAAGGAGTGGAAGGATGTTTGTTTGCTGTTAGTGTGACACACATACCTCGTACTTGAAAATGATGTCGTTGTATCGAAGGTGGCGATGTTGCCCACCCGGCTCTGAAATGAAAGACGTCGGAGTTCGTCATCTGCATCTTGAGCAACATCGCCAGATGAATCGCCTTCACGTAACTACATTGCGTTCCTTTGGGGCTCGGGTTGGTGGTGTTATCGCCGGCCGGAGGAGTACTGTTTTCTGCATACGCACTCATCATCGTGTTGTTCCTCACACGAAAAGTTCAAAACAACGACGTACTTCCGTGCTCACAAAATAAAACTTTGATCCTCGCGGAAGAAGTCAAAAAGGTGAAAGCTCAGCTGCTTTTTATTTTTGTTTTGGCTGTGTAGCTGCACGTGGGCCTCTGCCTCTTTGGCATTCTCCTTCGGTACGACGTACCCATATATCTGTGTTACAGTACAAAAGGCACACGTGCACCGTACATTGGAACAGCTAGCTCGATCGACGAGCACACGGGCTGGATTTCGTTTTTGACGACGAATGTACGCGTGGAGGTCAAGTCCGGCGTGACGTCACTCGGTACTTCGGGACAATTTTGGGCACCTTCTTTTCAAGTTTTCACCCACTTCCAGCCATCGCAGAGAAAAACGGATAATACCATCGTGATCAGGAGCCAAAGAACTACAAGATAAGACAAAGAAATATTTTGGTGACAGTTCCCCTTTAATCAGATTTGTTAATCCAGCGCCGCCCCTAATCCAGCAGAATTTCTGTTGTGTAGTACATGTACCTATGGGTTCTAAACGGACCACTGTACACTTAATTAAAATTGGCATGTGTGGATATTGGATAATTAGAATTTCGCCCAGCAGTTGGGGGTTCTATTTACGGACTGCTGGCGTCAAGGTACATTTTACTAGTATCTGTCCCCGCATACTAATGCACTTACCCCAGCCCCCCCCCAGGGAAGCCGGTGACACTTTATACCAATGTGGGTTGCTCATCAGATTGGATCTGATATTACACATGTAGATCTAACACGCATGTACGCACACACGCACACACACACACACACACACACGCGCAGTTGGCTTGCTGGAAGCATACAGCAATCGGTGACAGCCTGCCGGGCTGACATCGTTGACTTAACGGAATAACCACTTCGGCCGAGAGTGACACTACAGTGATGCGAAAGAATTCACGGTTCGCTTGAGACTCAGCAGACAGAGTTTTCAGCATCCGTAGGAACCAGGGAGTAGTACAATACCTGGTATTGTACTACTCCCTGATAGGAACGCCACCACCCTGCAAAGACCAAGGGCGCAGATGCAGTTCCTAAAGAGGTGGGAGGTGGGTAGATCAGCCTACCAACAAAGTGGTCAAAGACAGGAAATCCCATTCACTGCATCCATATCTCCCTAGGCCCTGGTGCCAGGCCACACTGGAGGTTAATGAGAAGCTTTCTCTCTCCACTTGTGCCGTGTTGTCGAAGCTTAGCAAGCCTTGGGAACCCTCCAGGAGTTCACTGACTGGTCAGGTCTCTATCCCTCTCTCCAGGCATTTGCGGGTGCGCGCACGTGCACACACACACACCATTGACCATTTGACGCCCATCGCCGGAGGCGATGATAGCGATGCTAAAGCAGAAGCCATAGCAACTTGTGCTGGGATTGCACCATTCAACAGCTTGCAAGGCTGAAGAATTGACCGCCACTATTCAGCCTGGTCTACACCACACAGCTATGAAGTGGCTTTTTTCTGGCCAGTGAATCCCTACTTTTTGGTCTTTTTCATTTTTTTCCGCACACACATCACACCACATACTCCGGCATGCACTGGCTGTTGGTAACCACCCAGGAGAATGAAAGAAAAGTCAGGAGGAGTCTGAGAAAGAGAAGAAAGACGTGTGTGACCATAATCGTCGGGAATCGAACCCGCAACCTCCCGATTGGAAATCCCTGCACATACCACTGCACCATACGGGACACACACACACACACACACACACACACACACACACACACACACACACACACACACCATCAAAATGCTGAAGGGGAGAAGTGGCACGTCTGTTTGTTTTCATGCGCCGACAGCAGCCCAGGCAAGATTTGGAATTATTAGCAAGTGTAACTATCCAAAGTTGTATCTCAATGTCCACTATCATCTAGACCAAGACAAGAGGGATACAAAACTTGCCAAAAATATCATGTTGAAGGCAAAATATGACAAGAATAGAATCGAGACAATGTTCTCTTTGAATTTCGCCAGAATGGGAAATGACAACTAATGGACCAAATAAATAAGAACATGTAGAGCTAAGGCTTTCAGATAGGTTAGGAATAGTTGAAGATGTACACAAAAAAAGGACGCAGCGGGCCAAACAACGAGGGGAAATAACTGGAGCTCGACCGAGCCAGTGGACGCAGAAACTAGCATACAGATAGAGGGTGGGGAATTGCAACAGGCACTTTGCTGGCCAGCACATATGTGCGTGTGTGTGTGTGTGTACCGCTAGCAGCCATGCCATGGAGCACGACACACAGCCACACCATAGACCATGTCGAATAGACAACGACAGAGGAACAATATAGGAGCAGTAACTTACGCGTGGCCAATCCAAGTGCACGATGTACTGGACGGCCACGGGGGCAAAGACGGAGCAGAGTGACTATTCCCTCGATAGTTCTCACATGCGGAAGGAGAGACGGACAGACAGAGACAGACTGAGATGAACGAACAGACTGAGATGAACAGAGGCCGACAGAGTCGTACCCTGTCGCAGTGGAGCCCAGTGCATGCATTCCGGGTCGCATGCGGTCAGCAGCCAAGTACACGAGTTTGTGTGATACGCCAGCATGGGAATCGCGGACTGCTGAACAACACCAGGCAGAGGCGGTGATGATGGTGGTGGTTAGGTGGTATGCTGGTTGCTCGTGAACAACAGCTAGCCGGCTTTCTTGGCAGCAGCCAGGTCACTCGGGTTGATCAGGGTGCGACGGACTGGAGAAACATCGGAACAAACAAAACAGCAATCAGCATCCATTGGAAAGATAGCCCATTGCAGTACATGCAGTGCAGTGCAGTGCAGTACATGCAGTGCAGTGCATGTACAGTGCTGCATGTCGACCATTAGCTATCCGTGTTTCGACAACTGGAGTCCATCAAAGGGCTTAAGGCCTTGCAACGTCACCCTGGCCCTAAGCTTGAATCCAAACCAGGGAGTAGTAGAATACCGGTATTTTACTACTCCTGATCCGAACTGTGCCAGTAGAACCAGCATTGACAAGAGTGCATTTCCCCTGCTTGCAAATCTCGTTTGGCGAATGCCTGTCCCAAGTACTGTACAGGCATGGCTTGAATTGCCCTGCCCAAACGAACAGAATGCATGTGATTTGAAAACGGATGCTCGAGTTTGTTTGGTAGCTATGGTCCGTATGGAAACACGTGAAGACTTTGGCGGCACAACTGCACCTCTGAATGAACACATGTAACAACGCTTCAGAAGAGATTGAATTGTGTCAATTGCCTGCAGGAGCTGCACCACCTAGGGGAAAATACATTTTTTTAAGTAATTCACAATAAATACACGCTACACGTAGAACGTACCGTGAAACAGACTACCTGCACGTGTACATACTGGCAATGCCAAATGTGAAATGTAAGACATTATTTGCTAGTACAGTGGTCCCTCTATAATCCGGCACCATTTGTGCCAGGGAAATTCTGCTGGATTAACAAATCTGATTTACTGCTGCAATGTGCATGAAAAGGACATTTCGGCTATTAAAAAATTTGTGCTGGTACATAAGAGGGTGCTGGTTTATAAAGTGCTGGATTAAAGAGGGACGACTGTATTATCACACGGTCCATACAAGGCATGGGCTGCGGCTGTGCAATTCACGTGTAGGTTATGTTGTGGGTGGGTGTGGAGGGGGGAGGGGATTGAAGAGCCGCCAGATTCGGTAACCGGTAGTCAATCGGTGAGCTCATCATGCATGAGTTAGCAGCAATCATGGCAGACACATTGAGACCACTCCATAACACCAAGCATGGCAGACACATTGAGACCACTCCACAACACCAAGCTGCATGGTCATGATGGTACACACACACACACTCCGACAGCTAGCTGTTTCAACCGGTTGTTAGCTACTCAGTAAGCATACAGTTGTAGCACACAAAGAGGAAAGACTCATCGACTTACTCGTCTTTCTACGCTGTGGTCTTGTCGTGCCTGGCGTTTTCTTCTTGTACTCCTTCTTCAGGTCCTTGAGCTTGGAGACATCCTGCACGAGGGCACTGAGCAGCTGCTCAGCGTTAGCGCTGTTACCATCATCAGCCACGTCAGGTGCTGCAGCACTTGTCGCCCCTCGCTTTCTGGTGGTGGCCGTCGCTGTGGGTGCAGGCTTGGAAGCACCGACTGCCTCACCCTACAGCAGTGCAACAATAGATGACAGTGGACACAGAGACAGAGAGATTGACTGGCAACACTACACGGAGCAGACGACATGCTGTTCATGCATCTACCAGCACTATGAGAGGGAGAGCGAGAGAGAGAGAGAGAGAGAGAGAGCGAGAGCGAGAGAGGCAGAGGCAGAGAGAGAGAGAGAGAGAGAGAGAGAGAGAGAGAGGCAGAGGCACAGAGAGAGAGAGAGAGAGAGAGAGAGAGAGAGAGAGAGATAGATAGATAGAGAGAGAGAGAGAGACAGAAAGAGAGAGATAGAGAGATAGAGAGAGAGAGAGGGAGACAGACGGACAGACACACCCACACACAACATGTACACACGCTTACATTATTGATCATGACGCCACGCGTCTTGCGCCTCTTTGCCTCCTGCTCCTTCTTCTTGATCAGCTCTTGTTTCTTGGAGTAGAGAGTGTGGTAGTCCATGGAGAACTCACTTAGGATCTTACAGACGTCCTGGAAACTCAGCTCCTTTGCACTGCTGATGGTGTACCCAAGAAACAGTGCTGCTTTCTTGAAGCGGTTTTCCAGTCGGCGGTAGATCGTGTTCAGGACGACGATGCGGTGGGCGATGTCGTCCAGTGAGTTGGTCAGCGACTTTTGCATCTGGTCGTTGTTCTCCTTTTCCAGAATGGACGCCAGGTCGGCCCAGGCGGAGTTCAGCTTCTTTCTCAAGCCATCAAGCATGTTACTGTGGCCCTTGAAGTCGATCTACACTCGCAACGCACAGAGTACACAGAAATGCATGCAAACACACGGTCAATGCGCTCGGCATAGTGCTGACTCCTGGTGGTGAGATAAGACAAATTAGGGCAGGTGTATCAGAGCAAAAACAACAAAAAAAGCAAAATTTCAGACAACAGTGGAGCTTTAACGTGTTAATTTCCAGTCTCCTCGGAGACAGAACACACTTCAAATTCTTGAACAACAGCACGTTGAGGAGAGCTTACCTTACTGCATTTGTGAATGTCTGCAAACTCATGGTGTAAGCCAGTACAGTCGGGAAACTGCTCACACATCAGACTGGCAACGTGGAAGAGCATGGAGTTCTTCTTCACACCATCCTTGATGTTGGAGATCTTGCTGAAGAAATCGAAGGAGAACGCCTTGAACTGTGACCATAAAGGTGGAGGGAGATAGATAGATAGATAGAGAGAGAGAGAGAGAGTGTGTGTGTGTGTGTGTGTGTGTGTGTGTGAGAGAGAGAGAGAGAGAGAGAGAGAGAGAGAGAGAGAGAGAGAGAGAGAGAGAGGGAGAGGGAGAGGGAGAGGGAGAGAGACAGAGACGGAGAGGGCAGAGAAAGAAAAGAGAGATCAGCCACAACCATGGAATGGAATTCGTGACATCTCTCCAGGCTCTGTTTGCACGAGGATTTCGACCTGGGTTGAGTTTCAACCTGCTACAAACACAGATTCACAAGAGCATTCTACATGATGCGTTGCGTTTGACCCCGGTTGAAAGCAAGAAAATTTACGATCATACTGTGGCGTGTGTTTCATGCCAGGACTGCATGTGCAGATTTTTGGTGTCTGCCGTGGAGGTTCCTCCATGAGCCCAAATGATGTAACAGAACCATATATTGAACTTCACAGCACTCATCACTTACATCCTTTGAGGAGAGGAAGTTACAGATTCCGAGAATGACAGCCAGGATATTCTTGAATGTCACGCTCTTGGAAATTTCATTGATAGCGCCCTGGACATACTTCAAGTCACTGGCAAGATCCTAGCATGACAAACAAGCACACACACATATACACAGATGCACATACACACACAGATGCACATACACACACAGATGCACAACCACACACATATACATACACACATACGCACACACAGATTTACATACACACACACACACACACATACACACACACACATACACACACACACACACACACACACACACACTTGTACTTGTTGCTCACTGCCAAACTGGTCACGTGGGTAGTAGGTCTCCCCGGGAGAGGGGATAGAGACTCAAAAAGGAATCTTGGAAAGATGACTCAACTGGCTATTGAACCGCCCAATGGCCGACACCCCCTGAAATCCCCAAAATTCTGGGTGGACTTGAAAATGATCCCACTTATGGGCTCACCACACCTCAGTAAGTGGGTGAGGACAAGGTGCAGAAAAAGGATTGACGGCATCAAGGTATCCGTCCTGGGATCCAACTGCAGCTACCCCTGCCCCCAGTGAAGGTAATACTTGCTACTTGCTAAATCAGAGTGGAGCTGATCTAAGCATCACTAGCACCATTGATTACACAAGAGTGAGACACACACACACACACACACACACACACACACACACACACACACACACACTACTACTACTACTACTACTACTACTACTACTACTACTACTACTACTACTACTACTACTACTACTACTACTACTACTACTACTACTACTACTACTACTACTACTACTACTACTACTACTACTACTACTACTACTACTACTACTACTACTACTACTACTACTACTACTACTACTACTACTACTACTACTACTACTACTACTACTACTACTACTACTACTACTACTACTACTACTACTACTACTACTACTACTACTACTACTACTACTACTACTACTACTACTACTACTACTACTACTACTACTACTACTACTACTACTACTACTACTACTACTACTACTACTACTACTACTACTACTACTACTACTACTACTACTACTACTACTACTACTACTACTATCAATCAGCTACCCCTTGGGGTCACGCCGCCCTCCACTCAGAGAACTGAGCGCAAGGTGAGGGGCACACACACACAAACACACTGCATACACATGAAAGTACACTACAGAATTTAAAACATGCTGCGCGGGCATAGTCAACACCGAACTGGCAAACCATAGCCGCATTGATGTACATGTACTTAAAAGTACATTGTCTAGCAACGAACATCATGGGACTTTGTTGACATTGACTGCATATGGGGTAAATACGATAAATTATTTACACCCAGTGTATACCAATACGTCAAATTTAGCAAGTCATACACACAAGCAGTCAATTCACTGTCTGATGCAGAAGTCAGATTGGCACAAATCAAACCACCACTCTCTCTCTCTCTTGCACATAAGCCGAAAACTACCGGTGATGCTATAAGCTTGATGATCGCATAGCGCAAGCTACAGCAAGATGCAATCAGGAAATATGCATTTTGTTAGCGGAGTCTAGGCGTGTAAAACTGCATTACATGTACAGCCAAAAAGGGTGCTGAGTGACTGAAAGCACTCGTTTCCAGAAGCCGTACGGTACGTTGTCCACACCGAGTTAGTCGACTCTCCCCGTATTAATATCGACTTACTAGCGGAACGTATCATGAGTCATGCTGAGTTCCTAGCTGACGTGCCAACACCGCCGCCCGGTGAGAATAGCACTGCCGAGAAGTCAGCTGAGACACCTACTGCCCCTGCTCAGCAACATCGACCACACCAACCGCAACAGCAACCAGCAAAACCGAGGCAGCAGCAACAGCAGACGCCGAAACCACAACGTCGTCGTCCATCTTCTCATGCTCTTCGAACCACGTCAGAAACAGCAGGTGACGACTGAGCCAGCGCGCCGCAACTTCCGCCGTCCGCAGCAGGGTTCAACGCCACAGCCAGTACGACGTTCGGCTAGAAATGCCCCAGCTGATCGCTAGGGATCGGGGGATCACCGTCATGACCGGCCTCCCGACGGTGATAGCCCCCGACGACTATCTCAGTCGGTAGAGCATGAGACTCTTAATCTCAGGGTTGTGGGTTCGAGCCCCATGTTGGGCGCCAGTGTCAGTCTAATCTTGCCTCAGTCTAGTGTAGTGTAATCTGTTGTCTCGTCCAGTTTTATAGTTCCGGTCTTGTCTAAGTTCCGTCTTCTGTAATAATAATACCAGAGTATCCCTCAATCTAATAGTACTATTTGGTGCGTTGTGTCGGACTGGGACAGCATAAGGATACGAGTACAACAGTAGAGAGATAGACAACATTAGACAACAGAGGAAACACCACCAACCACAGGCGCCAGCGCCGCCAACGCATCCGAAAACTGAGTACCGACCTGAAAACAACCCTACGCGCAAACTGTAGCCGGCGCAGGACACCATCACATTGCCTGGATGTATGTGTACCTGATGAACTCATAGACCTCTTAGGACTCGATCTGAAGTTTGTGCCGAGACTGAACTTTTTAGCAGATATGCCAACACCTTAGCCGGCCCGGTAAGAACAAGTCAGCTGCCATCTTGTATCCCCTCTTCTTGATTTTCAACCTTTCCTTCTCGTCAGGCATGTTCTCCTCTACCTGGAAAACTGCTAAAGTCATTCCGATCTTCAAAAAGAAGGGCTCCCAACATCTGCCAGTGAACTACCGTCCTATCTCCCTGCTCCCCTGCATATCCAAGGTGTGTGAGCATACTGCCTATCTCCCTGCTCCCCTGCATATCCAAGGTGTGTGAGCATACTGCCTATCTCCCTGCTCCCCTGCATATCCAAGGTGTGTGAGCATACTGCCTATCTCCCTGCTCCCCTGCATATCCAAGGTGTGTGAGCATACTGCCTATCTCCCTGCTCCCCTGCATATCCAAGGTGTGTGAGCATACTGCCTATCTCCCTGCTCCCCTGCATATCCAAGGTGTGTGAGCATACTGCCTATCTCCCTGCTCCCCTGCATATCCAAGGTGTGTGAGCATACTGCCTATCTCCCTGCTCCCCTGCATATCCAAGGTGTGTGAGCATACTGCCTATGACATGCTATACACACATGTATCACTGATGTTAGCTCCTTCCCAATCTGGTTTCCGCTGTGGAGACTCTACCTCCCTGCAGTTCGTATTATTATCCAAGACGTTTCCACGCTCAGAGACAGTAGAAAGATTGCCGGCATCTGTTTCTTTGACCTTGCGAAGGTACTTGACACCGTCCGGCAACGCGGGCTCTTGGCCAAGCTACAACATTCGTTTGGGGTAGACGGCTCGCTATTGTCATGGTTGACATCTTACCTGAGAGACCGGCATAAATTTGGTGGTGTGTTTATGTATGTGTGTGTGCGTGTGTTCGGTTGGTAGGTACACTTATGCCTGATTGTGTTGGGTCTGTTGCCAACAGGCTCGGCCGCTTGAAGGTGTAATGTTGTACCTGCCACCTTTGTTGGTTCCAGGGTTCATATACTTTCTATTTGAAGTATACATACCTGTTAACCATGGACTGCTTCTGGCTAGATTAACTCTTGTGTAATCAATGGTGCTAGTGAAGCTTTTATCAGATCCACTCTGATTTAGCCACTCACACTAGTAGCAAGTATTACCTTCACTGGGGGCAGGGGTAACTGCAGTTGGATCCCGGGACGGATACCCTGATACCGTCAATCCTTTTTCTGCACCTTGTCCTCACCCACTTACTGAGGTGTGGTGAGCCCATAAGTGGGATCATTTTCAAGTCCATCCAGCGTTTTGGGGATTTCAGGGGTGTCGGCCGTTGGGCGGTTCAATAACCAATTGAGTCATCTTTCCAAGATTCCTTTTGAGTCTCTCTCCCCTCTCCCGGGGGGACTCACGTGACCAGTTTTGGCAGTGAGCAACAAGTACAGTACAGTACAGTACAGTACAGTGTGTGTGTGTGTGTGTGTGTGTGTGCGCGCGTGTATGTGTGTGTGTGCGTGTGTGTGTATATGTGTGTATGTGTGTGTGTGTGTGTATTCGCGGTCCTGCTTGTGATCCGACTCCCGTTTTCTGGTCCCCTTTTCATAGGGGTGACACTTGCCCATCTGGGCAGTCATGCTGCTAGTAGTAGTAGTAGTAGTAGTAGTAGTAGTAGTAGTAGTAGTAGTAGTGTGTGTGCCTGCGTGTTCAGCACAAGGGTAGTGCAACTTACCGACTCAGCAGCTTCAAACTCCAAGGTGAATGCCCAGAGGCAGAGGCGAGCCTTGACTTCAGAAACACTGCTCAACGTGAATAGGAAATCTTCAGCCTGTGCAAACGGTGTGGTAGGGTCCTTGGTTCTTGCCGCTTCAAGTTCCTTGATTTCCTCTGCCGTTGGACACAGTTTGAGTAGAGACTAGATACAGCAAGCAAGAATGGCGAGTCAGACAGAAAGACACAGAGATACCCAAACTTATACATGGACACAGTCACACAGGCCAACCTACATGCAAGCAGAACAGTCAAACATGTTCTCCAGTGTCACAATCTGCGCCCAGTTCAAAGCCAACCTGCAGTTAGGAAGTGAGATAGGATAGTCATTGGACAACTTCTAGCGAGTGACTACCACACGTGAAAGATGGGTCATGCATGGCATGGCCAGTAGTTTGGGGGAGTTGGCTGCTTCCAACATGGAGCTTACACTTCCAGCCCACTCTCCTGGGATCAGGATAACGACTCTAGAATTTTCAAAATATCGGCATAGTGTACGCTGTAGCAACAGAACACATTCTGTTGTTCTTCTGCCTACCTCAACACCCTCTTTGTTGACCTGGCTTCCATCCATTTTCTGAATGGACGCCTTGAGGAAGCGCGGCGCGGGCAACTTGGTCAGTGCGATGTTGATGTTCCGTGACCGGCTGGCATCTAAGATCTCGATGAACTTGGCCTTGGGTTTATCTTCATCTTTCTGCCGGCACAAACGTCAACAACCCAGCACAACACATGCAGACAGCTAGACGTGAGAGAGAGAGAGAGCGGTATGCATGGCATGCACTGAGGCACACTGATACACGGTGTCCAGGGGAAGACAATAGCAACACATTATGCCGAACGAGAGGGACAGATAGTAGCAGGGTATGCGGGACACCACCATACACCAACTTGCTTACCCACACTGACACCTCATACGCACATACACATCTGTGTATACATAAACATCCATGTACACCCCCCCCCCCCCACCCACACCCACATACACCCCCCCCCCCCCCCACCCACACACACATACACCCCCCCCCCCCCACCCACACACACACCCACCCACATACACTCCCCCCCCCCCACACACACATGCACCCCCCCCCCCCCCCACCCGCACACACATGCACCCCCCCCCCCCCACACCCACCTCCCCCCCCCCCCCCCACACACACACACTTGTACTGTCCCTGTCAGAAACTGGTCACGGGCCGGGGGAGATGAGAAGAATTCAAAAGATATCTCGGAAAGATGACTGAGTTGACTACTGAACCACCCATCGACTGATACCCCCAAATTCCAAACCTCGAGTGGACTTGAAAATGACCCTAACTATCAGACCACAGCACCGTAGTAAGCAGGCGAGCTAAGTGTAGAAAAATAATGGACGGCATGATGGCATCTTTCCTGGGATCCGCCTTCCCGTACACCCATTCCACAAGTGTGGGTGGCTAAGTCAGAGCGGATGTCTCAATACATACTCAAGCAGCTAAGTTCAATCGAAATATGGCATACGCGCACTCACCCACCAAACTAGTCGGCATCTTCTCAGACCCCCCCCCCCCCCCCCCGACACACACACACACATACCTGCTTGGCTGCCTTCTTGACGACCTTCTCCTCGAACAAGATCTTGAACTTCTGCTTGTCAATCTCCACATCCGGCATGTCCTTCCAGATGGTGTCCTTACCACCTCCTCCTAGCATATTAGGATTCATAGGAGCACCAGGGCCAGGAACCTTAATCTGCTTCCAATGGATTGTGCGAATGGGCTTGTTAGCAGCAGGTGCGGCACCTTTCTTAAAGCCGCCCATTCCCGGGGGAGGAGGAGGACCCGGCATGCCGGGAGGCGGCGGAGGTCCTGGGGGACCACCGCCGGGGGGTGGCGGTGGCGGAGGAGGTCCGCCCCCGCCCATTCCGGGCGGCGGCGGAGGTGGAGGTGGTCCTCCTGCTCCCATGCCTGGTGGAGGAGGAGGGGGAGGTGGTCCTCCACCACCCATACCGGGAGGTGGTGGTGGCGGCGGAGGTCCACCACCACCTCCCGGCGGTGGCGGCGGCGGCGGAGGTCCTCCACCCATACCCGGTGGGGGTGGCGGACCGCCCATTCCTGGCATGCCTTTAGGCTTCGGAGGCGCTAAGCAATCGTCATCGTCAGAGTCTCCCAACTCTGTAAAGTCTAAATTGCAGACCTTCAGCGGCCGCGATAAGTCCGGCAAGGGATGGGGATCTACTGGCTCTGGCGGTGGCTCAGGCTTCGGCGGTTCTACAACTGGCTCTGGCTTTGGCGGAGGTGCTGGTTCCGGCTTGGGCTCCGGTTTAGGCTCCGGCTTTTTCTCCTCAGGCTTAGGTACCGCTGTAGCCGGAACACTGGCTTTACTTTCAACGGATGGCTTTGCTTCGATTGGTTTTGCTTCAGTTGGTTTTGCTTCGGTTGGTTTTGCTTCGGTTGGTTTTGCTTCGGTTGGTTTTGCCTCAGTTGGCTTCGCTTCAGCTGGCTTTGCCTCAGTTGGCGTTGCCACGGACGGTGTTGCTACAGACGGCGTTGCTTTCTCTGTGGCTACAGCTTCACTCGGTATGCTCACAGCACTAGGGACAGTTGTTGCAGCAGCAGCTTGGCTTTCCCCTGCTTCTGGCTTCTCTGGGATTTCGCCGTTGACCGGTACATTTGAGATGTGACGGCAAGCATCGGCAGCGGCGGCGGCCATTTCCGCCTGGTCGGCCTGCTCCTTGACGAGGGCGTTGCGCGACGCTCGCCTGAACAGCATCAGCTTGCGCAGCTCCCAGGACTCACTGCCTTCTGCTCCGTCGTCGATCTGGTCAGAGTTACGACGGGAAGAGCCGCCCGAAGGAGGGCCCCCCGGTGCACGAATGGACGATTTCCGCCGTAAACTCGTGCCAGTTCTTTTCGGTGGCGTTACTTCATCCCCTGAATCTAAGCCAGTGGTTTTAGGTATGGTTATTGGCGACAGAGGTTCTCTAGAGTCCTCATCTGCATCGCTTTCGGATTCATCGCTACCAGCCGCGTTTATAGAGGCTAAATCTAAGCTGCTTTGCCTCAGAGCGATGGTTGGTAGGGACGGCTTGGAATCCACACGCTTCAAGCTAGCCTGTGACGCAGTTGGGGACATTTTGGCGTCGGTCATTGAGGCCGACGGCGAAATACTACCACAACGACGTTTACGCACTAATCCAGAGCCACGAGTCACTGCGTGGGGATTAGAAAAGAACGGACAGACACACATGCAGGTATGCATACAAACACACGTGCAGGCATACGCACCGACACACGCGCAGGCATACGGACAGACACACATGCATGCATACGGGACAGACACACGCGCAGGTATACGCACCGACACACCCGCAGGCATACACACAGACACACATGCAGGAATACGGACAGACACACCCGCAGGAATATGGACAGACACACGTGCAAGCATACAACAGCAGAGCATGACACAGATTAGCTACTATAGAGGCCGGATAAGTTGACAGTTGACCTGCTGCACAGCTAGTGGCATGTGGTGTGAATCTAGGGAAGCCAAACTAGGTTAGGCTAGGCTACAAAATTAGGACAGGTATGCCATGGCAAAGTGTATGGAGAAGCACATCCCAAACCCAGATTTCTGAGATTCAAAGTGGGTTTTTGATCCTCAATTCGGCCCAAATCGGACTTTCAAAAGCCAGCGGGACTGTTTCCGATGAATGGACTGTAGGCTAAGCTAGGCTAGACAATGCATGCAGCATTGAGTAAACTCTTTGCTCGAAGAATTCTGACGGGATGTGCTTTAAAAAAGCACCCTGCAGGGATGCGGAGAACACTCAACTGCACTACTATCAAGAGTATATGTACGTTTGCTAATACCGTAAAGTACCGTTGATCCGCCCCCTCTCTAATTCCCGCCCCCTGTCGATTTTCTCCTTGTGAAGCGACTTCGGCGTATACAACGAAATACGATGTTGAACCGACGCATGCACTGCTGTACACAATATTCGCCAATCCAGGATCAAAATGTGCACAATCCAGCACATTGAGTCTGATCCTCTACATTGTTGTACATCGTACTGCACTTGACAGCCTTGATCTAATTCCCGCCCCCTGCCGAAAACCCAGCTGGGAAGTGACATGGCGTGGGGGCGGATCAACGGTACTTTACGGTACTCACAACATAGTCAAGGTCTGTATTTCCGTGCTTATTTATTTATTTTTATTTATTTCACTCAACTCGTGGTCCATGACCAATTGGCACGCAAAGTGCGAGAGAGAGGGGTGATAGCCAACCACGGCAAGAAAAGAATTATGAATAGCATCCAGCTACAAGTCACAAACCCACTTCCCCGGACTTTGTTTTGACTTGAGTCCACTTTGGAATTGATCAACGCTTGAAACCCCCAGATGTTGGATCAACATTGAATCTAAACAGACTACAGAGCTTGACACTGAATTCGGACGGGCAAACTTGCAGAAATCAACTTACGCAAACTGGTGGATTTCCTGGAAGCACGTATGAGCAAATACACATTCCCATAAACATATGCACAAGCATGCACAAGCATGCACACACACGCACGCACGCACGCACACACACCCACCCACCCACACACACACACACACACACACACACACACACACACACACACACACACAAACATGCACATGTGAAGGTAATGCATGATGCTAGTGTGGGTGCCAGAAATACCCCATCGGCCAACAGGTACATCTGCTTCAAGAGATAATAAGTATGAAGCCTGAAATCATGATGAATGACAAGTACAGATGGTCAAGCAGCCCAGCCCATAGCAACACACCCAAAACCACTGTCTGGCAGAATTGCACACATCACCCCCCCCCCCCCCCACACACACACACGCAGCAACACAAGGGATCATCACATCACGGGAAGGGAGTGACGAGACGAGTCAGACTTACTTGACACCTACGGTCAGCTCATTCGCTGGTTCATCATCTGGAGCAACAATATCGTACTCCTCCCGCAATGCTTTCTACAAGCAGTTTAGAGAGACAACGACAGAGAGAAAGCAAACCAATTTATACACCAGCAAAGAAACGTATAGGCGGGAGAGATGCATTAGCGCAAACATCTACAACCTGTTTAAAGCACAAAAAGCATTAGAATAAACACAGAGACAGCATAGGAATGCAGGCTGCATGTACACCATGTGGGTGCTAAGAGAGTTGGTTCTAATTTCACTTCCTTCTCTCTCTCTCGAGTGGGTCTATTGTTAGTAGTCAGATATCTGCAATAGTCCCCACTATACAGAACAACAAGGACAATCAAGGCTTGTTTGCTGCTACTTCAAGTTTCACCACTATAAATAATATCCAATCGAATCCAATCCATGGGAGTATGTCCTTCACCTTGGCAATTTCACACACTGTCTTTCCTGTGATAATGATCCCCCCCCCCCCCATGCATCGACCAGGCGCCAGGCGTGAACTGATGATGGTGGTGGTGGTGGTGAGAAGGAGAGCTCTGTGCCAGAACTTTGCAGCCTAGAGAGCGTGCGTGGGCAGGCGTGTGTTTACCGCCATATTGCTAAGTGTTTCTCTACCACCATAATCATTTCTCTCGAGTGGGTCTATTATTAGTAGGCAGATGTCTGCTATACATAATATCCAATCCAATCCATTGAAGTATGTCCTTCACCTTGGCAATTTCACACACTGTCTTTCCTGTATCCTAGGAAAAGGTGATGAGCTGGGGGAGACAATTGTCACCTGCTTGTCTATGCGTACTGCCTTTGCACTTGGAAGGTGGCGGACACGCAAACCAAGCTCGTGCCTCGTACTAGTGGCGTGGAGCGTGGTAACAAGAAGTTACAGCACCACCTCACAGAATGCATGTGTGCATCTGAGGGATGATCATGTTTCCGTATTGAAAGCATCACACCCACAGGCCTACACACCAAAATACTTTCCCAGTCACCAATCACCCAAACATTTCAGAATTCCATCGGCCGTGAGTGCTAAATTGATCACTCTGTGTCAAGAAGCAGCACGTTAGTTTTTGCCTTTCCCAGTCCAGTACCGCAATACAAAGGCCAGCAAACCGAGAGGACTGGTTGGGCTGGATATTGACCGGAAAATAGCATGTGCCAGTTCAAACTCGCATGCAGCACATGGTATCGTTTCTCACCTCATACTGGCTGAACTGTTCCAGGAGTGGTTTATTTCTATCAATTCCAACCTTAGCTTGGTGTTGCTGAGCATTAACAATAACAGCAGCAGCAGCAGCAACAGCAGCGGCAGCAAAAACAAGAAAAAGGTATTTTACAACAAACAAGAAAACAGCAACAGGAACAATGCTGGAGTGAATACTCACAACAAGAACAAACAGAAGCAAAGAACACTAGCGGCACCAGCATAACCAGCTACACACACACACACACACACACACACAAACACACACACATACACACACACGAAGTACACTAGGGTGTAAGGAGTCCCAACCCAGCGAGTTACCTATCCACACACTACGCACGCACGCATGCATCACCTCTAGTGAGCGGCAACTGTTCATGGCTACACAGAACATACTTAACTCCAGCAGGAAACATATTACACTAGATACGCTAGCATCAAGAAACATGAAGTGAACAAGCTGATCGTGAATACCGTAAAGTACCGTTGATCCGCCCCCTCTCTAATTCCCACCCCCTGTCGATCTTCTACTTGTGAAGGGACTTCGGTGTATACAACGAAATACGATGTTGAACCGACGCATGCACTGCTGCACATAATACGTGCCAATCCAGGATGAAAATGTGCACAATTCAGCACATCGAGTCTGATCCTCCACGTTGTTGTACATGTACATCGTACTGCACTTGACAGCCTTGATCTAATTCCCGCCCCCTGCCGAAAACCCAGCTGGGAAGCGACATGGCGTGGGGATCAACGATATTCTACAGTACTACCTGATGCTAACTGTAAGTTGACAAATTGTCGGCCCATTCCAATGTTCGGCCTGTACTATATACTGCTGCTGCCTGTATACACTGTCACACTGAACCTTGCAAAACAAATTTTCAGCTGCAACACATTTTCGGCCAGCTATGACCAGGCCGAAAATAGCCGAAATTAAGTATGCGCCGAATATTTGTTGACTAAGAGTAATGCCTGATGCCTACGCAGGAAGTGGACAAGGACTTACAGCGATGATTTGTTCCATGTTGTGTACTTCCAGTTTGTCTGTTCTTTCATAGTATTCATCTTGATCTGAGGATTGTGTTAGTAGCTACACAACCCAAACACAACAAGAGAAGACAGTGAAAAACAGATGAAAACTCAGAGGAGAGACAGACGTACAAACAGACAGATAGGCAAAGGAACACACACACACACACACACTTCAGATGCATGTGGGTACATAATGCATTCAGCAGCGTCAGGACATGTTTGCGGAGTTAACACAGTACCTACACATTCATGTACTGGCTGGAGAGCACGCTAGAAGTTCGCACGGAACTCACGTGTGCAGGTTTAGTCCTCCACAAGTATGTTTTAGAAATGCACGGTAATAAGTACATGTCTACCAACCTGGTTAATGAGTGTCATGACCAGCGTCAGGAAGTTGTGCCCGTGGCATAGCGTCTTCTCCCGCATTGCTGATGCTAGCGTGGTGAACGGCTTTTGGCCTGCATTACGCGGGCACGCACACACACAGACACATAGACACGTGCATGCACATACACTTGCACGCACACACACACACACACATGCTCGCGTGTGCACACACACACATGTACGCATATGCACATGCACACACATACACACACATACACACACACACACCACACACATACACGCATAAGTGTGTGCATGCCCAAACGCCCAGTGGACAAACAAACCATTCACATGAAGACCAAATGACGAAGAATGGTATTAGAACACACACACACACACACACACACACACACACACACACACACACACACACACACACACACACACACACACATGTATATTTCGACCACACTGTCTTTTCCCACACCATCCACTGAGCGCAACCGTGGTGCACAGGCCATGCTACTCGGAGAGTCAAGTTGGGGTGAATTCTAAGTGGCCGAATGCCGCTGCTTACCTTCCTCTACATACTGTCAGACCTCGATTAACCGCACACATCCGTTTTCCACAAAAAAATGCCTGAATAGGCGAGGGAACCGGATAATCGAACACATATACTGTATGTATGCATGGCATATGCTGTAAATCAGTAAGCAATGATTTTCTTCCGGATCGGCGAGGTCTGACGGTACTGCAACACATGCCATGTACACATGCATGTCCACAACCAAATGAGCCGCAACGTGACAAAAGGGTGCTTATGGCAAAAATTTAACAAACTGAGTTATGGATACAGCGCAATGGCTGAATTCTCACCGCTTCTGTTGCAAAAACATATTCAAAAAGCTTGATAAATCGCACCGAAAACTAATTGAATTCAAAAAGAAAATGTGCACTCTCAATATTGCATACTCAACTTTCAAACGAGTTTTTCTCAGTTTGATGTCGCGTGCCATAAGCACCCTTTTGTCGTGGCGCGGCTCAAATAATATTACACAGGGAGCAGAGACTTATAGCAATGCTTCTGTTGGCACCCATACCGGCTCCTAGGAACCAACATGTACCATGCAAGAAGCATGCACATCTAAACACACTACACTAATCAACGGCCAGCACGACAAAGATTTTTTTAAACTTGGGCCAGTACGACTACAGTATTCACTTTGTCTTGGGGGTTAGACATGGGGAAGTTGCCGTACTGGGGTGGTGAGCCCGCCCTTCGGCAAAGATCAAGTGCCTTACCGCGGCCGGCATCCTCCTTCTCGATTGCAGAGTACAGCCACTTGGCTGGGGTGATCTCCTCTTCATTAGAATTCGTCATGTAGTTGACTTTACAGTTGACAAACACCAGCATCAATTCAGTGGCATTCTGAGCAACGAGACGGGACTGCAGCCAACAAACGCAAACACAGCACACACGTATGATAGCCATTGTTAGAATCATAGTGTGTGTGTGTGTGGGGGGGGGGGGGGGTGTTGCGGGTGTATAGCACCCGGAGTCTTGAAAGGGATAGACGTGCCATAACTCCACTTTTCGTACAACACTCAAATGTCTCGTATCCGGGCCCTCTTACCTTGGGACCGGATACCGGCCGTATCTCAGGATAACTTCATCTTCCATGAGCCCATGACCCATTTCAGTTTTTGATGAAGTTTATTTGGCACGTATTCATGTACTTGTGTAGGATAAAAAAAAGAGTCTGGAGCAGTCAACACCAGAGGAGCTGGTAGCCTTAATACCTTGGAGACACCGCAACCACCACCTCTGCCCTCATCTGTGACATAAGAGAGCAGCGCCAAATACATCTTCTCTGGTAGCTTCAGTGGAGCTGTTCACATCCACGTTCACATCTCACTTTTCCTATTTATAATACTCGTAATCGTGCAATTTTCTTCTAGTGATAATCCATTCTTTTCGGACTGCTTCCTCTTTTCTCGTTCACTCCCTGTCCTCGTTCTCTACAGTCCATTTCAAAACTATAGACGCGTACCTAGGCAAAAACCGTTATGCCAGCATCTATACCACATAAAATCTGTGATCACTTTGTGCATAATTTTTTCCAAATTGGGCGTCTGTTATCCAATCCTTTAGAAACTATATGAGAGTAATTGTGGAGCGATCCTGAGCAATATTCCGAAAACTATTCTCAAAAAGTTCCAGCCAAATTTGAAATATTTCAAAAACCCTACGCGTCTATAGTTTTGAAATGCACTGTAGGGGGAGAGTATTGTGGCACTTTGCTTGGAATTTTCACTTTTCCATTCAGAAATTCCCTATAAATCTTCTAGGTTTCAGCGTACAAGTACATGTACACGGTTGCTCTGTAAACACATTGTAACTTTCACACAGTGTAAATTTTATCTTTGTCTTTTGCGGTTAGTATCCATATTTGATGATCCTTGGCCTTGTTTTTCCGCCATGTAAGGCATTCTTCCCCATTCAGATACAAACAAGCTTGAAGCTTAAAACTGTCAATCAGGGAGTCGCAGCGCGCAAAGAGACGATGCGGGCAACTGTAGAGCCGAATCATGTGGATGTCAACTTCACAGTCGCCCTTGCATTGGGGCAGGGGCCGCAGGGCCGATTTCTACACGCTTGCATATGGCATCGCTTGTCTGGGCCTGCACTTGCGGTCAGCTGGTCAAGGCTACGATCGTGAGTTGCATAGATATGGGATGATGTAGAACTTCCGGATAAGGGGGAACCTGGGTAAGGGAGAGTCCAGATAAGGGGAGTCAGGATAGTATTTGGGGGAGTTTGAGTGCACATGCACCACCGGTGCATCGTGCACCGGCACCGATGAATAAAATACAAAGATTTTAATGCAGGGATAAGCTAGTTTTCAGCAGGCACAAGCGCACAATTCTGGTGGTCCGAATGAATCCGCCTGTAGTGCAGTAGCCACTGAAAGTCAGGAGGGCACTTGAAACGACAGCCCCTAGCTACAAAATTTATGCTTCTTCCTTTTTTTTACTATGTTCACATACCCAACTCGTGAATAATAATGAAAGACAATGGTACTGAGACTAGGACAAACGTTAAAACTATTGAGCAGGAGCTGCACCGAGACGCAGCAGTGATGGTGGGGCATTGATGGCTCTGCCGACCGGAGGTCTCGGCATCACGGCCAAAAACACTGCACACAGCTGCAGACTTACACTTGATCGCACACAGCTATGCAGCCACTGCAGCACTAAGCTGTCTTCAAATACGGCATTGAGACCATCCAAATACAGCAGCAACTCTCCCAGAACTGAATTCAAACACACACACACACACACACAAACGGAAGCACCACATGCATCAGCAGGAGGAAAGGATTGGAGATGGTCACACAAACAATGGCTTTTAAAAAGATTAGGAAATGTGCAATGGCGTCATTAAGCGAGGAGCTTTGTGGGAAGTGGCATCACAAACACTAGTTCGCTGCTCAATACAAAAACATGCCATGATGTCATGATGATGTCATTTGCATAATGTCGATGACTGACACTGTGGAGTGGGATTCACAGAAGCTTTTTTACGATGCGATACGCGATCCGATACGATCTGCGACGGTGACGTGCAAAATACCATTCACAGAAGAAGTCAGCGATGTGACGACGCCTTGCTGATTTGGCGCGGAGTTCAATGCAGGTGAGTACGTCACCATGGTGTTCGCGTGGCTGGGTACAATGTTTACAAATCTACAAGCAACTCCTGAACCTTTGTGCCACTTCACTGGAAAAAGGCCAAAATCGTGCATCGTATCGCATGTCGCATCACAAAAGTTGAGCCAAGCTGACCGAGTTCAACTTCTGCGTCCAGTTGCAACAGTTGCATGAGCTGCGAGATGGATTGCGATTTGGGGATTTCCCAGTTTCGTGGCCGTCGTATGGTGCATCTCAAAAATGCGCCTGTGAATCCCGCTTGAATCAAGGTACATTTATAGCAATATACGCTGGTGGTGACTGAAATGCGACCTGTGACGCGGTGCACTCGCACTGCACGAACACTGCACACGACCACACCAGCCTCAAAGCACGAAAAACGCACGCTTCCATAATACTACAACTGCTGTACTGTCCGCATGACCTATCTTGCAGTTACCATGGTTACCGTACACGATATCTACAAGGACGACTAATTGCACTGTAAGCATTTCCTACATGTCGACATGTTTGTGTAAAATGTTATATGATGAAGATATCTTAAAAGAATTTTCTGGATTTTGTAACGTATACATTTGAAAAAGAAGACAACTGACCTCTTAGTACATATTGCTGGGTGGTGTCATCTGACATACGGGCCAGCTCAGTTAGAGCATTGAGACCCTGGCAAGACAGGAACTCCTGCAGGAAATCTAAATCCTCCTGTAGAGCACACGGGGAGTACACAAAACACAACGGGCAGTGATGAGACAACGTAGTCAACAGGATTCGGTCTCGATCCTGGGTTGCACAGGCCTGGGTGGCGCAGGCCTGGGTGGCGCAGGCCACACATCATGTAGAATTTCTACACCCATGCAGAGTGGAGCAAGCTGATAAAGAAGCCGATCGGAAATCGGAATTTTTCATCGGCTTGAGGCTAGTAGAAAGGAGGTCATGTTGGAATGAATGTTCAAAGTTTGAATGTCAGACATCCACCACCTACTAAGCTTGAATAGACATCAGGCACGAAAAGCGTAAACCTCTCTATTGTTTAGACCGGATCACATATTTTATATAATGGGAGGTATGCATCGAAGATGGCCGTCACCTTTTTGCGCTGCAAATTGCCCCATTTTTGGCAGGTACAACCCGCTCTAGTACATTTATGAGTATGACCTCACAAAGTTCATGATCTTTTATGCAGAGTTGGTATCACAGTGTGTACGGCTGTAGTGGACTGGCCCCTCAAAAGCCCCATTAGATCAAAACCTGGCCCCTCAAAAGCCCCATTAGATCAAAACCTGGCCCCTCAAAAGCCCCATTAGATCAAAACCTGGCCCCTCAAAAGCCCCATTAGATCAAAACCTGGCCCCTCAAAAGCCCCATTAGATCAAAACCTGGCCCCTCAAAAGCCCCATTAGATCAAAACCTGGCCCCTCAAAAGCCCCATTAGATCAAAACCTAATGGCGGGAAATTGATGCATACTGGTACACATGTACGTCACATTATCTAAAGGATGTTGTGATTTCATGAAATGCATCACCAGTTACTCACGTGAAGGAGACGCTTGAGAGCAAAGAGAATTTTGCGCATGATGGTCGGTGGGCCATCTTGCAACAAGAGCGTTTCTGTATCACACACACACACACACACACACACACACACACACACACACACACACACACACACACACACACACACGCACACACGCACGCACAGACTTTGACTACCGGTATGTCAAACGCAGTCACGGAATGGGATCCGCAGCTGCCAAGGACCCTCCATCACCACACCATACACCAGCAGGAATACTACATACTACACACAGAACAAGGACTGAGTAAGAACAGAGTGACCACAGTGAAACCTGCCTAAGATGGCCGCTCAAAGGACAGTCAAAGTGTGGTCTCTGTTACCAGGTGGTCTCCTTATCCAGGGTCATTTTACTGGAAAGAGATTCCTTGTATTGGTCCTGGTTGCAGTGGTCTTCTAGGACAGGTGGCCGCCTTATGCGAGTGGTCGCCTTGACAGATTTTACAGTATTCAGTTGCCAGTATAATGTTACCATGCCAACTCACCAATAGTTCTGTTGACTCTCACGCTCAGCTTGGTTCTCAGCAGCAGTACAACACGTCGGTTAACTTTGAGCTCCTTGTCATTTAGAAACACTGGTGTGTCATCGTGTATTTCCGAGAGGGAGAGGTCTACGTCCACCTCCACCGCCTCTTTCATGTTCCCAGTGCCGGGAATAATCTGAATGCAACATTCTGACACCTATGTGCGCACACAGATGGACACACGTGCACGTGCACACACATACACACACACACACACATACACACATGCACGCCCTCAAATACAAACACACGCGTGCGCGCGCGCACACACACACACACACACACACACACACACATATACACACAGACGTGTTCACAGACACAGACACACCATTTTCAGCCAAACAGCACACTACAGTGGATTGTATAGATGGTCCCTTACCACTGACCAAGACTAGCTCGAATACCAGTGACATGCTGCTGTCTTACTGTACAAGTACATACACAAGAGACATTGGAAGCTGTGTCGCAACTCTGAGTTTCACGTATTACTACGATCATCAGGCAACAAGTACATACAATATAGGTGTCTGGTGATTGCCTATGGGTATGAACACTATTAGTTACAAGGAATGATACGTGGTGCTCTGTGTGCCGTGCGTCAGATAGCTCCATTCGAATGAATATTGAGCATTCTACGGAGCCGGAGGACTCTCATTTGTACATACAATATACATAGTGTATATACAATATACATGGTGCTCATACAATATACATGGTGCTTATACAATATACATAGTGCTCATACAATATACATGGTGCTTATAGTTTGACAGCAGCATGTAACAAGGTGGAGGACACCGTGTTCGGAAACAGCGACCTTTCTACAACCATCCACGGTTGGTAGAGCCCCGGTCTGTTGGGACCATCTGAACCGTATGGGTCTTAGACCCGGTTCCGACCCGCTTTATTCTAGGGGGGGGGGGGTATAGACTACTCCTAAAGTCAGCCGAGCACTCCGCGATCGCTACTGGGTGTCTCCTCGAGAGTCCGAAAAAATAGAAGTTATTTTAATCCGAAATGTTTTTCCTGAACGTCATTTCTTCCAACTTCTGCCCATGCTGCTGTCAAACTATGAACACCATGTAAACAAAAACAAGGTTTATCTACTCGTCTATACAATATACATGTACAGTTGTCTTAAGTCCCTAGGCTGCTTACAGTGCTCAATGTCCACTGGACAGAACAAGTAATATACAGTCATGTACATGTGAAATGATCTGTGAGTGGTGGTGCATGGCGTCAGGCTTCTTGCAATGGTACACTGTGCTGCACAGATGAGTCAGGACCCATGAATGCAGTTCTACTCTAATCTCAACGACAAGTGACCAGCCCAGGTGTGTGTGTGTGTGTGTGCGTGTGTGTGTGTGTGTCAGTGCCATTGCTGGCGGAATGTGTCCTCGGACTTTACTGTCATCGGTTTACCTGAAGCGGACTGGTATCACACAGCGCAGGAGAGATCCACCTGGTTTCAGTGTTGTCGACAGAGGGTGGAGAAGCCGCAGACATTCCGTGCCCCAACTACCGCTGTGACAGAGCGTTCCGTCGTCCTGGTGACCTCAAGCGGCATGCGCCATACTGCAGATCTCGGGTTTAGAGCCTCAGCGTGAGGAAGCCGTCGCTATCATTGCTACGGCAATGGGCATTCAAGGTTGAAGGTGTGCGTGTGTGTGTGTATGTGTGTGTGTGGTGTGTGTGTGTGTGTGTGTGTGTGTGCATGCGTGTGTGCATGTTTTGTGTGTGTGTTTGCATGTGTATGCATGTCTTCCATTTGCCTATATCCAGGTTGTTGTCTGAACTAGCCAAGGTAGACTTGCAACACTCCCAGATCATACAGACATTTACGATTGCACTATATGATAGATTGGAAACTAACACACCCGTTGACTGCACGCCAGAACATCAACATCAACAGCAAAGCCTGCACTGATCACAACAGAGGCTGTGCAGGACTTTCGAAAGCAAGTATTAGTTCATGGCCGTGCAGGCGAGTGTAGGACGGCAAATTTGAAGCTGCTACACAAAATTGATGACAACACAGGGGGTATTTCCGGATGGTGGACACAGGCTGTGCGTACGGTTACATGAACATGGAAGACGCGCAGGACAACCTTCAAACACCGAAACTCTGCGACACGGACATCTCGTGAAGTCGTGTTATGTACCAGCATCTATCTATCAACGCACGAAACAGGGGGAAACTCGTTTTCAAATACTGGCCTGGCTTTTCGCAATGAGGCAAACGGCTGATTGCTCCCAAGTTATGTGGTAGATTGTATGTACGACAAAACATCGTGAACCAGTACATGCCATGTACTCCTCACCTCATTGGGAGCGTTGAGATGTTCCTTCAATGCAGCAAGTTGAACACGTAATGGCAGCTCGATATCGAACTTATAAGTGGTGGGCGTAGTGGGCGACGGGAAGGTAAGCTTACATGGGTCAGTGTCATCGATGAACTGAACTCGGAAATCCATCTTCCGAGGGCAATTTCTACGCTTGGTCTACACTACAGTCGACGGTTCAAGTTCAAGACTGGTGGAAAGCCTGCCATTCAAGCGGCACCCTGGCTGGGTAAGAACTGCACTAGATACTGATTGCGTTGTAATGCTCCACAGTATTCCAGACTTGTGCATGTCCTTCAGGCTTCTTCGTGAATGACGACCGCACACCGAAAACCTTCTTTGTCACTCCAGCAGGACTGCCTGAAAAGCAAACAAAGAAAGACAGCGTCGTGGTAGAATTTCACAGGCAGAAAGCATCTTCATGTCTCACTCAACTGTCAACATGATGTGGCACGTGCCAAAGATAGGGGAAGCTACCGTACACGCGCAGATCTACGCGAAGATTTTATCCGATCGAGATCCCGGTACCGGTATACCGGTAGATCTACGCTTTCCAACGGCCAAAGATACTGAAGTAATTAGTTGGAAAGCTTGTGTCTTTGTGGGTACTGTACTCGTACTTGAACATTTGGGCTCATGCAAAATCGCACCGATTTTGGGATTTCCCCACAACTTTTTGCGTCAGCAAAAATGTTGTGCTGGACCGCATTCCTGTCACCATTGGTCACTTCGCAGTGGCTTTTCGTTGGTGCAGTTTGCCGAGCCACCGTGCTCACAGCAGAGACTTCTGTGTGTCACTGTGTGTTATTGTTGTGAAGGCTTGTGGCGTTGTGAAGTGGACCACAAAGACCGGAACTGAACTGAAATCGTAGAGCGCCTACGCGGTTCCGCGATTCCGCGAGATAAGACGCGATCGCGCGATTTGAGTGTAGACAAGAATTACACTGTACTACAGGATGTCTCCCGGATAAGGACCCATATGCAAGAGTCCATAAATAAACAGTTTTGTCAAGAGTACATGAAGGTTTTCATTAGGGCTGAAACGATTATACCGAATAATCGAGTACTCGTTTGATAACTCTAACGATCGAGCAATCGTTTAGATTACCGATAACGATTATTTTGCGTTTTTTTTATTTGTGTCAAGAAAGTACTGTTAACCCTCGTTTTGTGAAGTTTGAATCAGTTTCCGCTGGGAGTATGCAGTTGCCAGGGGTATGCATGGTTCATGTTCTGAGGTTAAAATAATTGACTTCAAAACTGCCATGTTTCGGAGCTACCCTTTCACTAATGCAGATTTGTTGGTATTATGAAGGCATAGTTTGTGGAAACAGAGTAATGTTTGCGCAGAACTATGACTCTATTTGCTAACGATTATAATCGATTACTCGATCGTTAAGCTAAAGAGTAATTGATACTTGAAAATCCACGATCGTTTCAGCCCTAGTTTTCATGTACTCTTGCCTCTTGGTTTTATGGATTCTTGGTAGATCTACACTGTATGACGTATGGTGAAGAGGCAAGATGAGAGCTAGACCGAGTGACATGCATACAGTGGACCTGGTGTGTGTGGTGGACTACTATAGTACACTCTACAGTCTAGTCATGACATGAAGCTCTGGGTATGATGTAGCCAGCACTGGCAGCAGTCCCAGCTATGTAGATCTACGAGTAGAAGTAGAGGATATAAAATAAACCGGAGTCAGAGGTTTTGCCTAGTCGCACGTGTAGCGACCTCACTCCCTGATAGTCCTGCGGCCCAAATCTGAAAGACGTTGTTTTGCAAGTCCCGTTTCAGTCTCAAGCAGACAACCTGAGCTTTGCATGGGTGGAAAGACCATGTTCTAGGGATGTCGAAACGGCTTGTTGTCATGTCCAGAACTAGGGCATAAGCTGGGGAGAACCAATTTTAGGTTTCGTTACGGAAGTCGTTATTTTACGTTATTTTACGACTCCTTGATCGAAATTGGCAACATGTGATACGATATTTTATTGAAAATTAGTGCAGTCGATGTGAATTTGTTCTTGTGTTTGGATGATTTGTAGATCATGGTTGCCCTTTGCCGAGCGTTCATTTCCTATTGATGGTGATTAGAGATGGCACAGATTGATTTGTTGTAAAATTTGACCAAAACACCCCCAAACATGGATCTTTCGTATGAGAGGATTTCATTTATTGGGACACTATCTCGACAACACCAGCGGAAGAGAGCTAGCACGAGCGAAGCAAAGGACACCGGAAAACGGCAGAGTGATAGCGATCATAAGCTGATCTTAGCAAACGAGCGATATGGAAGATGTTGTAAATAATAGCGCAGTAGTGTATTTGTCATTTGCTGCAGAGTGGAAAAGTACAATTCAAATTCAAATCAATTCAAAAACTTCAATAGTGCGGTCCACCAGCCTTAGCTTTCAGACTCACTGTCCGATTCACAGTCGGACTTACAGTCCAATCCACTGTCGAATCTGCCTTCACCCTCATCATGGCATTGTGTGCATGCGCGCGCGCGCACGCACACTCGTACACACACCGCACAACACATGGCATTGTGCGCGCGCTCGCACACACACATACACAAACCCCACACGCACGCACACACACCGCACAACACATGGCATTGTGTGTGCGCGTCCGCGCGCGCGCGCACACACTCACACACCACATAGCACGCTAGAGATCAGCAAGAACCTGCTGCGACCGTGGTTGAGATGGCGCTGTAGAAGACACCGCAGCCGCCACTGGTTACCTCGCACCCGAGATTGTAGTCAAAGCCGTACTAGCCGACACATCTGTACTGGAGGCTGATGTAGTACCCAAAGATGAAACTGATCCACTGGTGTTCACCTCACGCGGCGGCGTAGCGGATCCTTTGAAGCCGAAATGAGTGGGCAACACGACATAGGCGGGGACAAGCCCAGCGGATATCGCAGCGGGCCTATCGTAACTCCTGGCAGTGAGCCTATCGTAATTCCTGGCAGTGGGCCCGTCGTAACTCCTGGCATTGGGCCCGTTCTCTTGCCGGACACTGGGGTGCGGAGTGGACGTGGATGCGGGCAGGAAATCTGCGGCGACCGGCTGGACTGGGATGGTTGGGGTCGGGCCAGGTGCGTTACTAGTATGACTGTTCGGCAATGACTGGGTATTACCGGCCATCGGACCGTTTCCAGACGACACAGACAAGTGGTTGCTCCGTGAAGAGTGCGCCTGTATACCTATGCCACTTACCATACATGTCAATTGCTGAAGGAAACACACAGTTCAAACACAAAACGTAAATGAAACACGCCAATGAAATTCGATCCTTAAACAAGTCAAGTTCGCATGTCCGCGTTATCACGGGCTATACAATTGTGTTTAGAAAACAACCAGTTTATAATTCTGTCTCTTCTTGCATAAAGTCAGCCTAGAATACTGACGTCAGCTTTGGACATTACTCTGACTCGGACCACAAGCCCTGATTTATTCTGACCTACATGTGTATCGTGTGAAGTAGCGCGAGAGCCAAGCTGGTCATAATAATACGTGTAACAGCCACGAACGTAATTCAACCAAAGAAGACTACCACATTACATGAGCATGAACACTTGCATTCCATTTAATACATTCCTATGTTGTAGATGTCAGGCACTGTAGTGTTCACGTCTACATACACTTTGTGGCATTCCTTGGCCACCCAGACATTCATGATAGTAGCGCATCGTGAAATGAACTTAGCGGCTTTTAGTTGCTGTGCATGAGTCTGGACTCATGATCTGGTGTGTACATGCGATCATGTGATCTTGTAGTTGAGCGTATGTGTTATTTGGATTCCCTTGGTCATGACCAAACAATAAAACATGATTGGCGTGGCGAGAATGCCACGGAGTTAGTCTACACGTTCATGTCATGTTCAGTTGCGATTTGCTTTCTCTTCCTGATTGCCATTGCGGTCATGCTGTCGGTTCTCTGTGATTTGACCTTTATCTCCTGGCATCTTACTGTCTTCATGTGCTCCCCTTGGGGGCACCTTGATGCCTGATGTAATATCGCAGTTGTACAGCGGGCTACCTTTTAGGTTCCGCTGCGGTCGGTTTCGCTGAGCCAGCCTTGGCACCGTGTAGCCTTTTTTGGTTGTTGTGTTCTTGTGCGTGCGGCATGAGGTTTTAGCTGTACCTTTGTTTGGCTGCGCTGCCTTTTTGTTTCCTGAGAGTTTTTCTTTGCATGTATTGTAGTTTGTTGGAATAATCGAGTGCTCTTCGAGCCAACACCACAGCGATTCAGGAGTGTCGATCCTCGCCGAGGTGTATGATCTGTAGCCGTCAACACATTTGGTAGCAGAGGACGGTTAGTCGTTAGGTTAGGATCCTCGCCTGAGAATGGCATCCTCGGAGGAATGCCATGATTTGGAGCGTGAGATCGAGCTCCTGAAGCTGCGGAAGTCGGCAGCGAAGACGCAGCTCACGAATGCGAGGCGGGGGCTGTTGGTCTTGGTAGATGTCGACACGCGACCTGTGCCGGACAAGGCAACGGTACTGAAAGCAGTTTCCTTGCTGCAAGGAGCCATGGACGAACTTGCAGGCGTCACCAGGACCCTGGCGAGTTATGTTCAGCAGACCCCAGACTGTCTGGGAGAATTACGCAAGTTATCTGAGGATGCGGAGCAAACAGAAGAGAAATATACGTCCGCGATGGAACGAAGTGCGGACTTCTGTCGGCAATACAGCAGTTTTGTCACGCCCAGTACACGTTTTGGAAGTCCGTCCAGAAAAACTCAAATCTACAAACTGCGAGCTTACCTGGATAGGCACACTGCTCTTGTCGATGAGAACAGCGCTGATGAACGCGATGAACATGCTGGTGGAGCACGGGAATTTGAGTACGGAGTGGAGTCGCTAGCGCTGCAGACAGATAGTAGTAGTACTGTGGATATGGAGCACACAGCGATCAGAGAAGCTGGTGCTCAGCCCAGTGCCAGTGAAGTGAAAGTTAGAGCAGACGTAGCGGGCCTCAGTCTCGGAGACCAAGCGCTTCAGTCCAGCAGTAGCAGTACTACTTCTGCCACTAACACTAGTAACAGTACTACATGTAGTTCTAGTACATGTACCAGCACCACTGCAGGGTTGTCACCTGCAACCACAAACAACCTGTCACCACCACAGGCCAGTGTGACAAGCATTAGTTTCAGAAGTACAGGTGCCAGTTTCAGTACCAACTACTTGGCAGCATCCAGTGCACCACCACCAGGTTACCTGCAGGCCAGGCCAGTGATAGGTATAGGAAGCACTGTGACAGTCAGCGCTGCCACTGGGACCAGGACTAGCAGCAGGCATGCACCAGCAGTGCCTAGTACAAGTACAACTGTGCATACCACTCTGCCAGTGTCTGGGATGAGCTTGCCAACAGCCAAGACCAGAGTAGGCCAGACTGCCACTCAACCTATAGCTCTGCAATCTGCTGTACCTACACCAGCAATGTTTTCAGCCGCACCAATGTCAGCAGCATGGGCTGCTCCAGTACCAGTATCAGCAGCTCCATCATGGTCTGCTCCAGGATCAGCATTTCCAGCAGTCTCAGTCTCAGCAGCACAGGCTGCACCTGTGCCAATGTCCGCAGTGCCAATGTCAGCACCACACGCTGTGCCAGCTAGCGCAAGCTCGATGCCGAGGTCTGTGACAGCATCGCCCGGACCAGCGGCGTTGGGAACAGACATGTGGCGACAACTCAAGCGTGTTGCGGTCCCAGAGTTTTCCGGCGACAAGCGGCAGTACAACGCGTGGCGTGCAGCTTTTGTAGCTTGTATTGACCAGGCACCCGCTACACCTGAGTATAAACTGTTGCAGCTTCGCCAGTACCTGAAAGGCGACGCGCTGAAAGTTATTGACGGACTCGGACACTCAGCAGCGGCCTATGAGGCAGCCAAGCGGCGACTCGAACGGAAGTTTGGCGGACAACGTCGTCAATTAGCGCTCCACTTGGATGAACTAGAAAGTCACCCCAGTGTGAAGAGCAGCAAAGACCTCGAGCATTTTGGTGACCTGCTCGACATTGCCATCCTCAACTTACGCGAGGCAGGCCGAGACCAAGAGCTCGGAGATGGCACCCTGTACAGAGTTTTACAGCGAAAACTGGCAGAGTCGATGCTCACCAACTACCAACGTTGGTTAGTTGACCACCGACAGCAGCCAACGGTAGTAGCGCTTCTTGAGTGGACACTGCAAGAAGTGGAGTACCGTACAGTGGCAGCCGAGGCGGTACATGGCGTGGCAGCAGCAGTACCTGCAACAGCACCAGGCACTGCCCGTCACTTTGACAGCAGCAGACCATCATTCCGGCCAAGTAGCCATCGCTCGTTGCAGCAGAGCAATGCTCATACACACTTGGCAGACGGACAGACGGCACGAGACGAGGAGACTTCTTTCATATCCTCTCGCGCCACTTGTCCAGAATGCAGCGGGAGCCATGGCATTTGGGAATGCTCCACCTTCAAAGGACACGACACAGGCCGACGGTGGACAAGAGCAAAGGAATTAAGCCTGTGCTATCGCTGCCTGGGAACAGGGCACAGAGGCGACAAGTGTCCTCGAACTCACACTTGTGGTGTCGATGGTTGCCAACGGAATCATCATCGTCTACTACACGGCTTGGCACGATCAGATTTTGAGATCAGGAAGAAGCCGAGAGCCGATGGCAAGGAAAGGAATTATGACAAAGCAAACACCAAGGCTGAACAAGGACACTGTGGCGTCGCAACAGCGCATGAGACTCCAACGGAAGGGGAGTCCCCCCAGCAATGCAGCAATGCAACAGCCGAGAAGAGCTACACCAGTTTACGCACTGTGCCTGTCGCTCTCAGGTCCGGTAGTAAGCGGCTCGTCGTCAATGCGCTTCTGGACGACGGAAGTACCAACACCTTCATCCATGAAGACGTTGCCACAGCGCTAGGAATGAGTGGTGAGCAGCATGACATGACTATCAATATGCTGAATGGAAAGCGGAGCACTTTCAAATCCATGGAAGTGGAGTTCGATATCGCCAATATTAACGGTCAATCATGGACAACCGTAGTCGGACTCACAACTCCCAACCAAGTAACAGGACGTCTGCAGCTAACGGACTGGAGTAGCAAGAAGATTGGCTATGAGCACTTGGCTGATATACCGTTTCCGGAACCGGCCACCCCTGAAAGGATCGAGCTGCTCATTGGCGTCGACAATGCCGAGCTTCACCGTGCGTTGTATGAAGTGTCTGGACCAGCCGGAGAGCCCATCGCGCGTCTCACACCTCTCGGATGGACCTGCGTCGGAGCAGGGGTTAGCCGTGGCGGGGGCACAAACCACTGCTGCAGCGCTATCATCGCCAGCAGCGAGACCCTTCTGAGTGTGGATAAGACTTTGCGACAGTTCTGGGAAATTGAGCAAGTGACCAGCCCAGAACACCCCATGTCACCGGAAAACCTGGACGTCCTGACAGCGACAAAGAAACGAATGACGTTCACCAATGGTCGCTACTGTGTCGGGATGCCATGGCGGGCAGATGCATCACGGCCCACCAACAATTACGACATGGCAGCGAAGAGACTTGCGCAAACACAGAAGAGGCTGAAACGGGTCCCAGAAATTGCAGAGCGCTATGCAGAGACCATTGAGAGTTACGTGAGAAAAGGGTACGTGGTGAAGGTGAATGCAAACCCACATGAAGCAGGATCGTGGCTCCTTCCACACTTCCCGGTTGTCCGACTGAACAAAAGTACGACGAAAGTTCGCATTGTGTTCGACGGGTCAGCTAAGCATGATGGCACCGCCCTCAACGACCTGCTGCACACCGGTCCGAAGTTACAACGTGATCTATCGGCTGTTCTGCTCAGATTTCGGCGGCATCCGATCTGCATTGGCTGTGATGTTACGGAGATGTATCTACAGGTTGAAGTCAGAAAATCAGATCGGCCATATCTGAGATTCCTGTGGAATACAGACTCGCAGTCAGCTCCAGATGTGTACGAATTCAACCGGGTGGTATTCGGTCTGAACTGCTCCCCGTTCTTAGCGCAACTGGTCGCGCGAGAGCACGCTAAGACACTAGATCCAGAATTCGCCCGTGCAGCCGAGATGATGCTCGAATCAACTTACATGGACGACGGTATGGACTCAGTCTCTACAATTGCCGAGGGTGTGGCCCTGTACAAGAGTGTGACAGCAGCATGGAAGGGAGCAGGCATGGCAGTGAGGAAGTGGCTGTCGAATGCTCCGGAGCTGTTGGGTCACATACCCAGAGAAGATCAGGCAACGCAACTCAGCCTGAACGGAGACGGCCCATCCCAGATTAAGACTCTAGGGATCAGTTGGTTGAGCGACAGCGACATGTTCAGCTTTCAGGCTGTCATACCACCTGACGATATGATGATGACGAAGAGGAACATCCTCCGAAAGATCGCGACGATCTTCGACCCGCTAGGATTTCTGGCACCGGTGATCATCCGTGCCAAGATACTGATGCAAGAGATCTGGGCTAGCGGTGCAACTTGGGACGAAGTGCTTCCCGTCGAACTGAGCTCACGTTGTAGACAGTGGTTCCAGGATCTCCTTGCACTGAGCTCAATTCAAGTGCCACGCTGCTTGCAGGCCATTGCAGGCGCTACACCGCAAGATGTCGAGCTTCACGTATTTGGCGACGCATCAGAGTTAGCGTATGGTGCCGTCATCTACCAACGTATCCGCTACGCCTCCGGCGAGATCAGCACCGTATTTGTGTCTGCTAAGTCACGAGTTTCGCCAACTACCGCCACAAGCATCCCACGGCTCGAATTGATGGCTGCTGTGCTGGGAGTCGAAATGGCCAACGAAGTAGCCAAGGTGTTGCAGATCAACCCGCAGAACATCATCTACTGGACTGACAGTATGGACGTGATCTGGTGGATCCGTGGCCGGAGTCGCTTGTTCAAGACGTTCGTTGCCAACAGAGTGAGCACGATTCACCAGGCAAGCAGCCCAGATCAATGGCGGTATGTCCCTACGGCAGAGAACCCGGCTGATATTGTGTCGAGAGGATGCGCCCCAACATCGCTCACGCCGGACAGTATGTGGTGGACCGGTCCTAGCTTCATGGCCAAGCCGTCTGATGACTGGCCAGTACGACAGTTACCTACAGCCCAAGCAAAGGAAACAAAGTCCATGAAGGAGACCGTTCTGATGAGCAGCACTGAGACGGGTACTGATGATGAGGGCACAGGCGCAACGGAGCCCAGTGTTTGGCGACTGGAACCGCAGCGATACTCTGATTTGGAGCGCTTGATTCGTGTGCAGGCGTGGGTGATGAGATTTCTTCACAACGCTCGAGCGCCACATGAACGCCGCGAACTGGGTGAATTGACAGTGGACGAATTGAGTGAGTCTGAGTTGATACTGGTGAAATCAGCGCAAGAGTCTGAGTTCCGAGATGAGATCAAGGCCATCAAGAAGGGACAACCTGTGAGTTCCCAGAGCAAGATTGCAGCACTCCATCCACAGTTAGATGACAGTGGTTTGCTGCGTGCAAGGAGTCGACTTCAGTACGCGGACTTCTTGCCCTCTGACACGATCTCACCGATCATCCTTCCCAGGACGCATCCAACGACTAAGCTTGTGATCACGCGGATCCATGGCAACGGTCATCACGCACTCGGCAACAATCAAGTTCTGAACGAGTTAGTAAAGCGGTTCTGGGTTGTCGGTGCACGCGAAGCAGTCAAGGAAGTGGATCGTCAATGTCCTGAATGCCAACGCCGAAAGGCCAAGCCTGCTAAGCAGCTCATGGCGCCACTGCCAACACTCCGGATTGAACCCGGCACCCGTGCGTTTGAAAGGGTTGGAATCGACTTTGCAGGACCAATGTACACCAAGCAGGGACGCCGAGCGCAGGCAAAGAGATGGCTGTGCATCTTCACCTGTCTTGCCACACGCGCTATCCACATCGAAGTAGCGTATGGTCTTGATACTGGAAGCTTTCTGAACTGCTTCTTCCGAATGGTCGGACGACGTGGCGCCCCACACGAGGTGCTCACTGACAATGGCACGAACTTTGTTGGTGCAGTAACCGAGCTACGCGAGTTGAGAAGAGAACTGGACGAGAAGAAGATCATCAAGGCAACCAACGGTCAACGGATTCAGTGGCACTTCAACCCACCCGCAGCACCGCACTTCGGAGGACCATTTGAGGTCATGGTGAAGGCTGCCAAACGAGCACTGTACGCCATTCTGAAGTCAGGTGACATCACAGATGAGGAGTTAGTGACGGCAACGATTGGAGCAGAACACCTGATCAACAGTCGGCCCTTGACAACGGTATCTTCAGATGCCAGAGACTGTACTCCTATCTCTCCAAGTGACTTGCTGCTAGGCGACGCGAGCCACAGTATTGATGTACCCGGTGATGACCCAGCAGCTAGCCTGAGGAGACGCTGGAGACGAGTCCAGGAGCTGGTCAGACATTTCTGGGCAAGATGGATGCAAGAATGGCTGCCCATGCTGAGTGGTCGTGCCAAATGGAAGAAACCCTACAACAACGTGCAAGTCGGTGATGTCGTTATCCTACTCGCCAAAGACACACCACGTGGTCAGTGGCAGCTGGGACGAGTTGTCGATGTTCACCCAGGACGTGACGGGCTGGTACGAGTCGTGGACGTAAAGGTGAAGAACACCACGCTACGTCGCCCAATAAGCAAGATCTGCCCGCTGGAAGCATGTCAGTGAGTTACTGAGTGGCAACAGCATTGGACCATCGCCATTGACGTATGGTCATGTCTTTTCACTCTCTTGCTTCTCTCTTGCTTCTCTCTTTTTTTTTGTTTCTGTTTGCTTGAGCACTAGCAACTCAGGCAATCTTTTCTGTTTTTCTTTCATTTTTCCGCTTCGAGTGTTGGTGATGTATCTCTCCGTAGACACATCAGGAAGGGGAGAATGGCGTGGCGAGAATGCCACGGAGTTAGTCTACACGTTCATGTCATGTTCAGTTGCGATTTGCTTTCTCTTCCTGATTGCCATTGCGGTCATGCTGTCGGTTCTCTGTGATTTGACCTTTATCTCCTGGCATCTTACTGTCTTCATGTGCTCCCCTTGGGGGCACCTTGATGCCTGATGTAATATCGCAGTTGTACAGCGGGCTACCTTTTAGGTTCCGCTGCGGTCGGTTTCGCTGAGCCAGCCTTGGCACCGTGTAGCCTTTTTTGGTTGTTGTGTTCTTGTGCGTGCGGCATGAGGTTTTAGCTGTACCTTTGTTTGGCTGCGCTGCCTTTTTGTTTCCTGAGAGTTTTTCTTTGCATGTATTGTAGTTTGTTGGAATAATCGAGTGCTCTTCGAGCCAACACCACAGCGATTCAGGAGTGTCGATCCTCGCCGAGGTGTATGATCTGTAGCCGTCAACACAATGATCAAATTATTTCTGCACATTCAACAATGCCAAGAACTCACCTGGTCCCCAAGTAGCTCATTATCTTCTTTTTCAGCATGAAAGTTGGATACTAAGGCGGAGTGTGATGGTCGGCCAAGCTGGTGCCGTTTGCAGTTATTGTACTTATCCGTGAGAAGCTTCATGGGCAAGGCCCTTGCAGACTTCAACTCGGACTGTATATACAGCACCAGGCTGTCAAATGTTTCGTAGGCCGACGGCTGGTCACTCCCTTTGCCACTTCGTTGCCGGTGCATAGTGGCCAGGTGGGTGAAGGCACTGTAGCATGCTCCGACGTTGATAGTGGATTTCCGCTGCAACGCAATCTGGGCCATTCTGGAGCGAAAGTCAAAATTCTTGCGTTGTTCTCCAACTCTGCTAGATGCACATGTCATGAGGCACAAGTCTGCAGATGTGGATTCAATCATTGTACATCTCTCCTTGTTCTACGCTTTGCTGGTACATGGTGTCCCATCATCACATACATGTATCTCCTCCAATTCAGAATGGCTTGAAAAGTCATGGCCACGTCCAAGTGGCAGCCGACCCAGCAACGTTTTGTTAGTGTATGTACTGTAGCACTTGCGGTGGTACCATCCGCGGACGCTCTCCTCGGTGCAGTGGCTCTCGCACAAGAAGGTATAGCTCGTCCTGCCTGCATTTAGCAGCTTCAAACAAAGTTTCCCAACTCTGCAAAGTAAATCGGGTTTGCTTTTCCTGCGATGCATTGAACGCAATGGCACAAGCAAAATTCCCGCGATACAACGCCATTCCCAGGACGAGGCCTAAGAAGCTCCACGGCCTCTTCCTCCATCATGTCAAAAGGTGTCTACCATGCTGTGAGCGGTGGGCAGGAGGCACTCAAACAGCGCGAAACGCAACTACTATGCAACTACCAAACGAAAAATGCAATTCTACATTTCAAAGAGTATCCTGTCGGTGTCGTCGTCATCTTCAAAATTTTGAAAAAGGCGCTCCTTTCCGTGAACTGTGCACCCCCAGATGGTGCGCAGTATCGCCGACGAGAGCGGAGAAATTGGCTTCTCCTGAGCTTCTGCCCTAACTCTGAAGATGACAACAAGCGGAATCCAGGTCAGGTATACATACTTTAGGCCGTAGTGAAGAACCCAGGTTGTCTGCTTGAGACTGAAACGGAATTTTTTTTTGAAGTTTGGGCCGCTGGACTATGAGTATTACGTCATTCTACATACGCATTCGCAAGAAATAAAATCATTCTCTTTGGTCACAACTTCTTCGTTGTCCGGTTGGCCAAAGTAGCCGTCGTCTAGGGCCCGACGTAAAACCCTAAATTGGTGACCCCTGACGCTGCGCTCTTCGGAGTTTTGAACATGCCATCCCTGAGCTCGGCCCGCCGCAGTTTCCTGCTCGCCTCAACTCTCGGGATCCCGTCAATCGCCGGCTGTTGACGTAAAACTTGAGCCTCACCACCACTCGTCACTGGATCCGCCTCGGAGCTGCTGTGGCCCCTGCCACCCTCCCCGGCCCACCTGGATACCCCGCTATCCTGCCACGGCATTGTCCAGTCGTCCGTATTCGTCCTGGCCTCAAGCTGGAAATTGGCCACCTCCACCATCCGTACCAGCCCAACTGTGCACGCACGCAGGCACACGCCCGGCACCGGACCCCATGGAGCTGCGCTCGCCTCCATCTGTCCCCGCCTCAGTCGGCACGCCTCGCCCCAGTGCAGCGCTCCTGCTGGTATCCCGCCAAGCCTGCAACATGCAGCCGCCTCTGACACCATAACACTCCTCTGTCACGCGTACATTTCCTCTTTTCTTTCTTTCTGCCTCTGACATGCTCTCCACCTCTGTCACGTTAACACACCTCTGACACGTTAACCCGCCTCTGTCATGCATTTCTCTCTTTCCTGCTTTTCTGATTTTTGTTTCGGCATTTGTTGCCACGTCTCAAACAAATTTCACGCACGCAGCGCTCTCGCCTGTACATATGTATCATATTATTATATTTTTGCCTTTCCGCCTTGTACATGCTGCGCTTTCCTTTCTCTTCTCTTTCTTGTTTCTTGTTTATCGTGCTTCGCTCCTCCCGACCTCACCACTGGCGGGGGAGTACTGTAGCGACCTCACTCCCTGAGTATTACGTCATTCTACATACGCATTCGCAAGAAATAAAATCATTCTCTTTGGTCACAACTTCTTCGTTGTCCGGTTGGCCAAAGTAGCCGTCGTCTAGGGCCCGACGTAAAACCCTAAACACGACTCGATTTAAGTTCGAAGCAAGAAATCCTTGACTACAGGTGCCAGGTTTACAACCCTTGCACGCGACTGCCATGTACATGCTGCCACGGCCACCTCAGAGCAGCACTGATACTGAATAAACATTCGGCAAAGCCGCTGGCAGACAGGCCTACACCGGCTCAGCACGACAACGGCTCATCTGGGCATGGCCGTTGAACAAAGGATAAAGAAATCTAACAGCAAAAACAATAATTGACGACTACAGAGTCAATGCCAAGCGTAAACATTTACTTGTTGCACAGAACAGTAACTGTATCTAACAGCAAACCGGTGGAGCTGGAAAGTGCAAAATTCAAACCAAAAACATATCCAAATACGTGTATCTCATGTACTGATCCGCATCAACAACATTTTTGAACGATACGCGGTTTTGCATGAAACTCGTGAAAGCCAACAAAGACCGGCAGAATGCAGAGAGAAAACTTATGTTTTTCAGTTTTATAATATTTGATCACAAGCAGTATGCAGCTGAGAATCAGTATAGTGTGATTGTCTGGCTATTGATTGCCAGAAAAGTAGAATATAATGTGGTTCCCGTGGTTACCAGCACAGCAGTGTATATTATAGTGGTTTCCGTTGTTACAACAGTACTGGCACAGCTAAAGGTGTTCCCATGGTTACCATGACAATAATATCTAAAGTTGTTGCATGGTTACCATGACAATAGTATCTAAAGTTGTCCCATGGCTACCAGCACAGCAGCATCCACAGCTGTTGCCGTGGTTACTTGATGTCACAGAGCAGTGCAACGCCGCGTAGTGTCCAGTGATCGGCGGACTGGCCGGGTGTGTTCAGTTTGAGCGTGGTGATGTAGGTCAGGTCTGTGCGCTGAGGTTTCTTATACACCGGACAGCTGTACGGTTGGAACGGTCCAGTTCTTTTGGCCTTTAGGGACATGTCAGTACCGGCCATACCTGCCTGCGCTAACAAGCCAGCATCATGAGTGGAGGGTACCTGCACCACTGCTGGCACATCGGGCGGCGGGTCGGCGTTGGCAGGGGTCTTGTCACGCGTGCGCGGTGAAAACTTTGATTTTTTGCTGCTGGTGGATTTAGCCTTTGCTGAAGGGTCCTGTTGCTTCTTAGCATCCTGACCAGTCGCCTCCTTAGCAGCACCTGGAGCAGGCTGCCCCTGTCTTTGAGGCCAGGAGGGCTTCTTAGGCGGTGGCGCCGCCGCCTGTGCAGGTATCACCTGTCGCACACGCCGTCGTTCCAAGGCCGCATACTTCACCTTGCCCGTGACGGCTGGTGGCTTGCCGGGCGGTGGCGGGGGTTTAATCCAGTGCACGCTCCTCAGGTCCGTGTCAAGCCTATCTTGCTTTCGCGGCGGCTCGTCGGCAGGTCTTGCCCGGTTCATTGCTCCCGTCTCTATAAGTCTCCTGCGGGTTGCGGCGTCCGGCTTTGGGTATTTCCCTCCCTTTTTCGGATCAAACTTTGCCTCAGGCTTTTGTGATTCATCCTTTTTGCGCTCAGGCTTCTTTCTTGAGATGGTGGAGGCTGCCGCTGGTGGAGGCTTAGCAGAATGGGTGGGCGTAGAGGCCGCTGTGTTGGGAGCGCTGCTGGTCCCGGTCTTAGCCTTGTCGACCTTCTCCTTCTTCTTGTCCTTGGTGCTAGCTGTTGCCGGTGGTGGTGACGTATTGATGGCAAAGATGTGTACCACCGGCAAGGGACTGAACAAGACCTACAGTGGAAATACGCACACCGACACAGAAAGAGAGAGAGAGAGACAGAGAGAAAGAGAGAGAGAGAGAGAGAGGGGGGGGGGGACACACACACAGACACGCGCCGACACACCGTGACATTTGATCATGTACACCCTAAATTCTTACCAAATTCAGCTCGCTAGGCCCGCCTGGAGTACATGTATATGAAATGCATTCGCCCAGTGACTATGTTCAGCCCGCTGGGCTAAGCTATTTCGGCAGAGTTCATCTGGTAGCCCAGCTGAGTGGCAACACACCCATCTCGATTACCGTATTCACTCGATCCGAGTCCTCTCTTGAATAGTACCCTGACTCAAACGGCACCCTGCCCCTGAGAGCCAATGAAAAAATATAGCTGCCCCCCCCCCCCCCTCTAATCAAGGGCATCTGCAAGTTTGGTGTTGTTTTGCTAAAAGACACCCTTAGCAAAAAACGTTATGTTGTAACGGTATTATCGTAAGGGGGAAAATACCGTGATTTGGGTTCGACCTTTAGCAAGATGCACGCTATTTTTAGTACGCTGTTGCCACGAGAATAGCTTTGATTTCGCGCGGTACAACCATTTTTGTCACCATATACGCGATACAAGGTGAAATGCGTACGGACTATGCAATATTTGGCCAAAACACGTACCGTTGGTCACAACGATAAATCAGGCCCCATAACGTTTTTACGCTGCAGCTTCAACGCTATTTGGGTGATCAAGGTACGAGTACCGTAAAAAATAGCGTTACCGTTGTTTGCTAAGGGTGTCTAATGTTCTTGTCCATGCCATTGCACTGGTAGTTTCAGGATAAAAAAGGCAATCCTTGTTGCCGTTTCTGTTGAGTCGTGATAGTTTACACTTTACAGTAAACCGTTTAGACTTTAGCTCAAGTTTCAACGGTTTCGTTTATGCTGGATCACGGCCCGGGCCGATGTGCCGGCATTGATGAAATAGTGCCCTCTCTTGAATAGTGCCCCGACTGTGATGGACTTTGAAAAAAAGTGCCCCAATTGCACTAATCACGCGAGCACAGTAACAGGCAGAACAAAGCCAGCATCATATCTACTGGCAACCCGGTTGGTCTAATGTTCAGTAGCCATCCCAGGCTGAAGTGAGCACGAAATCATTGACGCGGCTTTTCCGCGTTCCCCGCCTGCAAGCCTACTAACCTTTTGTGGTGATTCCACCAGGCAGGACTCCTCTTTGTCCCAGGCGGCCCCGTCCAAGAAGAGCCCGTGCACGTAGACGCCTTCCTCCGGTGGTGAGCGAACGTCGGTCTTGTTCATGCTCGTCACGGTGTTGTCCAGTATCACGCTGTCCAGTGCCCAGCCTGTGTGTGCCCTGGTCACCTCCTGCAGCATAGCGATCAGGATGACGATGCCAGGCAAGCGCACATAGCATCATGGTATACACACACATACTAACACTGATGATGTCATAATGATGTAATCATTGCATAATGATATAATGGCACTGCAATTGCAACCCATGGTACTACTGATGGTGTTGCTGGAGATGACGTCGTTGAAATTGCAATCAGCATTCGACAAGTCATGAAACCGGCGCTGCCTCCGATGTACACGACTTGTAGGAGGTACATGTCTGCACAACGTGCTCATGGACAGTGAAACCTGTCTAAGACAACCACTCGAGGTCAAGGGACTTTCAAAACTACGGCGTAGTCTCTGTTACCAGGTGGTCTCCTTATCCAGGGTCATTCGACTGGACTGAATACTGAATAGCATCCCTTGGTCCTGGTTGCACTTGTTGTAGATGTGGGGCTCTTGAAGTGTGGTACTAAATAGCTTTCTCTCTCGGTATCGAGAACCACTATTTTCCCAGTCCTTTTGTTTGTGTGGCAGGACGAAAGCGGAGAGGTAGTTCGTCCTTCGGGCCAAGCGACACAGTGGTCTTCTAGGACAGGTAGTCGCTTCATTCGAGTGGTCGCTTTGACAGGTTTCACTGCAATCATGCGCGGCATGTTCTCAGCTGCAGACAGTCTATACCAGGGCACTCATGAATGACATCAGGCCCCAGACAAAGAGGCATTGTTATCAGGAGAGTAACTGATGCTAGTTCGTTCACGTACCTGTCGCATAGCGGTGAGGAATCCCTGTGGATTGAAGAAACCGGTCATCCAGAATACCTTGGGACGGCCTTTGAAGCACCATGCACGGAACTGAGCATCACGCTCCAGCAGCTCGGTAAACCAGAATCCCAGTGTGGATGATTGCCACGAGATCTACACACACACAAACACACACACACACACACACACAAACACACACACACACAAACACACACCGGAGGAAAACAAACAGGGCTGGTCGAGGCAGCTCGAAGCAGAGTGCTCGATGCAAAAACGTGCAGAGCAGTGTACACAAACAAGGAAGGCTAAGGTATGCTTAGCTGTAACTTCAAGTTTCACGCATCCTAGCGATCATCAGACAATGGCATTCATTACTGGAGGTTTTGTGAGCGGACTGAGATCAGTGTTTGGGGAAACATGTGAACATACACGTGTAGGTGCTTGTTCACAAATCATGACAGGAGACTAAAGTACCCGACCACAGCGGTGGATCCAGCGACCTCTACAGTATAGCCAAAACTGAATAGCTGATACACGTACATGGACACGCATATGGTTGCCAGTAGTACATTTACTATTTAGGGAACCCCTGGAACCCCTCCTGGATCCGCCCCTTCAACAGGTGAACCGTGGTGAAGGATGCAATGCCGCAGAGGCCAGCTCTGCGGCACCGCAGCAGAATTGTCTGATTGGCTACATGATCGTCTGCTTTGTGTGGAGTGTTACAGGACCAGCAGGAGCAGTTTTTGATTGGCCCAGCCATACCATAGCCTTTCACTCTTTGTCCATGATATGGAGGGGTACACATCGCCTCCTCAGTAGAAAACACGCATTGATGGCCAAAGAGTTGGTCCGACCATGGCTTGACCAGCTGGAGAGGTTCTGCCAGGCCTAGCTGCGGTATTTGTGGAGGCGTAAACGTCAAGTACAGAATCATGCGGAATAGCAAAACTTCAAAACCAAAACTCTCCTCTTCACTCCTTCAATCTCCTTTTTATCTCTTAAATAGAGCTAAGTTAATGATGCCCCCCCCCCATCTCACTCCATGCTTAAGCCACGCACCTCAGTTCCTGACTGGAGTGTTGCCTGAGCTATGCATACCGGTAGTAGTAATAATGTCATGACCATTGGCAAGCCGCAGCATTACTAATAGCAGCACAAGCAGCAGCAGCACCACCAGGAGGACCAGCAACAGCAGGACCAGCAACAGCAGCAGCAGCAGCAGTGAAAGTGTTAAGGGGGCTCAACCCCGAAGAGGGAGCAAAAAATATTATGGTAAATCGATCTGAACTGTGTGTTTTCAGATGGCCAGACACCTAGAGAACTGGTCTGGGCTATTTCAAGGATAGGTTTATTATGTGGTTCCCCAGCTATGGGGGTGTTATTGTACCTATGTTTTTCGGCAAAAATTCAATGATTTCTCACTAAAGGCGTAAAATTCCAGTTGGTAATGCTTCAAAAATCCTGAAAGTGGGTATGGAGGGGCCTACAATACTGTCTCCTTTGGAAAATGTCCACAACATATGACCAGACCACTGTGAGAGGCCAAGGTAGCCCAGAATGTGATTTGGCAAAACGCGTATTTCAGCAGACCGATCTTTAGACTTGTTTGAATAGTGGAGAATCGAGACAATAACATGGTCCATTTTATGGTCATTATCTGCTCTTCAAGGCCATAGGAAGGCTCTACAAAAATAGATTTTTATGTCCACCATCTCGTTTCTCCGTGAGAAACAAAATTTGTGACGGATTTTGCATATTCAACTTGAAAGTCAGATTCAGCATTGTTGACAAAATGAGTGTATCGACTTCATTCAAGCTTCACTTTGACTATGTAGGGCGAGAAGCATTTGCTATAGACCAATCCCAGACAATACCCCATGCAACAGTCACAACTGAATTGTGTTATTCACATCTTTGTTGTATATTGTGAGTATGTACATACATTTTCTAGGGTACCCTGTAAGAAGGCCTTAGCCTAGGCCTGTGGGGATTGCCCTATCAAAAATTTGATAATAATAATAATACTATAATGTACATACATACATACATACATGCATGGGTATATCAATGTACAAAACAACGGATTATAAGTATAACGCTTTCAATGAGCAACTTGAGTTGCTTGGTTACTGCTGGATGCGATGGCTAGCAGCCACTGTTGGTATTGTGAGTTCGCGCCTCCAGTGTGCAGCACAACGTGAATGTTTGAGCAGATAACTGCAGCATCATCACGAGTGGTAGAAAGTGGGGACGATGCTGCACCTCCTGCAGCTGCTGGAGTACTTGTGCGGTCTGGAGCAGTGTGTAAAATAGGGGTGTTGGTGTTGGGTCTTCCAGATGCTAGATGATGTGTTATGCGTTTTGCAATAGCAGAACTCGTTGTGACTAGCACACGCCCATCGCCACCCGGTTCGTGCAATAATCCAAGGATGCCAGTTCCCTGATTCCTCTCAAATGCCAACACCAGATGATTGTACCTGTAGGCATGATATATAACGTTGTTGTTGTTGTTGTTGTTGTTGTTGAAGTAGACTTCTACAAACACCCATGGTGCAGCGAAACTCCCACTCCAGCTTGTTTGCTGAGACTGTGACAGAAGCCTGACTAGTGCTGCAATGTGTACTGCTGTGATTCATGATTTCAGTTGACATTCCTTGCCTTGCCTTGCCTGGGTAATATTGCAGTTCTTCACAACATGCATAACACAATTTTATGCTGCATTTACAGTCTAGGTCAAGGCCGAGCTCATGAAAATGTGGCAACTTGACCATGCATAATATTACGTGTCTGTGACTGTCTCTGCTCAAGTTGTTCTACAAGGCATATTGCCAATATTTCAATATTCATTTTTATAATATTATACAGATTCCTGTCATAGTTCAATGATACAAGCACAGCCATACTACCTTGAACCCACAGCCTTCTCCTGAGAAACACAGGCACATGTCAGAACTCACCCAGTGCAGCCTTAGAGTTCATAGGATCCATGCTTTCCACTCCATCCAGCATGAGACTCAGATGTCTGACCAAATTCTCCTGCCCACACATAGAACACTTCACTGGCATGTCCCTATGCTGTTTATATATACTGGCTGTTCCAGACCACACTCATTACTCACAGAGATCAAGTCCCTACTTGCAGACACTACACTCTGACTCCACTATCTCCAGGTACTGCAGGTACAAGACCAGTTTTTCTCTCACAGTCGTCAGTAACATTTTTATCTGGCGACTGGAAAAGAAAAAATAGATATCGTTCCAAGTGCCACTCAAGTGGATGCACTTGAACTTGAGAGAAGCATGTCACTTACCTGCGTTCTGAGACTGGTACATGTATCACTGGTAGCTGGGCTCTGGACAATCTTGCAGGTTTACTTGTCTTCACTGGCAGGCGAGACTGAGAAAAGGGCATATCTGAGCTGGAAGTTAGAACTACACGACCTGAAGAAGCTTGACCTGAAGAAGATTGAACACGCTTTGTTCCTGAGCGCCCACGAAAACGGCCGTGCCTATTGATAACTACAAGTACTTGACGCGAAACTCCATCGATCGCCGACATCCAGCAAACCAAAATGGAAAACACAAAACGTTCAAACTGTTCAAGGACTGCAGTTTCTTTGAATTCTCGCAAAATAAACTTTTGAACACGACTATTTCTCGCAAAAAAACTTTCTCCAGCCGCGGACAAAATGTTTTCAAACGCGAAATTTTGCATAAAATCATGCCCAGATTTCGATGCGCGCGCAGAAGTACTGAGCCCCCTTAAAGGGGAAGTCCGGTGAAAATTTTAAATTTCACAGTCCGTAGAGTTCGGGGCGCTGAGTCGAATGGTCTTTGTCTGAGGAGGCTGCGGCCTATGGTTCGTCAGATACGCCCAATCGAACATGTGCGAATTTGAGCGCGCCTCACCCAAATCCAGGTGATGACGTCACAGCGTGCAGCCAGGTAGCCACACCATCTAGTTGTGTACAAAATGGCCAAATTCGGAGCGCGTTCGATTGGGGAACCGTTTGTCGCAGTTTCTTCGGACCAAGACCATTCGATTCAGTGTTACAAACACTACGTACCCTGTGATTTTCAGCTCGGTAAACCTCGAGGTTATACCGTATTTTAGCCGTTTCCGAGTTGGACTTTTTCCGTCAGCCTGCAATGGCCTCTGTAGACTATGGCTCTAGCAATGCGCTGCGTGCAGGCTAGCTGTAGTGCAGTCAACAAACTCATCACACACGGAACTACTCCCGCACTGCCGTGCTGGGGTAGCTACAACAAGACTCGAGTCACAAGACTCAGAAAACTAGTCAACACACAGACTTGTCATGTACTACACTCGTATCAGTTCATGTAGTCAGAGAACGTGCGTTTCTCCTTGCCGGTGCCGGTGGTTGTGCTTTGAGAAAGAAAATTTTAGTTTTCCGCTCCAGTCCCACCTCATTATTTTATGCTACAGCGATGAGTGCACAACCGTGACAAGTGACAAAACAGCGAACAGCTCCCGGACCTAGAACTTTCAGATTCCATAGCGTTGCGAGCGAAGAGCCGTGCCCGAGGTTCAAAGAGCCTGCACTGTTCTCCAATTGAGTAGTCGGAAATATGCCAAGTTCGCACCAAAACATCACCATGTGCCAGGCTACTGGAGTCTAAGCGAATCGGTATGGAACAACATTTAGAGTACTCGCATCACTCTTCTCCATTTTGGCAACCCTGCTCTCCAGCGATCTGATAATTATATCAGCCTCGTCTGCAATAGCTGCTGCTTCTTCATCAGTCGGAAACTCAGTAGCGCTCACTCTTGACCGGCCCGCGCGGCCATTTCTTCAGCTGAATACCGAGGTTCTCAGCCCCAGACCAAACTCATGAAGGTCAGCCATGGCTGCATCCTCACTCTCACAAGGAGTTAGGTCTTCGGGGTCGCTTGCACCACCTAATATCAGTCGCCAAATCATTTGAAATAGCACTGACACTATTGCTTTCACGCACTCCTTTTGACCTAGCTGCACGCTATGACGTTGCGGAGGGTGTGGCGCGGCCGCATGACGTCATGGCGCAGCCCCCGAAACTCAGTTTTTCAAACGGAAATATCTCGAGAACGCTTTGTCAGAGACACGTGGGACCAACACCATTCGACTCAGCGCCCAAAACTCTACCGACACTGAAATTTAAATTTTTCACCGGACTTCCCCTTTAACGTTCTCTCCCACTAACCTTCTTCCACAGGGTTGGAATTCGAGCATCGTACATATTGTCCAATGCGTCACGTAGATTCTACACAGACAGGGGCATGGATACAGGGAGCACGAGGAGACATGCACATGCAGTTATTGTAGCGAGCAACAACACTCGGCAGAACAAGAACCATACTTACAAATTGCCCTTACTCGCCAAGTTCCATTTGTGGACCCATATTTGGTAGAATAAAACACGACGTTATCAAATTGAGGCTAATTTCGGGCTCCTAAGCAATGTGTTCCTAATTTCATATCGCAATGGAAAGGAACAAGAAAATTAACATCCAGGGAAGTGAACTGAAGATATGCATTAATTGTGCAACCAGCTGCTACGTACATGCAGGGGGGGTCCCATTCCCTACCTCATTCATGATTATGGTGCCATCAATGGCCAGCTTCAGATCAAGTAGCGTGGAGCGTACTGCGGAGATCACACGCTGCATGCGGTCGATCTCCTGCCGCAGGAAGATGTTCATGGGTTGCAGGTGACCCATGGCGTGCAGTCGCGCCTTGACCTCGTGCGGTACGTAGGCGGCGGGCAGGCGTTTGAGCATGTCTTCGGCCTGCTTGAAGACGACGCTCTCACGTGTAGCCCCACCGCTGCCACCGGAGTCCTTTGGCTGGATGCTGAGAATGATGTTCATGCAGGTTTGTGCCGTGTTGGTTTGGTAACTAATCACAAACACACATCGTATACCAACGTCAGATCACAAACACATGATTGCATAGCAGCATCAGGTCACAAAGACATGAATGCATAACAACATTAGTAAAACCAGCATGCAAAGCCACGCATGGCCAAGAACGACAGCACAAGCAACACAAAATCAGCACGGAGATGCAACAGCTGGCACGTAGCAATAACACAATCGAGAAGTGCAGGAACGGCACAGGGATTGCGAATCGGCGTCTTGAGCGTCCTATCACTTCCCGTTGCTCCGTACATCGGGACAACACTCGGAAGGCCCCTTCAATAGTCGACTTACGAGTACACATGTTTCACTTTATGTGCATCAGAACTATCACTGCTACCGATACTGTCCAAAATTCTTGAGAAGGTCGTGCAGAAATCGTTGGTGGAACATGTCGCACGGATGAACATCTTGCCAGCGACCCAATTTGCGTTCCGTCATGGGCACTCTACGGAAGATGCTCTTGCCCTACTAACTGAAAGAGTCGACACTGGGCGAGATGACGGTCTAGTTGTGGCAACCTGCCTTCTAGATATGTCGAAAGCCTTCGACAAAGTCAAGCACAGCATTCTTATCCAGGACCTTTTTGACATTGGCGTTACTGGAGGAGCACTGACTTGGTTCAAACATTACCTGTCAAGTCGCCAACAGCAAGTGCGCACTGGTACCGGACTCGGCAGGGTTGTTACATGCACCTGCGGTGTTCCGCAGGGTTCGGTCCTGGGGCCGCTGCTCTTCAGCATATACACTAGAGACGTACCGACTGTTACCTGCCCGACTATGTCAATCCAGTTTGCAGACGATATAGCCTTGACTTCCACCCGCCGCAGCGCTGACCTCGTTTCTTCTGAGCTCACAACAGCTGTCTCTAACCTAGCTCGCTGGCTAGCCTCCCGTGGTCTCATCCTCAACGCCAACAAGAGTCAGCTCCTTGTCTTTGCAGGATCCAATGGCCAGAGTCCCAACGTTGTGGTAAAGTGCGAAGGCATACCCGTGCCAAGCGTCACCAGTGCCCGCTACCTTGGCATCATCTTGGATGTACGCATGTCATGGCAGCCCCAGGTCGATGCGAGCATCACGAAAGCCAATAAGAAAATTGGAACTCTGTGGCGGGCACGAAAGTCGCTAACACTTGCTAGCCGTGTGCTGTTCTTCAAGGCAGCTATCATGCCGGATCTACTGTATGGGTCCGTTGCGTTTAGCCCAGGTCTCACACAGGCCCAGACCGACCGGCTCCAAGTAGCACAAAACCGTGGGGCAAGAGCAGTTTATGGCCGGCCGGGGTTCTCTCGTGCCAGTGATCTCCTGGAACGCATGCAGGTGTTCAGGATTGGAGAAGTACATCGGCAGAAGGTCCTGGTCTTTGTCTGGAGGTGCATACACGCCAGTGCGAGTCCATCTCTCCAGGAGCTCTTCGTACGCTGCGCGGATCGTAGGACGCGCCTGGATCTCGCCCTGGGGCTCCGTCTACCAGCTACGCGAACCCGCGCCGGACGATCTCGCCCTGCCTCCCGAGGTAGTGCCCTTTGGAACGTCCTACCGGATGCAGTCAGAGTACTGTCGTCTCTCAGCAGCTTCAAAGCTGCCGTCGTACCGTATACCCTCCGATCTTCCGGATGTTATGATTAGAAACTTGCCCTGAGACAGCTTCCTGTCTGTGATTGATTTTCACTGTTTACCATTATTATTTGCCATGGCGACCCCCGTAAGTCCGTAACTGGCAGGGCAGGGTTGGGCCTTTCATCCTCCCGATGTTAGTAGCAAGTACTCTCGTTAGCAGTAACTGTTAGTACTTTGTTTGTTTTTTATTTTATTTTATTTTTTTATTTTATTTTATTTTCTCTATTTATTCTCTTTACCAGGCGTGGGCCATCCCCTGGACAAACAAAATGGGTGCCTTATTATTATTTTTCTGTTTCTGTTTTAATGACAGTCCACTGCACGCCTGAAAAAAAAGTACTTAGTTTATTAGGCGGGTTACAGAACTATCGACTTATCGTTCGCTGGCTTACTTGTAGTTTGATAACGCTTCGCTCTTCATTGAGATATCTACCATTCTCTCTTTTTCTCCTTATTTTCTCCCCAACCCTCCTTCCCTGTAACATAATAACATATTCGCTGCCTTGTCATTGAGCATTTGTGCTCGTTTGGATTTGCGAATTCAAATAAAGTATACAAACAAACAAAGAACAGCCCTCCCTGGACTCCGAACGCCTTCCTCTCCTTCCTCCTCCCCCCTAGCCTGAGGCTCCCTCCCCCCTAGCCTGAGGCTCCCTCCCCCTCAGCGGTCGGCTTACAGGGGGTATATGTATATCAGAACAGTATCTATATCAGAACAGTATGTATATCAGAACATTATGTATATCAGAACAGTATGTATATCAGAACAGTATGTATATCAGAACAGTATGTATATCAGAACAGTATGTATATCAGAACAGCACTACACCACCCCCCCCCCCTACCCTTCCCTGAACCCCCTACCCTTCCCTGAACCACCTGCTCTACCCTACACACCTACAGTTTTCTACACACACAGTAATGGATGCAGGCAGGCACGCCAAATACAAAGTACAGCGCTTACGCAATATCAGCATTGACGTGCAGTCCAAACACCTCGGGCGTGTCATTGGCCGGCAGCTGGTCGATGTGGTCCATGAAGTCCTGCCATATGCGAAACTTGTCACCAGTGATATCCACCGGTATGGTGTAACCGGGCATACCGATGTAGTTACCATACGCAAACATGCAGGCATTGAAGTAGGTCTGTGCCAACAGTAACATAACAAGAGTACCAGCACACACAGTCTGTCCAGCCTTGCCACCATTCCAAAGCAAGACACCCACACTGACACTATAATGTATACAAAGGCAATTGTCTCCCATGTTAATGTATACAAATGTGTTGGTCCAAGGCAGGACAGTTGGACAGCCTGCACACATCATGCGAGAAAGCTGCAGTGGAAACCAGCACAGTAATCGCTGACAAGATGGTACAGTTGGGTACACACACTGAGCAGCCACGGCCGTCGTGACTGTCAACATCTCACCAGGCACGATTGCCTGGGCTCACGGATATAGATGGTAGTCGGATTTAATGGGTTCAAAGGTCAGGAGTTCATGGGTTCATAGATTCATGGGTCCATAGGTTCATGGGTTCATAGGTTCATGAGTTCGTCAGTAACAGCGAGGTATGCAGGTGCTACTGTCCACGAGGGCAATGTGCTACAACTCAATGCAAGCGTGTAGTCTGTAGATATCTACTCAGCCAGTCAGCCAGGATTGAATGTCACCATGCACCACACTGTACAAATGAATGCTGTGTGTGGATGAGAGCATGTTGTGTGTGCATGAGCGATGCTTACTCTGGCGTAAGTGTTCAGGAGAATCTTGTCGAAATCGTCCGTGACACGACCGCCATACTGCACCTCACCAATCATGTACTGGATAGTTATCCATGAGACACCCTACAGGAACACAGCACACAGGAACACAGCACAACGAGAGTGAGACTCAACAACACCTCAGTCTCAGTAACACACAGCAACAACAGTAGAAACTACACCATGCCCAGTGGGGGTTTTCCCGTTTTCTTTCTACTTCAATGACATTGACCCACTGGGAATAGGAAAGTACACGAGAAAGACAAATTTTCTTACACCAGGGAAAATCTCCTACTTCCGTCATCATATTACCAGCTGCTATCGGAATCGTGAGACTACGGACATCATAAGCTGCCAAAGGAATGATGTCGGGGTTGACACAGGGAACAAAGTACCTCCGCAAAGAGGAGTTTTTGATTCAGAACATCAGACCATGGCGGCCAGTGGCACTATTGTAACGGAATTGCAACCTGCTGAACAGCTGCCCCAAGCGGCCCAGTGTTCATAGGTCTGGGGCAGCGCACAGCCCGGAACGGCACTGTGGTTACCTTTTTCAGATCCATGTCATCGAGGTGGTTCTGAAAGAACTGCATAGTCGACGTGAAGTCGGACTGGTTGAACTCGTACGGGATGTTCCAACCCAGCGGACCGAACTTTCGACGTTCCTGCACGATTGTATGCAGGAATGCCAGTGCGAACAGCATTGGTCTCCACTGGGGCATTCCATTGATCTCCAGGTGCTCCTGTGTGATGCCTGGGTGTAAGTACGCAACAAGGATATGACATGAAGTTGATTGTTCCAAGGATATGACAGTTAATTAATTGAAGGACACTTGGGTGCATACAAGTACTTGAGCACACATCAAGGGTATGATAGTTAGTAGAAGGACAATGTGATGGAAGCTTGCCTATTCAGTCTAACTGTGTCAATGCCAGTACCTAGACAAGGCAAAGGAGAACGTTTTGTAGCAGGGACATTTGTATAGTGCTGGAATGTTGAATCAGTATTCTAGCAACATCACAGGATGGGCTGGAAGAGGCCTAAAAGGGACAGAGATGAACAGTAAGGATAAGAGGGAGGGAAGCGTGGGTCTGTGGGAGGTGGGGGGGGGGGGGGGGGGCAGTGTGGTGGCAATGTGGTGTTGGGAGAGTGGTACTGAGTAAGGAAAAGAATAACGTGAGTAATGAAAGCAGAACGGAAGAGGATAGTGGACAAAGACAGAACAATGCACTGGGTATACTGGGTAAGTGAAACAGGAGCAAAGCTCTGGGGCCAATTCCACTAATCCACTCACCTCTGTATGTTCGCTTCAGGCCTGGCTTGATACCGTGCGGCGGCTCATTGGTATACTTAATGCCAATCTGCAGCAGGGAGATGGGGAACTTCGGGTGGACTTCGGTGGTGATCCATAGTCTGAAATCGGGATTGACTTTCTCCGCTTCAGAGACCATGGTGAAGAGTTCGTCCATGAAGTCCAGACCTAAGTGACAGTTCTGCAATAGAGCCCAGGCGCCATTGCGCATGTCCTGCTCCAGAAGACGCCGAGCGTGCACGTCCTGTCCCTGCCCCATGCTGATGGCGTGGCACTCCAGCCGCTTGCGCTTGGCCAGGCCCTCGATGTTCGACGTCGGGTCAGAGCCCATGGAGAGTAGGCAGATCAGCGGTGTGTGCGGGGTACTCTCGTTCAGCATTTCCTACATATCAACAGCAACAACACCATGTGTACAAGCGAAGGCAGAAGCACAACTACCACTGGGACAACATCTAGAATTGACACAAGTACAACCGTATTATATTAACCTTAAGAAAGGGTTTGCTCCCCACACCGGAGCTCGCGCTATTCCGCCGACTTTCTTACAAATCATCGCCGAAGTCGCAACCACTATTTCGTTATATTAACCTTGGTTGTAGAAAGGTCACTGTTTCAGAAAACGGTGTCCTCGTGACCTTGTGACAAGCTGTCAACCAACAAGTACAACCATAGTATCTGAAACGGTAATCCATTCTTGGGAACATGAGACTGTGCTGTTCTCTCAGCTTTGAAGGCTATGATAACAGATGGTTTACCGCCGATCGGGCAAACACGAGTTTCAAGCAAGTATCAGCAATTTTGTACCAACTTGACATACGTTTTTGCCGGTGTTTGCACCATGATGGTTTGAGACTATTTAAAAAAAAAAAAAAAAAAACATGCAGTGAATGGGAATTTCGGTCTTTGACCACTTTGTGGTGGGTCTGATCTACTCACCTCCCACCGCTTCAGGAGCTGCATCTGCGCCTTGATCCTTAAAGGGTGGTGGCGTTCCGGCGGATGCTGAAAACTCGGCCTCCAGCTGACTCTCATATGCAAACCGTGAATTTTTCTACATGCATTCCATCTACTACAAGTTGATCTAACGTTAGCTGTTCCGCAATTCTCACCTCTATATCGAGAATGTACCCTTCGGAGAAGTCCTCTCCCAGCGACTCGGCTATGTACTTCATGGCCTGTGCGGTGATGCGGTCTGGACACCAGCTACGCACTAGCAACAGCAAACTGAACATACTGTCATGCGGTGTCGAGTAGTCGCTGGGCACTTTAGCCTCCTCCGGCGCTGGCTTGTCAAACCAGGTCTTCCAGAGCTTGGGCTTCTTCAACACCTGCATGCATACACACATATTACGCATACACACAGCATGGGAAATTGCCAGCTGGGGTGAAATGTAGCTTAAGTAGAAGCAGCTCTACTCCTTTTCGAAGAGTTCTCAATACGTTGACAAGCCAAGCGACTGGTAGATGTACGTATTGTCCTTCACTTGAGCACACTTGTTCAGTTCAATACTATGTCCAACTAAGCCTTATGTCCAACACAACGGGGACGTTCAAGCCCACATGGTCATCTTGCACATGTGGCCCGCGTGCACACACACAGTACCACATGAAACACAATTCCACCTTGTTAGGGCTGCCTAAGGACACCCTGGAGAGAGTATTTCGCAACAAACACACGGCTCATAGCCCACGATGAAGAAGATATTATCCAAAGGCTTGTCTCACGGTTTCGGTTATCCCGCGGAAGCGCTCCAGATTCTCCAGCGCAACGAGATTTAACCATGTGCCGTCCAGCATCCAGGTAGGTTTGTTTTTGGGTATGGAATTGATGTCCAGTGCTGCGCCACCCTTGATCAGCACCATCAGCTCTTCATGCTTAATCTACAGAAGGCAGTCACAAACACAGGCACAGACCAGGGACGGATCCAGGAGGGGTTCCGTGGAAACCCCTAAATTTCGTAAATGTACTGCTGGCGACCATATGTGTGTCCATGTATATGTATCAGCTATACAGTTTCGACTATACTGGAACCCCTGTAGAGATTGCTGGATCCGCTGATGCAGAGGTCATTGTTTAGCAATACACCACCCTTGAGCAACCCTAGTGGAAGTCACAACATACCGGTGCACACAAGGGACATTCAGTAAGCAACATAAAAGCATGCTGGGCTTGATCTTCAAAACCAGAGTGGTGATGATGTCCCTCAAACCAAGTGGTGATGTCATAAATAGTCATCACCTCTCGACGATGTCATGGTGATGTCATGGATACATACTAGTACCACACTGCAAAGCAATGCATTGATTTCAACAGGATGCACTGCATGTACTAACCTTTCTGAGATCAATATCAATTTTGAGAGTCAGCAGAAGAGTAAACAGGAACTTGTCCTGTTCGTATAGGCCTCGCATTGTATAGCGAAACACCTCCAGTGTTAGGTAGTTGACTATGTTGTCGATGCGAGCATCGGCAAAGTAGGACTTCTCCGAGCGTTCCATGGACTTGTCGAATAGTCCCAGGAACTGCGGTAGAGATGTTTGGTACATACAGTTGACCATGCTCATGTTTGTGATCAAGAAGTAGAGAATACTGCCGCGTGTGGCCACTGGTCGGAACTCCTCACGCGCAGATGTGATCTTGACTTGTGTGGCCGCAGCAACCTGTACATGGGTATAGAGAGACGGGGACACGGGAGGGATGGAAGAGAGACAGGGAGGAGGGGGATGGAGCCGAGGGGCGGGGTAGGTGAGCAATAGTTATGGGAGGAAGAGATGCAGCAGGGGACAAGCGGACAAGAACAAGAACAGCTGGAATGAGAATAGATAGCAAGGTGGTGTGGTGTGTGCTGATGTTGCGGAACATTCCCATCTAATCATGACGGACTACACTAGAGTACCACATAGCAGTGTTACTGTGTATGTGTATGTTCATCTGCTTGGTCTCTCCCACATTTATGTGCAAGAATGGCAGTGTTTTTTGTTTGTTTTTATGTAGAAAGAAAAAAGGACATATAGAAACGAGTTTTTGTTTTTGTTTTGTTTTTGTTTTGTTTTTACTGAATGCCTCAGAACCATCAGATGCTGCACAGTGGGGGCGGTGGCATATTGGATGGAAGTGGGGGCGGGGCACAAGTAACCGAGGCTCCTCCGACCAAAGGTCTCGGATTCATCGTTACTCATGTGCGCCGATACGAAGGAGAAAAGAACATGTGCGTGAGTGTATACTGTTAAAGACAAGAGGAGAGGGAAGGTCTGACTACTGGCATGGTATTGCTGAGCAAGATGAGCATATTGCGTTGTAGAGTCTACATTCCACGCCGAGACCCCTGGTCGGTCGAGTTGCTCCCTGTACATCGGCACGTCGTCCCTACATCCCCTGTGTCTTGTTTTGTGTTTGTCTCCACATGTCTCTTTGTAGGGCTGTGTTCCCAATAAAAAAATAAAAAAAATAAAAATTCCAGGACAAGATTCTATGCCAAGCTATCACTACCATTCCAGTTTGCCATTAGTTATGCAAACGTGCACACACCGTGTACACACATATGCACACACACACACACATGGGCATGCCCACACGCCTACACACACACACATGCATTAACAATACACAGTCAACGCAGTTGCTTACGACAAGCTTTTCTTGTACGTCCTGTGCCGTCAGCTTTGTTGTTCTAAGAACATCGATCAACGTCTCGTCATCGACTAGGGAACCCTGAGTGGACGTCAGTCGATACAGAACGTTGTCCTCCAGCTCCTTCATCTTTCTCTTGTTGGACGTCACGTCTTCCAAGAGATCTACACGCTCTTGCTCCAGCTCTTGCTTCTCCTTCAAAATTACCAGACCCAGGAGCTGATCGCCGAGACCTGGAATATGGAACAAGAAAGAGAGATCATGGGGGCATAGACAGCTGTAGCATGTTATCAAGAGTACATAACCTCCCCAGAGTGTGCAACGCCTGATCCAGCTCTGCACAGGGTCTTGGTTGAGCGTAATCGGATCTTTGCGTCATAATACCGTACACATCTTAGGTGAACCCGGGGAGTCGCGGGTACACTCGGATCAAAAACAACGGTGCCCTGCCTTGAGATCGGGCTTGCGGTGGTGTGGAGTGTACGCATGACATTAGAAGATCCGATTCCGCCAAAACCCTATGCAGAGCTGGATCGGCGTTGCACACTCTGGGGGGGGTTATGTACTCTTGATGTTATCTAGGCATGAAGTTGCAAGACAGTTGTTCCATTACAAAGGAGGAATACTCAATGGATACACCTTCCAAGCGCCAAATGCCAAAGATATTGCTGGCACGTAACACCAACACAACACGCAATGAAGCCTTTCATTATGATGGTAAAGTCAAACATATGCCCAGAAAGTGGTGATGTCATCCTGACAGTGATGATGATGATGATGATGATGTCATCATGCCTATCTGAAACTTACCCTTCATTGTGACGGTGAAATCGATGATGGAGGTTTTGGCCGAAATCTCGGGTGTATACGACGGATTGGGAAGTTTGGTTGTGATGTAGAGCATAAAGCCCTTCATGACATCCACCTCCTTGTCACCGACTTTGACCTTTAGAGACTTGCCACTCTTGATGAAGTTCTTCTCCAGCACATTGTCGAGTGCCGGGTCAAGCTCTTCGCCAATGTCTTCGATGAGCAACGGGTTACCGAGAGACAAGCTATCTTCCAAGTGTGTACGGAAGTATTTGCTGTTCAGTGCGGTCACCTTTTATGGATCAAAAAGACACAGCAGCAAGAAATGCTTAGATTGCAATTTCCCCGCAGGATGCACACAGTGTGCAGTGCTCAACAGCTTGCAGGCAGAGCGCAATACAGCCAGACCTCGCTTATCTGGTCCTCTTTCATCCGGATCCCTCGCCATCCGGAAGAAAATAGCTGGTTACGGATTTACAGCATACGTGCTGCATCCAACAAAGCCGGCGTTCGGTTGTCTGGTTCCCTCGCCTACCCGGATATTTTAGTGGAAAGCGGATGTGTGCGGTTAAGCGAGGTCTGACTGTACACAGAACAATAAGGGAAAGGCTAGTTTGTCAATACTCTGATTTTCATGCTTACGCAATCATCAGGCAACAACCATGTTCATGTGATCAATGTCATGTGATCAAGGTCATGTGATCAAGGTCATGTGATCAAGGTCATGTGATCAAGGTCATGTGATCAAGGTCATGTGATCAAGGTCATGTGATCAAGGTCATGTGATCAAGGTCACGTGACCAGGGTAGACCATGTAGGTGATCCGTGTAAAAATTGGATTGCCCGGATGAGTTGCAGGGCATTTTTGGAAAATTTCGGTTTGGATTATCAAAACCGCACAAGAAGTTTCAATGAAGATGATTTACTGTCACATGTGGGACTACACTCTGATCGGTAAAGAAAGAGCATATGCTGGCTGTCAACATACCCGAAGACGATTCTTGGCTTCTCTGTTCTTGACCCAGCGCTTGCCTTGCCCCTGTGGGTCGATGAGCAATGGGTAGCGTGCTGCCGTCGTGACGATGATGCCGTTCTGGATGGATAGCTCATCGTTGGGCAGACCTTGCAGTCCCCATTCACCAATCTAGCAGTTTACATACCAACAGGCAATACAGGCATGCATAGACACATATGCATTAACTTACAGCTGTCTTACAAATCCCTGCATCTAACGTTACGTCCCTCAAAAAAAATCCGTGCACTTTTCACTCGTACAAAGGTATGTGTCAAAGTCCGAGGCTTCCATATAAAAAAAACACAACTGTGTGGCAATGGCATGGCCAATTGGCCATAGATATGCACTGACCGTCGTAGAGTCGACTAGCTCATCAATGATCTCTATGGTAGAAGTGAGGGGTATTCCCCTGTGCTTGATCTCCTTCTTCCAATCCTTGACCAGCACGTCTCGGAACTCCTGATTGAATGGTCCGGCGTACGACAGGAAAGCCGTGCAAAGGAGAACGTCTCCGACAAGTCTATGCAGTAACACAATTTGGATACAGCCGTTCTCAGGTGATACAAACGTTTCAAGCAAACAATGAGAGAGAGAGAGGAGGAGGAGGAGAAGGAGGAGGAGGAGGAGGAGGAGGAGGAGAGGGAGAAAGAGAAAGATAGACATGTACACACACAGGGTATGTATACGTATCTTACCGTTGAATCTGCTCGTCAAACTCCTTACTCTGCTGTGTCCATCTCTCCTTCTCTCCTGAGAGACCTTCAATCAGGGCCGTGGCTGAGCCCATCTTGCGACGACATAGCTCAGCGTCGTCTATCAGGGCCTGTCGAGCGGGAATTGCAGAAAACAAAGAATAAACACCACCACTACAAAATCGGTCCTTCACAAACATACTTGTAATAGCAAGAGTCCATAACCCAAGAGTATGCAACTGTGATCTCTTTTCTATAGGCCAACCGCGCGGCGCGCTGCCTTCATTACATCATTCAGCTGCAGTCCGCGCACTGCGGAAAATCAAACACCGCACTTTCCCTCTAGTTTGAAATGAACTTTCGTACGGAACTGGAGTTCACGCGCCAGAGTTCAGAGATTGTGTACGTACTGGAACGAATCGAGCAAAAACGGATGGGCTCGTGCGAGAAAATGAGAGTTTGAATGCATGCTTTCAGAGCGTGATGAAGGCAAGTTACGTAATGAAGGCAGCGCGCCACGCATGCACCCATAATCACAGTTGCATACTCTTGGGTTATGGACTCTTGGTAATATTAAACATGGCCATTTTCAGCTTCTGGTATACAGGCACCATGCATGCTTCGTATATCAGTCCCATGTCACGGGATGTGTTTTGAATAGAACTTGATCACAGAAAGCACTGCACAATGGATTGACCAGTAGTTGAGACTGAAGCAAAATGTCCCCGCAATGCAAGGGTATCCAAACTTGAGAAGTGAAGGCTAAGGAAAACAATACTAGGCTGTACAGAAAGCAACGAAGTTCGTTATAACAGAAATGCACTCACACCATACAAGCAGCAAGTCATGCCTGGTAAGTGGCCAATGACAGTATGAGTGAACTTGGTTTACACGGGGCCCTACAAGATTTGGTTTGTTATAAACAAAAACTTGGAGCTATTAAGGGCCAATTTTGTATGGGTTCAAACAGGGACATGGACAAGGGTTCGCCATATCACGAAATTCGCTATATACGGGTTCGTTATAAGCGGAGTCGACGGTATAATTATACAAAGTGAATTCCACTGTACATCACTTCTCAATTGCCAGCGCGAATCATTACATTGACCATATTCTCATTACCTGTTTCTCGGCCATGGCGTTTTCATACTTCATCTGCTGCTCCTTGAGCTGTGCTTCTTTCTCGTCCAGCTGAGCCTGTGCCTCATCCAGCTCTTTCTGAGCTACATTCAACAAGGCTTCTTGTTTCAACAGATTAGCCTGCATGGGCAGAAGGAGAACAAGAGTGCTAGAATGAAATGTCCAGTCACACCCAGGGTCTGACCCAGTGGCCTGGCTGGTCAGTCCTAAAGACATGTGTGGTCTCTCATAGCAGTAGTGGTGTCACATTATGCCATGTCGCTTCAAGGGTCAGAGGCACCAAGTGGGGGTACAATGATTACGTGTGAACAACACTACACGCACGCACGCACGCACGCGCGCGCACACACACACACACAAACACACGCCGCAGTTACCTTGAGTGGCAAGATCTCCTTATTAGTGGCGTAGAACTTAGCCATGGCTTTGGTCCAGGAACACAGACCAGCCACGTTGCCGCAGACTTTCTTCGCCGTCAGCGCATTGTAATCTTCGGCCTCAAAGTACGGCTGTAGCAGCTCGACGATCTCATCGTTGATAAGATCTTTTGGGAAGTTCTGTAGGGCTTGTAGGAATCCACCTCCACTCATCAGCTGGGGAGATCATTAGAGCACAAAGAGGAATGCCATCACTTTTTTCTTTAAAAAATTTCTACAAACCTCTTTTATGGGCAAAAACTAACATGCCATCACCATTGTACACAGCTATCCAAGATAAGTATCATTCTTATTGATCAGGCTAGCAGCATCAATCACCACCGAGCACCTTAGAATTGATTTCAGCATAGTAGAAATTCAGGATTGTGTGTACGCAATACACATGTGCTCACATGGGCACACACACGTACACATACATGTATGCACGTGCACACACACGTGCACACACATGTACACACACGCATACACACACACACACATCACAGGTCACTGACCTTCATCGAGTCCGTCCAGCTTGGCTTGCACGTCTCGTGGTCCGGATCTTTCCTGAACGGACTGATCTTGCGTTGCATCAGCACCAGGCAGCAGTCCATGATTCTCATAATAAGGTGAGGTGGCTTGGACAACTTGCGTACAGTTGCAATATCAGCAGGCTTGATTGTCTGTAGCGGAAGACAGCAGCGAAGAGTTTTTACTGATGACACAACCTCCTCGAAAGAAAATGAGAGACAACAAAATCCAAACAGCGTAGGGGGGGGGGGGGGGGGTAGGGGCTCTAGGGTGGAGCCCGTGCTGGTGAGGCGCGCCAGCAACGCCACCATCTGATCATGGCGTTCGCGCTAGTTTGCGTACGCCTGTGGACTGACAGCAACATTTCAACTCACACTGAAATTCTGAAAATTCGCAGTCACGGTGGAGAGTTGTGAAAAAGAAATTCTGAATAAAATCAATTTCGTTGCTACACTAAAATAAATTTCCATATGCGTTATTCAAAATGGTTCAGTGGGTTCATTGCATGAACAGAATACAGTCAGACCTCGCATAACTGCACACATCCGTTTTCGACAAAAATATCCGGATAGGCGAGGGAACCGGATAATCGAACAGACATACTGTATGTATGCAAGCCATATTATGCTGTAAATTGGTAATCAACGATTTTCTTCCGGATGGCGAGGGATCCGGATAAAAGAGGACCGGATAAGCGAGGTCTGACTGTACTTCCTTCATTAAGACAGAGCTCTGGCATTCAAATTGCCCGCAACACAGATATTGTACAGGTAGACATATCCTAGAACTGAAAGAGAAATGTCTAGAGTGCTATGGCAACTGACTAGCAAAGCTGCGGCAGCCTCTTCCAGGGCTGGTTTAGCTTCATCCAACTTAACTTGAGCAACTTTACGATCAGCCTGAAAGCAAACAGCGCAGATAGAAACGCACACGCACCCACGCACACACACACACACACACACACACACACACACACACACACACACACACACACATGTACACGCACAAATATGCACCCTATAGCAAGTATTTTACTAGATACTTTGTTCTCTCTCTCTCTCTCTCTCTCTCTCTCTCTCTCTCTCTCTCTCTCTCTCTCTCTCTCTCTCTCTCTCTCTCTCAGTTGGTTACGACTGATCTCCTGTCAGCGGCCTCAGACTGGAAACTTCTTGTCGACTCAGTTAGTGCAAAGATTTCTTTCCCTAGCTGTGTTGCACTTACCACCCTAAGACCAGATATAGTTCTGTACTCTAAGAGTCGTAGGATTGTATTCTGGATGGAGTTGACAGTTTGTGCTGAGGACAGATTCAGTGTCAGTAACTCGCGGAAGGACAGGCGGTATGCGGATCTGGCCGATCAATGCCGAGCAAACGGGTGGCAGGTCGTTTCTTTTTCGGTTGAGGTAGGTGTGCGTGGTTTCATCCCGGACTCTCTTCGGAGGGCTCTGAAAGCGCTTGGATTTTCTAATCGAAGAATAAAATTTATTTGTAATTTGTGCAGTAAGACGTCTCTGCGAAGCAGCTACATCATCTGGTTGCGGCGTCAACAAAAACACTGGTCGGAAGATCCACTTTTCTGAGGTACTGTATGTGGGGCTCCGTTTATTGAGGTGCGTTGAAATTTATTCTCTTTATCTTATTATTTCTTTTCTATAATTTCCCCATATGAGTTCCTATCAGTTGCTGTGAACACCTTGAGTGGAGAGCGCTTGCTCGAGCGTTGAACCGGGTTCTTAATCCACCATATCCAGTTCGCAAGGCTGGGCGGGGTTGTGAGCAGGCTTTCATTTCATCTTTTCTTATTATTTCTTATTATTTCTGCTTTTCATCTCATTACAAAAATTCTGCGCTTTTTCTCCATCTGCGCATAAAATCTAGACTGACAACCTGCTTGTTAAATCATGCACCTGCTTTCAGGCGTAAAAACCCTGTTGTAGAGGTCTCAGTCCTCATTTGTTAGACTTACCTGTCTTTATAAATGTAACTTACTCTCTCTCTCTCTCTCTCTCTCTCTCTCTCTCTCTCTCTCTCTCTCTATCTCTCTCTCTATCTCTCTCTCTCTATCTCGGGAAAGCCAAGTTTGCATACTTCAAATAGAATCCACCCAAACTCAATGATGTGAATTGCACACGATGGCCAGTTTTACCTGGCTGCTGCAGGCCTCAAAGTGCAGGAGCCGGATGTAGTACAGTATACGTGCACTCACCCCAATAGCTACGACGATGGCCTCCGCCTTGTCCTTGACCACCTGCACCTCGGCCTTGACTTTCTCTGCCGCCTGTGCACTCTCCGTTACCTCACTCAACACCTAGTTAGTCAATACACACGCACACGCATACACACACACGAACACACATACACACACGAACACACACACACGCACCCACCCACACACACACCCACACGCACACGCATACGCACGGTCGGAGACAAACAGAACATATGCGTGGATGGATGAACAAATGGATGAAGAGACGGATGGCTGCCAGAACAGGTGGTTGGAAAGGCAGATGGACAGACAGTCACATCAACAGACCCAATCTCTTACCTACCTGTACACACAAAAACACGCACACACACACAAACACACAAACATGTACACACACACACACACACAAGTATTTACCCACCTTTTCGGCCTTAGTGGACGCTATGGCCAGCTCCTTCTCCTTGACTACAAGCTCCTTGGAGAGCTTAGCCACGCTATGACCGGCCTCGGTCAGCTTATCCAGACCCGTCTGCATACGCTCGGCTAGCAAGCCAATGGCTGAGTGCTTCTCAGTGTATACAGACTTATAGCTGTTGATGAAGGATAGGTACGATACCGGGGTGACGTGGGTCGTACGCCGGAATCTACACACCAGTCACAACCCAATGGAACACAAAGACACACACACCAGTGTGCCATTTCTATGCAAGGATGCAAGCTGGAGAGGACGTTAAATAAGCCTCTGCCAGAGCAAATGGCACCGCTATGTGATACAATGGTGAGGATGTGGACTGTGGAGAGTTGCAGCTGGCAATGAGATGATGGAACGAGCTACAGTTGTAGCTCTGTATTATGTACACCAGTCCCCAGCATTGCAGCGAAGCATAGCTGGTATCATGGCAATAGTGTTGGAAATTGCACAAGCACAGACACGAGTACAGTGTCCTCCACTCTAATTTTCTTTTCAGGATCCTTACAAGCACGCCCAGGACACGTGGCACACCATCGGTTGTTGTTGTTGTTGTTGTTGTTGTTGTTGTTGTTGTTGTTGTTGCTGCTGCTGCTGCTGCAGGCCCGTGGCAGCCCCATTTTGGTTGGTCCGGCAAGATCCGACTTCGATGCCCCCGAGCCCATACTCATTTATACATGTATGCCGGTAGATGTACATGCATGTAATCGTGACCATGCAGAGTGACAGTCATGTAGGGCGAGAAAAGGAAGAAGGACGTTCTGCATGAGTCAGGAAAAAGGGCATCAGCATGTTGTGTCCGTCCAAACAGAACTTGTTGAAGCATAGCAACAGTATCTAAATGCATGTGATAAAAGAACCAAAATGTGCCTTTCGAGGAGGAGAAAGGATATTGCAATGGAATATCTTTGGTACAAACTCTATCTAGAAAGAATTGGAGGAAGAAAATAATCAATACATTTCAGGAAGTACAGAGTAGAAACATTCACGGGCATGACTGTCCACATGACCTTCAGCAGGGTCATACTCCTGATGACATGTACATGTAGGTCTACTACCGGCACTACTTTGTACTACCTCTATACTACTTATTGCACACATCATCATCATGGGTGGACATCCTGAGCTGCTCCCATGTGTGAGCTCCCGCTTTTTTGCCGAATATTGGTCCGGCAGCTGCCGGACCTGCCGGACCGCCTGCTACGGCCCTGTGCTGTTGCTGCTGCTGCTGCTGCTGTTGTTGTTATCGTCGTCGTCGTCGTTTTCGCCGTCGTCGCCGTCGTCGATGCTTAGTTTCAATTCGCATAGTCTATGGACTTCAGGCAATTTGAAGTGGATTACAATAGTTAAACCTGCAAAGTCTGTTCTTCACTGACCTATGAAAGTAGTCGACGCTGGCCTCCGCCACGCGATCTTGGAACATTCCCATGGCAAAGACAACGTGCTGCTTCACCGCTGCGGTGCATACGATGTCGTAAGAGGCCAGGAAATGCCTGGCCACCGCCTGCAGGGCTTCTTTGGGCCAGCGACTAAACCAGTCCATGGTACAGCCGGAAATCAATGCTGGGAACTTGAGAGCACGGTTACGGAATTTCTCACCAACCTGAAGAAGCACAGGTATGGTCGACAGTGATAGTGAATGCATGATGTCAATATAGGCAACCCACTGGCCAGGAGAATTATTCTTTGTTCTGCTCATGCAATGGCAGTTGGGCAAATGCTAATCGCCAGAACTCCTGGGAGTGCCCTGCCTATTGAAACGTTGCATTACTCAGCTTTGTGTGAGTTGCTCACGTGTTTGAAGGGAGTGTATATCGGGGCTGCTTGAAGCAAAGGTTTGCTAGACTTTGGCTTCTGATGTTCATGTCTGAATTATGAGCATTTTCGGCTATCAGATTTACCAGGGGATTTACAAAGAAGACAGAACAAGGTTTCAGCTGTAACTCGCGTTTATAGCCGAATGAATTCTCACGCAACAATAACCACCGTAACACCACCACAACTCTGTCTTGTTCAGCAATGATGTTCTGCTAACTAATTCTAGTCTGATACCTAGCTATGCACTTACTGGTGAGAAGCACAACACAACGTGAAGATTGAGACGACAGCGGTACAGAAAGTACTCGTGAAGGTTCTCCTGGGTCGGCGGTCGTCGTGGAAACTCTTTTTTCATCGGCGATATGATGTCATTCATTATCTCATCGTGTTCATCACGCGGGAAGAGGTTGGCAACCTGGAACGACACGCCGTGGAAGGAGAGAGTGTGCAATTGAGATGCAGAGAGAAGGAGAAATGATATACATGTACCACAAAAGTGTGGATTTTAATCAACACGTTCTCATTGATTGTACTATGCTGTGTGATTCTCCAGGAGTGAATGGATATTTATCTTAGGAGTCTCCTTAAGCCAATAGAAAATAGAATGTAGTTCTAGGACTTCCAACACGCTGAGCGAGTGTATCTCACCCTACATAAACGTTACACCGTGAGCAATCCTATGTGTTACCTCTCCTGAAGCCAGTATGTTGTTCAGGTACTCCAGGAATGCCTCCTCCTTCACATCCTGATCGGTGAAGATGAACGTTATGCCTTTGCCTTGATGGCCGGCAGTACGGTAAAGAAAGCGCAGGTCTTCCTGCAGGTTGGTGACGTTGTACGACCTGGGCACACGGCAAACGGCGATAACAAGACAGTTGAGGGTAGTAGAACATCCGTTATCGGAACTTCATCTCTACACGACACATCCCCATAACACCGTTCCGGTACAGGACATTCTCCCTGTACAAGACAATTCCCTGTATATGACAAATTCCCTGTGCAAGAGACTTCCCTGATACTGGGCAGGTCCTTCTACAGGACGATTTCCATATACAGGGCACTTCCCCTACATAGGAAACTTCCAATGTAGAGAACTCTTCCCCTACAAAGGACACTTTCGTTATAAAAGACACTTTCCCTACAGAGGACACTTTCGTTATAAAAGACACTTTCCCTACAGAGGACACTTCCCTATGTAGTACACTTCCATATAGAGGACACTTCCCTATAGAGGACATTTCCCCTATAGACGAAACTTCCCCTATAATAATTAAGGTCACTTCCCCCATAGAGGACACTTCTCGAGCAGAGAACATTTCCCTATAAAGGACAAATCCCCTGCACAGGACAAATCCAGTATACAGCACACCTTCCCTATACAGAGCAATTTCCCCGTACAGTACACTTCAGCTTACAAGACACCTTCCTTATGGTAGACACATTCCCTATATATGACACTTCACCTATAGAGAACACCTCCCCTATGGAGAACAATTCCTCTACAGAGGACAATTCCCCTATAGAGGAGACTTCCCTTATAGAGGAGACTTCCCTTATAGAGGAGACTTCCCCTATAGAGAACAATTATCCACATTATGGACACATCCCCTATAGAGGACACTTCCCCCATAGAGGAGACATCCCCTATAGAGGAGACTTCCCCTATAGAGGAGACTTCCCCTATAAAGGAGACTTCCTTATGGAGGACGCTTCCCTTATAGAGGACAATTCCCCTACAGAGGACACTTCCCCTATAGAGGAGAGACTTCCCCTATAGAGGACAATTCCCCTACAGAGGACAATTCCCCTATAGAGGACACTTCCCCTATAGAAGACATTCCCCTACAGAAGACACTTCCTCTATGGAGGACACTTCCCCTATGGAGGACACTTCCCCTAGAGAACACTTCCCCTATAGAGGACACTTCCTCTAAAGAGGACAATTCCCCTACAGAGGAGACTTTCCCTATAAAGGAAACTTTGGAGACTTCCCTATGGAGGACACTTCCCCTGTAGAGTACACTTCCCTATAGAAGACAATTCCCCTACAGAGGACACTTCCCCTATGGAGGACACTTCCCCTATAGAGGACCCTTCCCCATACAGATTACACTTCCCCTAGGGAGGACACTTCTCTATAGAGGAGACTTCCCTTACGGAGGACACTTCCCCTACAGAGCAATTCCCCTCTACAAGATACCTTTCCTACAGTGGACACCTTCCCAATAGTGGACACCTTCCCAATAGTGGACACCTTCCCAATTGTGGACACCTTCCCAATAGTGGACACCTTCCCAATAGTGAACACCTTCCCGATAGTGAACACCTTCCCAATAGTGAACACCTTCCCGATAGTGAACACCTTCCCGATAGTGAACACCTTCCCGATAGTGAACGCCTTCCCGATAGTGAACGCCTTCCCGATAGTGAACGCCTTCCCGATAGTGAACGCCTTCCCGATAGTGAACACCTTCCCGATAGTGAACACCTTCCCGATAGTGAACACCTTCCCGATAGTGAACACCTTCCCGATAGTGAACACCTTCCCGATAGTGAACACCTTCCCGATAGTGAACACCTTCCCGATAGTGAACACCTTCCCGATAGTGAACACCTTCCCGATAGTGAACACCTTCCCGATAGTGAACACCTTCCCGATAGTGAACACCTTCCCGATAGTGAACACCTTCCCGATAGTGAACACCTTCCCGATAGTGAACACCTTCCCGATAGTGAACACCTTCCCGATAGTGAACACCTTCCCGATAGTGAACACCTTCCCGATAGTGAACACCTTCCCGATAGTGAACACCTTCCCGATAGTGAACACCTTCCCGATAGTGAACACCTTCCCGATAGTGAACACCTTCCCGATAGTGAACACCTTCCCGATAGTGAACACCTTCCCGATAGTGAACACCTTCCCGATAGTGAACACCTTCCCGATAGTGAACACCTTCCCGATAGTGAACACCTTCCCGATAGTGAACACCTTCCCGATAGTGAACACCTTCCCGATAGTGAACACCTTCCCAGTGAACACCTTCCCGATAGTGAACACCTTCCCGATAGTGAACACCTTCCCGATAGTGAACACCTTCCCGATAGTGAACACCTTCCCGATAGTGAACACCTTCCCGATAGTGAACACCTTCCCGATAGTGAACACCTTCCCGATAGTGAACACCTTCCCGATAGTGAACACCTTCCCGATAGTGAACACCTTCCCGATAGTGAACACCTTCCCAATAGTGGACACCTTCCCTGTGTGTAGAGGACACTTCCCCTACAGAGCAGTGTCTGCTCCAGAGCCGGTTGGGGGGGGGGGGGGGGGGGTGCTTGGACCCGTTTGAAAAAAAGAACACCGGGTCACTTGTGACCAGTTTGGGAGGATGCACGATAGTCATGTCGAGTACCTTTTCTGTACTTCAAGGGAGCACAGACTGATCTATCAGTGACAGGCTGAAGGTGTGGACTCGGCTCTGACGCGGTTGCAAGACTTGTGCCAGGTACTGATGTACCCGGTTGGGTTGAACTCCTAGAGCAGACACTGTAGAGAACACTTCCCCTATAGAGGACACTTCCCCTATAGAGGACACTTCCCCACGCACAACAAGGCATTATTGGTCAGTGGGTACGCAACCGGTATTCAGTACATGGGGCAACCAGCACAGAAAACAGACAACGGAACCGAAAAAGTAAAAATTACATCGTTCAACCCTCCCTTCAGCCACAGCGTAAGAACCAACGTTGCTGCTGATTTCGCCAGACTTATCGACCGTCACTTCAAAAACACAGCCGTGAAGATCTTCAGCCGACACAACATGAAGGTTAGCTACTCATGTATGCCTAACATCGCAGAAATTATTAGTGGGCACAAGCGGCAACTGAAAGAAAAAACTCCAGAAAAGCCTTGCAATTTTCGGAGAAAGCAGGAATGCCCCATGGAAGGACGTTGCCAGGCCTCACACGTCGTCTACGAAGCACACGTCACCAGCCAGGATGAGCTCAAGACATTCATCGGCTCAGCAGAAACAACTTTTAAGACAAGATACAACAACCACACCTTCCGCCACGAAAAATACCGCACCAACACGGAGCTCTCCAAACGCCTATGGCAAAAGAAAACCAACAACAAAGAGTAGCAGCTGTCCTGGAGGATCAAGGACACGGCCAGCTCGTACAACCCCGCAACGAAGAGATGTTGCCTTTGTACCACGGAGCAAGTATGCATCCTCACTGCTGACAAGACACAAATCCTGAACGAGAGAAGTGAAATCATCGCCAAATGTCGCCATGCCAATAAACACCGGCTCGCCAAGTTCAACGGAATCACGTAAAAAACGTGACATGGGCCAAGCAGCCTGATGACCCCTGGAACTAGACACACTGCACTGTTATTGTTGGGTCAATGACTAACGCCAATATCGCACCGCAACGGGCTTGCACCTCCTGACGCCAGGCATGCGCTGTCATCTCGCATCTTTGTTCCGCGCTAGTGCACTCAGGATGTACGCACTCCGTTCAGCGCTTGCTGCAATAATGGACATTTTTATACCACCTCCACCCAGCAGCCTCTCCCCTTCACACTTCACGCTTCCTTTTGTGCGCCTTGCTATGTGGCTGTGTATATCTTTAGTGAACCTGACAGCCCTGCTTCAGTTAGATATGTTTCCTGATGATTGATAACTCAAGAAACTCGGAGTAGCAACAGATTATGTTTCCTTGGTGAGGACCGCTTCCATTGAGGATACTTCCCCTCTAGAGCACATTTCCCCTATAGAGGACACTTCCCCCACAGACGACATTTCCCCTATACAGGACAAATTCCCCTTTTTCACAATAGAAAAGATGGCACAACGCAGCAAGGCAGCGATGAGACATGGAATTGCAGGAGTGGGGGAGAGGTGGGGGCAGCTTGACCGACTATAGGGTCTCGGCTTCATTGCAACCCAAGCGCTCCTATAGAGGACACACTCCCTGTACAGGACAAATTCCCCTATGAATGGCCCATCCCCTATGCAGGACACTTCACTTCCCCCGTACAGGACAGGACAGTTCCCCCTAGGCAGGATAGAAGTGTTTGATCCCTTGGATGTCAATAGTAGAGTGATTCCACAGATAGATAGAAGACTAGGGCATACACGCATGCACACGAGGACACACACACACACACACACACACACAGCAAGAAACAGAGAGCCGTGTGTCACGAGCAAGCGAGCAAGCAGGCTGACCTTGAGAGGGTGATCTGGAAGGTCTTGTAGCCGGCAATGTATGATGCCAGGCGTGTTAAACTTTGCTTGCCAGAGCCACCCACACCAACCAGTAGACAGTGGCCACGGCTTGTTCGTATCACACGTGAGATCTGCATGCCAGAGTGTATGCACATGTAGACATGCAAGTACGCACACACACATACACACACACATGCACACACACACACACGCACATGCACGTACACACACACACATAACACATACAAGTGATTGTAGTGTGTCGTTCCAAATTCCACTGCACAAGACCTGATATAGTCAGTGTGCTCCGTCAACGTGTGAGATGATGTGTAACATCAGAAGACCAACAACACAACATTATAATTCATTGTCAACCTGGTCATGAACCGTCAGTGAGTCTACACGCTACCCGTCCTTGGACAATACACAGTACTGTATACTGCTACTGATCTACAATCAGAACACATTGGGGCAAGGACAAGGAGTAACGTATGTGCATGGTCTGAAGGACATAGAACTACCTTGTGTGCCTAGCTAAAGCCTGCTGATTCCAGGAAGAAGTGATGGTAAACAAAATGGAGGTCAACCCCATATACCATCTTTAAAATTTGATCAAATTTACGACGGTAGTTTTGCTGATCACTACACATGTGGAGTATCAGGTCATAATATATCTACATGTACTCGTACGTCAAACTGGGACTGAAAGAGATACGATAGATAGAATGGCTGTGCAGCTATGCACGATTGTCAGCTGTTCCGCAGGGCAGCAGCCTAACCTTTATTAAATGTGTCATGGCGTCCTTGAAGAACACTAGGTCCATACCGACACCGCGTATTGACTCATTGTACTGCGCCTGCAGAGAGCTCAAACGCTGCTCCAGTTCATCGAGGGTCATCACCTGCAGCATCATAATTGGACAAGCACGGAAAGAAAGCATTCTAACACTGCTAACCAATAGGCTCATAAACATTATGAAGTCTGGCGGAGATTGCTTTGTCACATCTTCACGCAGTAGGAGCATTTTCCTTAGACACAAGGCACAAGGCTGTAGCATTGCAATATTGTGCCAGGCCTGTATGCTTCTCACTGAAAAACAATGCAGTACATGTATCAACGAATCATGCTGTCCCAAGCCCATCTGCAGAGTTGAACACTCTCCATGATGCGAACTTTTGGCGGAGCTCATTGCCTTGTGCTCAAGCACACTTAAAAGAATGGATGCTACATGATCCTAGGTGGATATGCACTCACCCTCTCGTAGATCTTAGGAGCTTCCATGTCTTGGTCATCTGGTTCATCGCCTGTGAGCTCAGGAGCATCACGCATGAAATCGACGAAATATGGCTCATCGGGTAATTGACTGGCGAGCTCCGGTGACATTTTTCTCGAGCAGGTCTGCTTCATGCACTGATCGAACCAGTCACGATCCGCTTTCTCCGTGAACCGGTCGGCGATGACACGCTGGCACTCATGCTTCCACAAGCCGATGACGTCGTTCGCCGTCGTTATCGTCTCGCCGCTGACCTTGAGCATGCCCTCCCATATACGGGAGAGGTCGCGCAGGTTAAAGATGTAGTGGAACTTGGCAGGCGTTGGTAACATCTTCACCTAAAAACCGGGGGAGCAGTTGATCAGGAAATGAATGTGTTGGAAATGCAGCTAGTGTCTATGCCCAATTAATCCCAATGAATGCCTTTTCTCGTTTAACTCCCTCGGACCTTATGAATGAAAGACTTCGTGGTCATTGGTACTTTGAAGATGTGATTGTGAGGAGCCTGAGGCTTGCTCTTTTCTTCAGTGTTATTGACAGGCCTGGTACTGACAATTGCTGCAAAGGCTAAGGCACAAGAGATACAACATAGTCTGGTGGTGTAAAAGATGGAATTAGGCTAGCTGACACAAGCGGCGGTGAAAATATGGACACATCATCTATCAAGGCAACGGCCAGAGCTCTGCTAATAAACTACATGGCGGTGCACGCCACTGAGGATTACCTTAGTACTCTGCCATAACAGCCGTGTACACGCCACTGAGGATTACCTTAGTACTCTGCCATAACAGCCGTGTACACGCCACTGAGGATTACCTTAGTACTCTGCCATAACAGCCGTGTACACGCCACTGAGGATTACCTTACTCTGCCATAACAGCCGTGTACACGCCACTGAGGATTACCTTAGTACTCTGCCATAACAGCCGTGTAACTTGCACTAGGTCACCAATTAGCGAGACGACCTCGGGTGTAAACTCTCTTTCAGCACAGAAGTAGCCCTTGGCAATTACACCTGCAAGCACACACACACACACACACACACACACACACACACACACACACACACACACACACACACACACACACACACACACACACACACACACACCAAGCCGGATGAACACCAGCAAAGAGGTGGTGATGTACGTAACGTATTTTCCGGAGTATACACCGCACATAGATGCTAACAATCAGGAGTCTTTGTCCACAACTCCATATGTGTAGAATACTATGACCCACAATTACTACACCCAAAACTGCTTAGTTCAACGGCTGGTAAACGTGTTGTAGATGCCTTTCTTCACCTGCTCCCAGCCCCGTGCCATCTCTACACTCAGACAATGGACGACGGGATAACTACATTTGAAAGACTATAAAACAATAAAAGGACAGAGAAAGTGTTTTAACTCTGAGTTTCACGCACTAAGCGATCATCAGAAAGCAGTAATGAGTAAATCTGGATCAGTATTGAAAGACTATATTGCGACAAGACGAAGAATGTTCTTGCATTGTAGTGCTGGCAAACTGAAAAGAGCTAGCAACGACAAAAATCAAATCATATCCTATTGGCTCTTGCTCCTGACTTACCAAATATTTTGTCGATGGAGTTTTCGGACGGCAGTGTGCAGTTCAGAATGGCAAACTGCCGTTTCAGACGACTGGGAATGTCGTTGCGACCTCCACCAGGGTGAATCATGGCGGCTAGGAACTGAATGTCGACGATACTGGTGAAATCACCAGGCTTCTCCAAGCTGTAGAAGCCCTGCATCTCGATAGTCTGTCGTACAATCTCATTGGTGACCTTGACAACAACAAAATATATACCATGCATCATTCAGCACATTGGCAGCGTCTTTAACTCCACCAAGTTCTGATTGTCTACACCAGAAAACCTCAATCGACAGTGCAATACAAAGTCAGCGTACTTTGAAAAGTCATCTGGTACACCCTTTGGAGTAGGTCCAGACACCTGAAGATGCATGACCTCACCAACAGACTACATACTGACAACTACAGTGAAACGGTTCAGACGGTATCGGTTACCAAGTCATGGGCAGGATAATAACAGTATCCTTAACCAAGCATCCCGGAGATTTTAAAACCTGTGTGTTTCTCCAATGTAAAAACCAGCCGGTGTGCGCAAGACACACCCAGGCTGTGCTCACATGAAACTTGAGCCCAGCCTGTCAAGTATATGGCAGTAGGCATAGGCATCGTGTGTGCTCATGACACTTGAACTCAGCCTGCACGCACAGCATGTAGCAGCGGGCATGGGAGAAGCAATCTCTAAGACCATCCCTGTCACAATACTGGCATTATGTGTGTACACTTCTGACTCACTTGATCACCCCATTCGTTGATGATTGGCATGTTGATGTCGTCGATGAAGACGGTCATCTTACGGCCAGCCGGTGGGCCAAACGTCATGCCCATACGCTTCTCCACATACGACTCTATCGTTCTCTGAACACACATACATGTACATACATGTACATGCATGATATTAGATAAACCTTGTTTAATATGTTGAAAACATAGTTGTTGGTTGACAGCATGTAGCAAGGTGGAGAAAGGTGACTGTTTTCGAACACGGTGTCCTCCACCTTGTTTCATGCTGTCAACCAATAACATGTGCATACATGTACATACATAGCAGACTCAGCGGAGGACGTTCAGGTTGATTGTCACAACCAACCTGAACGTCCTCCGCTGAGTCTGCTATGTACTAAGCTCCGTCTCTGACATTGAGCACTCTCTGCAGCTCGGGGATCAACGGATTTGTTACATGTACATACATACTGTATTACACATGCATGTACGGGCAATCATGGCAGCAGGAGCAGGTCAACACATATTGATGGGCACGTGTATTGATAGAGACGCGTAACACATTCAGCTGTGCCTCAAACCCGTTGGCCCACTCCTACCAATTCAGTATGATTATCACAATAACGACTCCACCAGAGTATGAGAACTATAGGCATTAGAGGAAGATGTGTTTTTGTCAACTAGGACCTGCAACTGATCAGTTACCACACTCTTCTCCTCACACAGGGGTCAGACCAGGGTCACACGGGGGTAACACAGGCTAGCGCAGGGGTTACACAGAGATCACGCAAGGGTCATAGGGTAACGCAGGGGTCACACAGGGAGGTCACAGGGAGGTTATACCAGGGTCACAGGAGTTGTGGCAGGGTCGCGCATGGGTCACGAGGGATCACGCAGGGGGTCACCGAGGGGTCACGCAGGGTCACTGACGACAGTGACGGGTCACCCAGGGGTCACGCAGCGGTCACCGAGGGGTCACGCAGGGGTCATCGAGGGGTCACCAAGGGGTCACGCAGGGGTCACCGAGGGGTCACACAGGCGTCACCGAGGGGTCACGCAGGGGTCACCGAGGGGTCACTCACGGGGTCACCGAGGGGTCACTGACGCCAGTGACGGGTCACCGAGGGGTCACGCAGGGGTCACTGACGGGATCATCGAGGGGTTACGCAGGGGTCACCGAGTGGTCACACAGGCGTCACCGAGGGGTCACACAGGCGTCACCGAGGGGTCACACAGGCGTCACCGAGGGGTCACGCAGGGGTCACCGAGGGGTCACCGAGGGGTCACGCAGGGTCATCGAGGGGTCACGCAGAGGTCACACAGGGGTCACCGAGTGGTCACACAGGCATCACCGAGGGGTCACGCAGGGGTCACCGAGGGGTCACGCAGGGGTTACGCAGGGGTCACCGAAGGATCAGGAAGGGGTCACGCAGGGATCACACAGGCATCACCGAGGGGTCACGCAGGGGTCACCGAGGAGTCACGCAGGGGTCACCGAGGAGTCACTGACGCCAGTGACGGGTCACCGAGGGGTCACGCAGGGGTCACTGACGGGGTCATCGAGGGGTTACGCAGGGGTCACGGAGGGGTCACACAGGCGTCACCGAGGGGTCACCGAGGGGTCACGCAGGTGTCACCGA